ACAAATTGGCGTATATTTTGAGGTGTTTGTAAGCAGGATGATGCTGTATTGCTTGATCGACTTGGAGGGGGGTTGGAGTCTTCAATTGAATATTGAGATGTTGAAGAACTCGATCTGGATTAAAAGGCACTAATCCAGTGGCTGCGAAGCTATTCCGGATAGTTTGAGCTTTATATGCCATCATACGAGCGCTTGGAAAGGCTGTTAAATAGTCGATTTTGTCGATATGATTGAAACCAAGCCTCATTCGTTGTTCAACCAGCTGCCCATAATGTCGCTTTAAAACTGCAAAACAGCCAACATCAAGAGGCTGTAAGAGATGTGAAGAATGAGGAGGCATACAAACAGGAATAATCTTATGTTCCGTACATGTACGGTCAAATTCTGCAGTCAAATGGCTTCCATGGCCATCAAGAATCAACATAATATATGTTCCCAATGTACGATCTCTAGTAAGAGGAATAAAATGGGTTTTAAGCCATTCTAATCCTATCTGATCTGTAGTCCAGCCATTGTCGCTAATATTGATTCTCCAATCATCCGGAAGCTCATCAAACCAGCCTAATCGTACGTTTTTCTTTGCTTTGAAAATTACGTACGAAGGCAGAGCCCATCCGGTTGAATTTATTGCCTCAATTGCAGTCACCCATTCTCGATTCCCAGGCTGTAGAAGCTTTGGCCGAGCATATCGATCGCTTCCAGTAATAACCTTTGCAGTTGCGCAGAGTCCCATAGCAAAGCCCGTCTCATCAAAATTATAGATATCTTCTGGTAAGATGCCGTACTCAGATATTATATCTCGTACGCGGTCAAAATGGCCTTGTATAATCTTTGGATCTTCACATTTGGCACGTTCGTAGTTGTATTTTCGTGAGAATTTGGATTCAATCTCTGGGCGACGTTGAACAAGATTATATACCCATTTATCTCCAACCCGTTGATCTCCATGTTGTGAGAGAAGATAATTAGCCATATCTCGTACGAGAAAGTGCCGGGGCGGTAATCCACGTTTAGTTAAATCAAGCACCCATTTGACAAGCGAATCCTCCCCAGATTGACTCAATTTATGGTTGTTGGCGCGTGTTATTTGTCGATACGGCACTCCTTTCATTCGATCTTGAAGAGTTGTACGAGCAACCATATAGATTCTTGCAGCTTCACGAATACTGCGAATTCTTCCATTTTTTAAATCGGAAATAGCTAATTCGATCTTTCCCTCATCCTGAGTGGATTTTAGGGGGTCTTTTTTGCGAATTGGTGGCATTTTGACGCGTTGTAATATGGTAAATCAATATAGAGAGTTATTTTCTGGAGAGGTGGCCGGTTCGCTTACATGGCCGGTTCGCTTACCGATTACGTTACAGCTGATCCAAAGCTTTTTTGGAGGATGCATGTGAGTAGATTGACTTGATAAAGATGTTTTACTAACACCTTTTTAGCAATCCATCTCCGGAGCTTCCTCAGGTCTTGCCAATCTAGCTCTTCGACTCCTAAATGTGACTGCAAATTCAGTAGCTTCTGAACAAGCTTTCTCCATACAAAACCTACAAATCACAAAATTAAGGAATCGACTCACTATAGAGCATGCAGATAAGCTCAATTTCATCTACATCAACAGTCGCACGTTGAATAACATTATGTCTAACCAACTAAGTACCGAGGAAGTCGCGGTACTCGAAATTGAGGCTGAGAATGACTTTATAAATACCTGGAAGATTACTCGATCTTTAATGGATTTGGAATACGGCAATAGAGGGGAAAATATTGAGGAATCTCAGGTTAGCGACGTCGCTGGGCCGCTTATTTTGATCTGATAGTAATTTGGAATGCAGAAAATCAGGATTCTTTGGAATTTCCATATGTATGCCAAGACGCACTAAATTTATATGGCAATTTTTATTTTCAAAAAACAAACAAAAATTTCAAAATTTCATTTCAATACGTTGAAATTTCGAAATTGAAAGATTTTTTCCCAAGCCTAACTCCACCCCCTTCCCGTGCTCACGGGTCATTTTCCAAATCGACATTTCGAATTTGTATGGGAATCGCTAACAAATTCGAAAAATCAACTTTTTTATAATTAGCTCTAATAACACACCACAACGCGATAATCATAAGATTTAAATCGAAAAAATAGAATCTATAGAGTTCAATAATTCATAATTTCGAATTATTTAATCAATTATTTCTTAGGTGAAGTGATACTTTTAATGTTGCTATTTCATCTTTAGGGTTATCTTTTGTTAAAACAGCGAATCGACAAGAGTATTAGATAAATCGTACTAGTTCTTATATTTGATTAATCGACGTGGTGGTTAGATATACGCAAAAGACTAAAAAAGTTGACTTTTCGAATTTGTTAGCGATTCCCACACAAATTCGAAATGTCGATTTGGAAAAAATATTGATATTGTGGGTTCGCTTCTGCACATGTGCATACAAATAGCTTAGTAACCAATTGGTAAAGTCATATTCTTCTGATTGTCTGTCTTCTTCTCTTAATGAGGCCCCGACGCGGTCTATATAGTCCTTGCTTGACGAGGTCACGTGTACCTTCACGTGACCTCTCCTTGGTGTTGGAACGTTGGTTTACTAGAGCGATGACTAAGCGAAGGCGAGCACTAAACAATACGTATAAGGAACTAGGTCTATTTTCCGGCACTCCTCTAAAACCACTATCTAGGAGTATTGAACCTGTTTTTATATACAAGATTCCATAGAAGTGATATCACCAAAAGTCGACACTTGTGCAAATCGAACTTTCTAGAGATAGGCTGTAAAGTTGATTTGTAATGTTCAATATCGCGTCGGAATGTGATGCCAATTCTCGAAATTTCTTGATACGCAAATCTTGTCCTATTCCCAAATTGGTTTAGTTCATTCTGAGTTCCAACACACCCTCCCAAGAAGGAAACCGTGAGGTTTCATTCTTGCACTAAATGAGCTATATCTGTTAATCCTTGGTGTTTTCTCCAGTCCAAGAATTGTTGTCCTTTCAACACCTTGGTAAGGCCATCTGCAATCATTTCCTTTGTAGGAACCCACTCAATGTGAAGTCTGCCACATTGCACCTCCTGCCGTAGCCAATGGTGGTAGATATCAATATGTCGTAAGTTCGTTCGAAAATGAGGGTCCTCCCTAGTCAAGAGTAGCACGGTTTGCTTATTGTCACACCGAATAGAGAGCTCACGATCTGTTTTGAAACCAATAGCCTTGAATACACGTTTCCAAACATAGAGCTTCATTGCTGCTTCCGTTGCCGCTCTTAATTCCGCTTCGGTAGTTGAAGTTGTAACTAATCGTTGCTTTGTGGCACGCCAGTCGACAGGACCTCCGTATAAACTGAAGATATAAGCCTCCGAGCTCGTACGATCGGCGTTGTCTCCAAAAGAAGCATCCGAAGCACATATAGCAACGTCCGAATCGCTGTTTTCCGGTGGTGAGAATTCGATAGCGAGGAATCGTGTATTATAGAGATATTCAATGACACGTTTAATCTGGCGGATGTGATCCTTTGACGGATTTGTAGTGAATTTGGCAAGTTCGTTCACTGGCTTTGCAACATCAGGTCGGGTCATGACTGCAGCATACATTGCTGATCCCACCAATTCTTGGTAGAGGTGAATGTCTTCATTCATGGCTTCACTCTCTGACGGTTGTAAATCGATGGAAATTGGTGTCTTTGTATTGTTTTGCGTTAGCCCAAACTTTTTAGCAATCTTGGTAATATACGAATCTTGACAAATCCAGATCTTCCGCTGCTTTCTATCCCGTACGATTCGCATATTCAAGAACCACTCGAATTTCTCCATTTGTCGAATCTCATATTTGCTCGTGAGTTTCTTAACAATTTCCTCAAAGAGAGATTGTCGATTTTTCCTGTCGTAAAAGATCAAAATATCGTCCACAAAGAAGAGTAAAAACACACCATCTTTAACAAATAAGCACTCTTCATCTGGAATTTGCGAAAATCCAAGCTCCAATAGCGTTCCTGTAAGCTCTTTTTGCCATAATCGCGGACTTTGTCGTAATCCATATAACGCTTTCCTTAATCGTATGACTTTTCCGGGAATTCTGAAGCCATCTGGAAAATAAACGTATACCTCTTCATCCAGGTCACTGTTAACAAAAGCGTTGACTGCATCAAGTTGTACAATCTCAAGATCAAAAACTGCAGCTAGTGCCATCATCATTCTAAAAATTCTTGCCGCAAGCGTTGCTGCTCGTGTTTCCAAATCCATACCCTTTTGCAAGTCTCCTCGAACACAAATTCGTGCTTTGAACTTTGCAATCTTCCCAAATTTGTCAAATTTGTATTTGAAGACCCATGTCAGTGGTAGGATTTGCTTTCCTTCAGGTCTGTCGACAACTTCAAATGTGCCTTTTCTCTTTAATGACTCCATCTCAGTTCTCCCAGCTTCCTCAAATTGCCTGGCAAATCTGTGTCTTTTGACGCCTATCCAGTTCCTGGGCTCTGGTGGGATATCTTCATGAAGCGGCTCATACCCATCAAGTTTCTCTGCGGCTGCCAAAAACGCTTTATACGCTGAAGACTCTTGCAATAACTTCATTCTCGCGAAAAAAGCTCGGTGCCTCTTCCTCTCCGCCTTAGATGTCGCTATTTCTGGGCTTCGAGCACGCTTAGAGGGAATCCTTCGGCGTGGTCCTGTCACAATATTTCCCTCTGAGAGGTCAGCTCCGATTTCTGAGGCCTTTGGCGCGCTTCTTTGCTGCGGGGTAGTTGATAGTAGTAGCTCAGGTAACGTGACGTCAGGATTTCTTGATTCCTCATTGGTCAATTGCAACAGCGGTGTCTGTTCATTTCCTATTTGGGGAATCTGCCCACTCGGACTAGTGGTTGTTCCGGCCGTGAGAGCCATATTCTCTCGCTCTGCTCCTTCATCCTGTTGAGCTTCTTCCTCACCACTATCCTCACCAGTCACCCTCCCAGATTCGCCAAATTGGGATTCATCACCGTACAATGTGACTTCGTTTTTAGTGTCATCAAATCGAACTAACTGATTATCTTGCTGGCCACGTACGTCGTCGATTTCCATTTTGTCATCCTGATTCTGTTCACTAATTCGATTTTCCAGTAACAATTCCTTGCTCGTTGACATCTGGTGACCTTGCATCGACTCTGTCGAACTGGATGCTGACGGGCTGGGTATCAAATGGCTGTCAGAGTGTATCACAACAGACTGTGTTGGCTCGTTGACAGGTTGATCATCAATTTCCATGCTTTCTGGTATGTGTTGCTGTGTTGTGACTGTCTGGCTGTTTCCAGAAGCTAATACTGGGATTTCCAGAGGAAATTTCATTGAGGAGGATTGCTGCAAATTCATATATTCGTCGACTGATTCCACAACTCGTTCTTCATTGAAGTCCTCCAGGTTCGGTATGTCTAATGATTCTGTGATTTTTGTCACACCGTTCCTAATAATCTCTCTAGCAAATGGATGTTCTGGATCATACTTCTTCGTTTCGTCAAAAAAAACATCCCTTGCTCGAATGACCTTGGTCCCTCGTGGTCCCTCTGTCCAAATTAGCCAAATATTGTGAGACTCGTATCCAACGAGATATCCGATTTGAGCCCTCGGTTCCATCTTCTCACTTTTCTTGGTGTTGATTCTCACGTACGCCTTTGATCCAAGCAAGTACAGATTTCCAATGTAAGGTTTCTTGCCATACGCCATCTCATATGGAGTCTTATAACCGATTGCTTTTGTGGGCGTCCGATTGATGATATAAACCATCGCTTGCATAACATATGGCCACAATCCTGTCGGTAAGTTTGCTTCCTGGATCGCACTTCTTGTTCGTGTAGTGATAAGTCCTCCAGCTCGCTCGCTTGGCCCATTTTGTTCTGGAGTATTAGGAACTGTTGTCACAAGGGTTTTCCGTTTTGACTTGCACCAATCTTTGAAGTCATTTCCATTGATTGCTGATTCGCCGTCACAATGTATGACTTCAATCACAACATGGAATGTTCGTTTAACATCCTCAATTAGCCATTGCAAGTCAAAATTTACCGATTTCGTTGGGGTTGTTGCCAAGGCGTGGTATTTTGTGAAAGGGTCGAATAGATGAAGTGCATACACATCTCCGTTCCTTGCCAAGCTCATAACAATGATATCGACAAATACTTTTTGGAACGGTCGCGTTGGATGTGGTATCGCCACTCTGCTTATTTGTCTCTTTGCCGAGGAAAGTTCGCAAATCTCACATTTCTCCTTGAATCCTTCTTCATTCCTGCCTAAAGCCCTTGGTGAAGTGACAAGTGCACCCTCCGTTGCTTCCTGAAGTTTCTCAACGGCTTGTTCCGATATATGTCCAAGTCGTTTGTGCCATACATTCCCAGGGTCCTTCAATACTTTTCTCTCGAAAGAACTAAGTGCTAAGTCGTTTCCTAGAGAACTCCTAGGTTTCCGGTTTTCATCCCATTCAATCAGATAAAGCCTTCCTTCCTTCTTCAGTCCACAAATATCTTGTTTCTTTGTCACCAATCTTCGGGTCAAACCATTGAAGAAAAGTCCATATTCCTCAGCCATTCCTTGAGAGATAATGTTGGTATGCATTCCTGGAACATACCATGCCTCCTTCACCAATATCCCTTTCTTTGCCTGTCTGCTAATCGGATTCGTTGGATAGATGATCGTTTCCCCTGGTCCATACATCTTCACTGAGCCATTTCCAACAAGACAGATTCGTTCTTCATTTCCCATATTGCGAAGCCGTCTTAAGTCATTGAAGATGTTAGTCGTTGTACCGTTATCCAAAATAACTGCATCCTTGAGGTCTTTGTCTGAATCTGTGGCTGTCGCTATTGTTTGAACTTGTATTGCCATGCTTGATCGTTCAAAACGCGGACCTATCGATATCTGAACTTCGTCCTCATCATATACAAAGTTCGATCTTTCCGGTTCGTTGTCCTTCTTGCCGTCGTCAGATTCCTTTTTATTGGTTGAATTTGTCGGTTTAAGCTTCCCTTTGACTGCCTTAAGTGCCTTCGCCAGCGATGTATTACTGCGTTCCACATCTTTGAACTTTCTGGTAATATCCTCATCTTCTTTCCAATCCTTTGATCTTTTTCCTTCATTGACATATGGGCAATCCTCAAAGTTGTGCTTTGCTCCACATAGACACGTTCTTTCTCTGTTTCTCGATTGTCCTTTCCGTTGTGATCTTGATTGATGATTAGTCTGCTGATTGGATTGCTGAGTCCCTTTTTGTTCTTCTTCCTTCTCAGGCTGATCCGATTTACCGCCTAACATCGCGAATGATGCATCACGTCGAGTAGGGTCCATCACGTTGCGTTGTGCCTTGACCCATTGTTCGAAAATCTTTATCATATCGCGAATCCCTGGTACTGAGTCTAATCCAATCTTCCTATGTAATACTTCCAGTCCGGTATCCAATTCGATGAGTGTTGTCGTCCATGATTCAGCAAACTTGGGTGCAATAAAAGCTGATGAACGAATAAAGTCCCTCGACATTCTCTTTTCTGGAATCTCATTGAAGTCCGTTAGTTGCATATCCAATAACAGATTCTCCCATTTCGAGATCCAGTCTTTAGGCTTCATGCCGCGTTTCGGAGTAAGCAAATCTCTATATCTCTCATTTATCAGTTCATGCTCCTGCTCCGGTTGCAGAGCAAATTCCTCCCGCAATTCCTGTGTCATCTCGAGAACGGTTTGCTTCATCCGAATTCGGGGATGGTGGCCTAGTTCAACCGTGTCGAATATATACGATCGTACCGCGTCCAATCGTTCCTGGTGCTTCTCGTACCTCGCCTTTTCGTCCTTATACCGTTGATAATGCTGCTCATATAACTGTAATTCCATTTGGAAGCGCATCAATGCAAGCTTCTCAACTTCTGGATCCTCGTTCTGATTCGGCATTATACTGTCTGGAAAAGGGGGTTTAACTGGTTTCTCCGGTGCCGGTTCCACCTCGTGTGTCCGTAACGGGGATGGATTCACATAATCCCAGACTCGTTCCTTCGTCGCCTTTGTTCTCAACTGCTCTAACCATCTCCTCCATTCGTTCGATGACTTCAAAATAACGGTTCCCTTATTCTCATCCATAGCTAACGAGTTCACTCGTTCTTCCTGGCACGGATATCTTCAAGGGTTCACACTCGGTCGTTCGTCGAATGTATACCAAAACCAACGGTCGTCGATAAATCAGATTTCACGTCTGCGAGTAGCTTCAAGTGTCGATCCAATACTCCAATACGATACTTGTGCTTATATTCGCAGGGATCCCAGGCTCATAACTGTTGGAACGTTGGTTTACTAGAGCGATGACTAAGCGAAGGCGAGCACTAAACAATACGTATAAGGAACTAGGTCTATTTTCCGGCACTCCTCTAAAACCACTATCTAGGAGTATTGAACCTGTTTTTATATACAAGATTCCATAGAAGTGATATCACCAAAAGTCGACACTTGTGCAAATCGAACTTTCTAGAGATAGGCTGTAAAGTTGATTTGTAATGTTCAATATCGCGTCGGAATGTGATGCCAATTCTCGAAATTTCTTGATACGCAAATATTGTCCTATTCCCAAATTGGTTTAGTTCATTCTGAGTTCCAACACTTGGTTCGCGTCGGTGCCAGGAATCTCGATTGCACCTATAAACCAACACTGGATCTCTTTTACAAATCGATCTGCAATCGAGATCCAAGACCCATGAAAGTACATACAAGATCAGAAGTAAACGATCGAACGACGAACCGTTGATGTAGTTGGGATCTAAAAGAATCCCAAACCATGTACAAGCCGGCCGTCAACATAAGAATCAACAAAATCAACGAAGTCCGCTATCCACGTCAAATTTCGTCCCCTACTCGGCCCCGAGTTGTCTCGTAGTCGTGCCTGGATCTTCTCTCGATGAAGCCCTTAACCTGGGTCAATATAGTGCGTAGAAGGAATCCGCAAAGTCTTCCATATAGAAAGAATCCACTGGGCCTTCTTCTCGTCCAATTGGACGGCAACAGCGAGTCTGTATGAGGCTTTGGATTGACATATCGAAGCAAGATAAACATCACGATCATCCTCTCTAGACAACTTCTCTGTTTGACGCGGTGCGGGAAGTCGATAGGATCAAGCTCGATTGCACCTATAAACCAACAGATATGACCCGTGAGCACTAACCCCAGGAAGGGGGTGGCACGGGTATATGGAACTAGGTCTATTGTCCGGCGCTCCTCTCTAAGCAACTATCTAGGAGTCTTGAACCTGTTTTTATATACAAGATTCCATAGAAGTGATATCACCAAGAGTCGACATTTGTGCAAATCGAACTTTCTAGAGATAGGCTGTAAAGTTGATTTGTAATGCTAGAGTCTATATCGTGTCGGTATGTGATGCCAATTCTCGAAATTTCTTGATACGCAAATCTTGTCCTATTCCCAATTCCTATCCGAAATTGGCTTAGCTCATCCTGAGTTCCAACAATTTTATAAAGCCTATTACGCCCCCATAGGTGTCTAACGTAATCGGTAAGTGAAGCGGCATTGTAAGCGAAGCGGCATTTTTTCCCGAACACGTACACAATCTGAATTCTATATTATTGAAAACGTCAATATGCCACCAATTCGCAATAAAAACAAAAAGGACTTAGCTAAGCAAGAGGGCCTAATCTTATTAGCTATTTCCGATTTACAAAATGAACGAATCTTGCGCGTGGCTCAAGCTGCAAGGATTTATAAGATACCCCGGACCACTCTACAAGAGAGATTAAGCGGTACTCAACAAAGATCTCAAATACGCGCCAACAATCATAAATTAACTCAATTTGAGGAGGAATCACTTGTCAAATGGATGCTCGATCTAGATAAACGTGGATTACCGCCTCGGCACTCTCTTATACGAGAGATGGCTAATTATCTTCTCTCTCAACACGGAAATCAACAGGTTGGAGAAAAATGAGTATATAATCTTGTCAAACGTCGTTCAGAGATTGAATCAAAATTCTCACGGAAATACAACTATGAAGGTGCTAAATGCGAAGATCCGAAGATAATCCAAGAATATTTTGATCGCGTACGAGAGGTTATATTGGAATATGGAATCTTGCCAGAGGATATCTATAATTTTGATGAGACTGGCTTTGCTATGGAACTTTGTGCAACTGCCAAGGTTATTACTGGAAGTGATCGATATGCTCGGCCAAAGCTATTACAGCGTGGTGATCGAGAATGGGTAACTGCAATTGAGGCAGTTAACTCAACAGGATGGGCTTTACCTTCATATATTATCTTTAAGGCAAAGAAATATATGCGATTAGGCTGGTTTGAGGATCTTCCGGCTAATTGGGTAATCAATATCAGTGATAATGGATGGACAACAGATAAGATTGGATTAGAATGGCTTAAACTCCATTTATTCCTCTTACAAATGACCGGTCAATTGGAAAGTATCGGATGCTAATTCTTGATGGCCATGGAAGTCATCTAACAGCTAAATTTGACCGCATATGCACTGAGAATAATATTATTCCAGTGTGTATGCCTCCTCATTCTTCACATCTCTTACAGCCTCTTGATGTGGGCTGTTTTGCTGTTTTAAAGCGACATTATGGACAGCTTGTTGAACAACGGATGAGGCTTGGGTTCAATCATATCGACAAATTTGACTTTCTCACTGCATTCCCGAAGGCTCGTACGATGGCGTATAAAGCTCGAACTGTTCGGAATAGCTTTATAGCAACTGGATTAGTAACATTTAATCTAGATCGCGTTTATCAACAGCTTACCGTTCGATTGAAGACTCCAACGCCCCCTCCAAGTCGATTAAGTGATACACAATCATCCTGCTTGCAAACCCCTCAAAACCCACGTCAATTTAAGCGCCAAATGACTACAACGAAGAAGAGAATAAGCCGGCATACAAGAAGTTCATCTGAAGCTATTGGTGAATTGTTTACACGGGCATCAAAGGCTTATGAGATGAGTATTAATAAGCTTACAATTGCACAGAAGGAACTCCATGATCTTCGGGCTGCACATGAGAGGGAGAAGCAAAAACGTCAAAGATCTAAGCAGCAAATATCTCATGAGCATGGAATTACCAGAGAGGAAGCTCAAGCACTCGTACAAGCTCAGATTGAAGCATCCCAAGCTGATACTACTGCTCCGGCCGAGTCTGAGCTCCCAGTCTCTCATCCACCTGTACGACGTCAATTTCGCTGCAGTGGTTGTGGTGTTGCAGGACATAAAATAACCGGATGTCCTAATCGTATTAGGAATTAATTTTTTGTATATAATTAGTATGTGGGTTAGAAATTGAGATTTGGATTCAAGATTGTGTACGTGTTTGGGAAAAAATGTGGCTTCGCTTACAATGCCGCTTCACTTAACGTAATCGGTAAGCGAAGCGACAATGTAACCGAGCCGACAGTTTCTTTCCGAACGCGTACTCAATATTGATTCCATACTATTCAACGCGTCAACATGCCACCAATTCGCAATAAAAACGAAAAGAATTTAGCAGAGCAAGAGGGGCGGATCTTGTTAGCTATTTCCGACTTAAAAAATGGAAAAATCTCAAGTGTGTATCAAGCCGCAATCATTTACAATATTCCTCGGACGACGCTATATGACAGGTTAAACGGAATTCAACAAAGATCTATAATACGTGCCAACGGACATAAATTGTCTCAATTTGAAGAGGAATCACTTGTCAAATGGGTACTCGATCTAGACAAACGTGGATTCCCCCCTCGGCACTCTCTTGTACGAGAGATGGCTAATTACCTTCTTTCACAACGTGGAAATCAACAGGTTGGAGAGAAATGGGTCTATAATCTCATTCAACGTCGCCCAGAGATTGAATCAAAATTTTCACGGAAATATAACTACGAGCGTGCTAAATGCGAAGATCCGAAGTTAATCCAAGAATATTTTGATCGCGTACGAGAGGTTATATCAAAGTACGGAATCTTACCAGAAGATATCTACAATTTTGATGAGACTGGCTTTGCTATGGGACTCTGTGCAACCGCAAAGGTTATCACTGGAAGCGATCGATATGCTCGGCCAAAGCTATTATAGCCTGGAAATCGAGAATGGGTGACTGCAATTGAGGCAATTAATTCAACTGGATGGGCCCTGCCTTCATACATCATTTTCAAGGCAAAGAAATATACTCGGTTAGGCTGGTTTGAGGATCTTCCTGATGACTGGAGAATCAATATCAGTGATAATGGATGGACTATAGATAAGATTGAGTTAGAATGGCTGAAAACCCATTTTATTCCTCTTACTAATGCCGTGCAATGGGAAATTATCGCATGTTAATTCTTGATGGCCATGGAAGTCATTTGACTGCTGAATTTGACCGTACATGCACTGAGAATAATATTATTCCAGTCTGTATGCCTCCTCATTCTTCACATCTTTTACAGCCTCTTGATGTTGGCTGTTTTGCTGTTTTAAAGCGACATTATGGACAGCTTGTTGAGCAGCGAATGAGGCTTGGATTCAATCATATTGATAAACTTGACTTTCTTACTGCATTCCCAAAGGCTCGTACGATGGCATATAAAGCCCAAACTGTTCGGAATAGCTTTATAGCAACTGGATTCGTACCATTCAGTCCAGATTGAGTTTATCAACAGCTTACTGTTCGATTGAAGACTCCAACACCCCCTCCAAGTCGATCAAGTGATACACAATCATCCTGCTTGCAAACCCCTCAAAACCCACGTCAATTTAAGCGCCAAATGACTACAACGAAAAAGAGAATAAGCCGGCATACAAGAAGTTCATCTGAAGCTATTGGTGAAGTGTTTACACGGGCATCAAAGGCTTATGAGATGAGTATTAATAAGCTTACAATTGCCCAGAAGGAACTCCATAATCTACGGGCTGCACATGAGAAGGAGAAGCAAAAACGTCAAAATCTAAAAAGCAAATATCCCATGATCAAGGAATTACCAGAGAGGAAGCTCAGGCACTTTTACAAGGTCAGATTGAGGCATCTCAAGCTGTTACCACTGCTCCGGCCGAGCCTGAGCTCCCAGTCTCTCATCCACCAGTACGTCGCCAATTTCGGTGTAGTGAGTGTAATATTCTCGGGCATAGAAGACCTCAATGCCCTAATCTTACTAGTAATTAATTTTTTGTGTATAATTATAATTTTGGGTTAGAAATTGAGATTTGAATTCAATATTGCGTACGCGTTCGGAGAGAAACTGTCGGCTCGGTTACATTGTCGCTTCGCTTACCGATTACGTTACCGATTACGTTAGAATATAGAAGTCGAACTACGGAACGGTTCGCAAATGTCACAAAAATACCATAATCCCTTGAAGGGCATCCTGTTAGTGAAACAGTATTACATTTAAGTTCCGACAACTTTTGTAGCATACTTAGGGCAGAAATCTAGGGTTATTTCTTTGTCAGGTAATTTCCACCCCCGTTGTCAACACGCCGCCACTTTCCTTTTCCTCAACACCCTCTCCCCTACTCACAAAAATACCATTTTTTGTATCACAATTTTCATCTCATCAGATTCTTACCGCTTCGTTCCACAGCTCTCCGCACTGGCCGAGCCTCGCCAGGTATGCTCAAGCTGTCGGGCTGAAAAGTCCTTGGACCAGTTCAAGAGCAAAACTGGCAATCGCACATTAAAAACGTGCTCTACATGTCGTGACAGAGTCCAAGATCACCGAAGTACTGAAAAATAGAAAGAGCAATGAGGCGGAGGTTTCTGAGCCTCCAGTTGAGGAGAGTCATGTTCCTCATTTCATGCGACCTACAAGGGCCTCACTTCGAAGAATTGCTCCTCAACGCGTCTCAGCCCAACAGTTCCAGCAACAGGCTGTGGAGGAGAGCCAGCAATCCCTTCTTCTTCTTCAGCTTCCTCATATCACTACCAGGGAATCCACTCACAGGACGCACCAGAGGTTGCCAATGCTCGTCGGCGTCAAGACCAAGATAGACGTGCTCATCGTACTTTAAGACGAGCTAGGGAAGACGTGCCTCCCACTCAGGGATTGGATACGTACATTGCTGAACAAGAGCAGGGAATTCCTCCCTCTGCTCAAGCTCCTTTTTTACACCACAAGCTGCGAGTGAAGCAGAGCAAGATATTCCCCCTTCCGCCCAACAGCCACTCCCTCCCCTTCCTCATGTAGAGGGTCAAGTTTTATCTACCCTAGATCCCCTGGCTGTTATTAGTTCTGATGATTTCTCTACTCTAGACCCATTGGTTTAATAACTTATTATGTTGGAACCACCTAGGCCAAAAAGCTGCGCGCATACTAGATGATCTAGTATGGTAAGATATAGTATGGAACAGAGATCAGTCAGAGTGAGGCGGGGTTCCCAACATTTTATGTAATCGTTTCTGAATTAATGTAGCATAACTAACTAGCCTAGCGCTTCAAAGCTTACACTCTGTTATTTCTTCGGTGGATAAATGTACCGTAGAGACCTTATAAACATTTTTAGCAGGTGATTTGTGAGCTATCATGAGGGGTATTGAGCCCTGACCAATGAAAGGAGTAAGTTCTCCAGCTTATATTGATGGTATAGGTGTTCCTCCTACAACAGAGTTTTTGAGAACGCTGGCCAATCTTATACTGCGCAATATGACACCCCTAGGAGAGGTGCCACGCATTGTCGGGCCTAATTGCACAAATCGCTTTTTTGAGCGCCTAGGCAGTGAATACGCAGAGGATGATTTCGTTCTCGAAGTATCTCCAAATGGCTTAATATCCGATGAGCTTGCTGTTGAATGGCGTATGCAATTTGATAGATCTACAGAGGAAGAGGAGAATAAGAGATATCGACTTCTTCTTATGGATAATTGCAGCGCTCAATTGACATGGCAATTCCTTGATTATTGTCAACGGAATCGGATTATATGTTATTCATTTCCACCTCATACGACCCATATATTATAACCCGTAGATACCGCGCCTTTTCAACAATATAAGCATTTCCACAGCAAAGCGCTGAATTGTCAAACCCGGCTTTGAGACCAATCGTATGATAAAAGCAATTTCTTGCATGGACTTCACAGAGTACGGCAACAAGCTTTTACACGGCGTCCAATCAAGGCAGGATTCCGGAATATACGCATCTTTTCCTACAATCTAGAGGTTGTGCTTAGGCCACTTTAATTAAAAAATGAATTTGTATGACGGTCCCATATTTACAAATTTATGATGGAGAGGAGCAGAATTTCCAAGTTCATTTCAGGTGTTCGGATATTGCCAAGACCACTGGTAAAGGCACTATCATAGCGACATAACCAGAACGGCTTGAGACGCTTGGATTTGTCGCATTGGTGTTGGTTCTCTGCCTTGATCAACAACAGGAGGGTGCAGGATGGTATTATAGGCCAGGCTAGGCCCTTCATTGCTGTGTGTTGAGTCTGGATCTGTTGAGAACTCCGGTGCTTGTTGTGGCGTTGGTTGAGTCTCCTGATAAGCAATGGGAGGGTCGGGATGATATTATGAGCTAGCTTCGGTTCTTTATTGCTGTTTGTTGTGTTTCCTGTTTGAGTGGACATTTGAGTGTGGATCGCATGCCAATCTTTGTGGGATCGACGTTGCATGTCGGCCCGCTGAGTTGTGAGCGCTGATGTATCACTATCAGGCTGGCAAGTAAATTGAGCTGCTATGTCCTAAGAGCTGTTGTGGAACTTTCTTTATTCGATATCAAGACTCCATGTTTTTTTCTGGGCTTCTGGAAGGAGCCTTAGACAGGATTCACTGTTTGATGGTGGTATGTTGCAGTTGGGACAAAGTGATTTATGACAGGGTGGATGTACAGCTCAGATCAGCGAAGTGTATTACATGGTGGATGTAGGGTTTAGGTTTGCAACTTGCAAGGTGTGTAACATGAGAGAGTAGCAGTGTTGACAAAGATATGTAAGCATAAGGAATCAATCTAACAAGAGGATATACGCCATATTTATAGCCAGCCATATCCCTACATGACGTAGACACAAATCTCCATACAAAGAATCATATGATATAGTCGGTATCCCAGTAGAGGACCGGTGTATGTCAACAACAAAGGATAATGTCAACGGTTCTTGACGGATATCACCGCACAATAAATGGCTTCCTAATCAGGAAATCACGTGTCGCATGCCAAGCCTGGTTGAAAACCGAAGGAATAGGGAAGCTGGATGAAAGTGAAGTCTGAGCACGAGTGGAGAGTTAGAAATGGCATTCTCCTCGTATCTCTCTCATGTATCCTTTCATTTATGGGTGCTTTCCTCTCAATCCTCGTCGATGTCTCATATCGTATTGCGCAGATTCAATGTCAGCATTTAGTCTTACCTGTGCATGTGGAATGTGAATGAAGAGTATCATATATCTGACAAGCTCAACATTCCCTACTTAACACGCTCATACCAGATTCCAATCTACAATGTACTCTAGATAGAGTTCAAGTCAAAACCATACTGGCTACCTAGGTACTGATGCCGACAACGAACCAAATATGAATCATCAGGAAATTGATTCTATTAAGTTACCAAACGACAGCTGACTATCGAAGCGTGTCTGACAAACACCCAAGGACAGGGGCACCCAAAAGACCCACTCTTGATCTTAGATCGATTTTCTAGAGGGATTTTCCTACTCTGGAGACTTACACCTTCCATCTTCACACCTTGGTGAGAGTCTGCGATACTTGTCATAACAATTCTGGTAAGCCACTCCCTATCCCGCTAGTATTGTGCTTATCCTGGTCTTTTGTACTCAATCGCATTTCTGCACACCCTATTAACCCGCGTCAAACAGAGCTTTGCAGGACTTTTTTTGGCTGACTTCTGACATTCATCAGTGTGTGAAATCAAATACTTTGGCACGAAATGGCTCGCAACACCATGGGAAAAAAGACTAGTCAAAAGATGAAGCAGATCCAGGAGGCAATCGGCCTCGGGCATGACGACGTAAAGTTTCAAAAGATGCGTTTGTTGATCAAGGAACTGCTTCAAAACTCTGCACGGCAAAATATTCCTCAACACGGTAATGATAAACAGTTTCAAGCCTGGTGTGAGGAGAATATCTTCCCCGCTCTCGAAAAGGATTATCCGGACCTTTTTGAAACGCCCTTACGTGACTCTCCATCACAGAAAAAGGCCATACTCGAACTTATTAGACGTCAGAAGGGACTTCGAAAGACTCAAATTGACAGAGCAAATAATAAACAGCTGGATACTTTGAAGTCAGAGCAGAAACATCAACGAAAACAAAAGGCGCAGAAAGTGGTAGAACCAAGCGCAATGGTGGAACGGCAGAGTGAGTTGGGATTCGCAATCAACCCATCTACCGAGGAAAGAAAGAGGAGCCGCGACAATCAGTCCAAAGATACTGTGCTAGACCAGGATACTTCTTCTACTGGGGACAACGATTTTGGGTCGCTCGAAGTTATAGGGACGTATATATACGGACACAGTGAGAGGCAAGAAGAAGTATCAAAAGAACAACCAGAAGAAGAAGAAGAAGCGATGGAGAATACCGTCGATCAGGGTGAGACTACATCGGAGACGGACGTGAATACTATACGGGCGACTGTAATTCAGACAACCAGAATTCCGTTTCTTGGCCCTATACATGAACCTTCAACTAGTTACAAGGTCACCATGGTATTGATTGATGCCCTCTGGGATCCTAAAAATTCATCTAAACCAGTGGGATCACGTATCTCATATAAAGTCTGGCAGAAGACACTGGCGAGAGACTGGGGCGTGAACTTTAAGGATCTCTCGAGCTCGTGTACTATGCACTTTTTCTGGAACGAGAACTGGACGAATGTCCCATGGAGTGAAAACAGTTGGCAAGCAATGGTCGGTTTATGTTTGCAAGGTAACCGCACGCGCTTAATTCAGGTCCAAATTTGTGGCGATGGTCCAGGTGAGTTATATTACTCAACGTGAGAAGAGAATGTCCAAAATGCTGATATAAAAATTGGGACCATAGGTCTCGTTACCTCTCTTATTAAAAGTCCTCAAGTGACGTCTCACGAAACAGCTCCAGAGGAGGGATCGAGGGAACTCGATGCCATAGATCACGGCACCAGGGATGAAATGAAGGCGGTAATCACTTCTTTCAAACGAGAGCTTGGGATGCTTGACTTTAGGAATGACTACGACTTGACGCTTAAACTGCCACCATCCTGAAATTGTTAACTCTCGACTGTAGTTTACTGCAGTACCAATGTGTCAGATTCCAAGGATGTGTTCACATATGCACAGGGCTCTGCCTAGGTAGCTAGTCTGATTCGTTTTCGGTGCATTTAGTTATTTTAGCGCAGCCGCCTAATAAAAATTTACCTGGGCAGTCGATCATCCACACTTATATCTTTTGTCATGAACAGCTACTCATGTCTGTAAAAGGTGTCTGTACGCTCCTTCGCACATGGTTCAAAATGCCATTTTTGTCACTGCTGCATATCCATGGATGATGATTCTATACGCCTTCAGAATGGTTTCTGTCACAGTGGATTGACTAGGTCTATTATCCTGCATTTCATTGATGCTCATTGCCATGGAATCTGATTCCTGTTTTTTTGGGTCAATGGAACTCCAGTATGAACAAAAATTTGGCAATACATCAGAGAGTTTGATTGAGGGATATTTAGCAAGATGATACAGTCAGAGCAGCGTTTCTTGGCTATAGACACTTGTATCTTCGAGGACATGGAAATTAGGACGGGAAGAAAGAAAGGGGAGAAGAAAGTCAGAGAGGTATATCGCTTGTATATGTGTATCTTGATCTTTTTACCAGCGAATAGCTGAAGCGTTTGAGACTAGAAAACCTGTCTTCTCTAGCGAATCATTATGGTATGGAAAATACATCTTAGTTGCAATCACAAATCTGCTCTGCCAAATATCTAGCTGCTGTTTGGTTCCATACTCAACCTTGATAGCACTCAGAGAGCAATAATCGGATGATACTAGGATAGCATAAACTAATCAAAAACTGTCGTGCCAATTTGGATATACCTTCTACTCCTCCTGTTTGTGCATTCCAATCGTCGCAAAGCGCTCCCATGAGCAGTAATCCCCCAAAGCAGCGGCTATGGTACTGGATTTTCCTCCCATGTTACATCCTTCCCTTGAAAACTATTCGTTAGACTCAGAAAGCTAGACGAAAAAAGCTGCGTGATTACTAAAAGTAGATGATATAGTATATCTATTATATATCTAGGTTTTGTTATATTATAATCCCGCGTCATATTGCTGTGGTATATAAATATGTTATAATATGGTAGTAAGTAGTTTCTTGAGAAATGGGAGAAAGGAATTCTCTGCGTATTGCTTCCCTAACTGATGCCTGTATCCTGGGAGAAAGGAACTCTCGCCAGGGAGTGTTGATATCGTAAGATAATCCGGATATCCAGAAGCAGTCAAATGAGGGAATCAATCAGAAGCTCTATCTTATGGTCCTAGATTTACCCCTCATGATAGGTCATAAATAATGTTAATCCTACGTGTGAGATTCCACAAAAATCTCACCGCCAAATTGTCTATATAATCCCAGCTTTGAAACCTGAGATATGAAAACAGAGAACTCAATGCACACAATCTTGCTAGTCACTTCCTCTTTTCTTATCCTAGTAAACCACTATTCAGGATTAGCCTGGAATAAACCCAATCAACCCGACACGGAGATGGTCTTTTGAATAGCAATAGAATGGGATCTTCTTCCGTGACTATCGTGACAGCCACATGAATATCCAGCTCAAAGGCCTTATAATCTGCCGTCTGGAAGAGAGGATTTTGGAATATCGGGTGGCCAGAAAACTCCATCCGTCAGAGTACAGAGTCCTGCAAGAATACGGTTCTGAGCCTCTGTAATAGTTCTAGAAATCCGCCAGCAGCGACGTTTGGCTCTACTCTCTCGGTTGCATCTATTCTTTCTAAATGTGCTGCTTGCCACGTATCCAGGTCTGGCCACACACGATTCAATAATGCTGGCGGAGGGCAGACAGCCGCCCGAGGCAAGTAATAGTTTGATGACCAGTCAGGATCAAAGTCTGCAATACCACGCATGAAGGATCGAGGCAGAGTAGTCAAGTAACAACCAGTCATGTGGTCTGCATTCCAGCGACCGCCCTGGCGAATCTAGAGACTGGAGGTTAGCTTAAATAGATAGAATAATAGAGCCTACTTACTTGATATCCAGAGACTCCATTCAACTCAGCGAGTCTGGCCCCAGAGACCCGTCCCGCATGTGTCACCTTGGAGCTCTTGATCCCTGCTTCGCTGTATAGGCATCTGGTCCAGGGTGCTGCTGTGCTATCGCTTAGGGGTTCAGTATGGTGGTTGTCATCTCGCTTGAGCACCTTGATGTGATACCGGTCTTGACTGGTTCGGAAACAAGGGAACGACTCTCCAGAACAGTGCTATCTCCAGAAGAAATGGGTTGCTAGAGAACCAATAAGACAGGACCGGTAGTCTGGATGCCGTAGAGCCGCCCCATACTCAAGCCAGCCATGTTGGTTTATTTTACCCTGATCCATCACAGTAACAAGGCACCAGCCTTTGCCATTTGATCCTTCATTAGGTATAGGTATTGAGAATAGATCTGGTATCTCTATAGGCAGCCGATTGCTTAATCTTAGCAGTATAGAGTTGCCAAAAAGAAAGCACAGCTGTGTATGAAACTGTTGCTCAACCTGATTCTGCCCTAGGCACTGGGCCCAGACCTTTCTTGTAAGATCAGGAGTCTGAGAGGCAACGTACCCATCTCGTATCGTAGCCAGCCCACGGTCTGTGAACCCATCACGTCGGCGTTGGTGCTAGCCTTGGGCAATCGATGTCTTCGGAGTATTCATAGCTACCCTCCGTGGTCACGCTGCATTATGGAGACCTAATGAGGTCTGATAGGCCCAGAGCTCATTAATAGCAGAGCAATAGCTTCGTACAGTATTGTACATCGGGACGGGTTCGGAGCAAGTCTCGTCATTGTCGCTTTCAACCAGCAGCTCTTCAAACGCCGCGGAGGGAACACTATTCTTCTCTCTCTTTCGCTTGGGGGGAGGCCCTTCTGACAGCAGTTCTGCTGCTGCTGCCGTCCTCTTGCGCTTCCTCTCTGCCTTGAGACTCTGTCCGCGGCGTGGAGGGCGGCTGGCAACTTTTTCTTTAATAAAGAGGAGGAGCTTCCCTTCGTCAACATAGTCTCCTGGAAGATATCTGCCCCCTTCCATGAAGCCCATCTTTTTGCACCAAGCCTAGGACTTCAGAGTTAGCGCTTGGAGTAAAAAGCGAGGAGAAACCTAATAACTACCTTCCACTCCTTCTGCTTTGGCTCATAGTTTCTCGTTATATTCTTAGGCCGTGAACTCTATGATACTCAAGGACCTCATCAAGAGCCTTTTATATAGCGATGTCTTCCGGTCGGAGAGGCTCGACCTCGGTGGTCGCGATGTCAGAAGCCTGTATCTGTAGAGGGGGAGGGCTCGCGTGTTGCCTCAGGGCTTGCGCTTGACGTCTCAAGAGCATTTGATAATGTCAATCATACAAGGCTTATACATGACTTACGGAAGGGCCAGGTGCCAGAGGATATCATTGGCTGGATTATAAGCTTTTTAAGTAGCCGCCGTATATCGATTACACTTCTTGAGGGCAATATGGGTGAATTTGACGTCAATACGGGTATCCCACAGGGGTCCCCCCTGTCGCCAATCCTGTTCTTATTCTTCAACGCGGATCTCATCGAGCAGATAAGTGCTGAGTGCCCAGAAGTGTTCATGATAGGCTATATCGACGACATCTTTACTATGGCGTTTGGGAATTCTGCAGCAGCCAATTGTCGTACCCTCACCAAAGCACACCAGGTGGCAGAGCGCTGGGAGAGGACTCACGCTTCAAAGTTCGCGGCAGCCAAATATCAACTAGCCCACTTTTGGCGGAAGTACCAATCAGTGCCAATGCCACAGGGTAGGCTGGATGTGCCTCTCATAATCAAGGGAGTGGAAATCAAGCCTGTGGACTCGATCAAATATCTCTGGGTCTATCTGGATACCCACCTCACCGGGGAAGTGCACGTACAGGAGATGAGAAAGAAGGCTGCAAAACTGGTGGCGGGATTAAGCTCAATCGCAGGATCGACATGGGGAACGCCCCTGGTTCATCTATGGAAAATATACACGGCTGTTCTCCAGCCACAGATCATGTACGCGTGCTTCACGTGGTACATACGAGGTGGAAGAGGCTTCACTGGTGCGCAACGGGCTGCAGAGCAAGCTATCGGATTGATCCAGGATCAGGCTCTTCACCGGATATCTGGCGCTTTTAAACGTACGTCACGACAGGCCCTAGAGGTCTGCATCCATGTGTCACCTGCAGAGCTCACGCTCGCAAAGCTGGCTGAGGAGGCATGCCTGCGGATCATGACCTCACTGCTTCGATCTACACTTTACCATGTACGTGGCCAAGCCCACCGTAACGACCCATACACGTCGCCACTTCATCGACTGGAAACAGCTATCAACCGCAAACTTGGACGCGATACTACTCAACGTATTGAGACGATCTACCCCTTTGTAGTGCCACCATGGTGGGAGCCACCAGAAGCAAGGATTGACAACACCCGTGAGGAGGCTATCAAGGCTATTGAGGCAACCTCAAGAACAGATACAACAGTGCAGTTCTTTACCGACGGAAGTGGCTTTGATGATGGGATTGGGGCAGCGGTCTACTCATCAATAGGACAGGCTTACAAGCCAGTAGGCTCATCTGACACACACACACTGTTTACGCAGGGGAGCTGGAGGGAATCGACGCGGCACTGGAAATCCTACTCCGAAGCCAGCCACGCAATGACAACCTACACGAAGCCACGATCTACACAGATAATCAAGCCGCGATACGTGCCACGTGCCAGTCAGAGAGGTCTTCCGGGCAGTATATCCTTCGACGGATTGTACGACACCTGGGCCTCCTACGCAACAACCGATCCCGATGGCGCGTACGACTACAGTGGGTGCCAGGCCACGAAGGGGTCCCAGGCAACGAGAAAGCAGACCAACTTGCAAAGTTGGCTGCAGTTGAGGCGACACAGCGTACACGGGAGAACGCCCGGATAGCCAGGATCAATACACCCAACCAGACTACACCACACGCCGCACGAATGTCATATATTCCAAATCAGTCAACTATCCTTGTTGCAGTGTGTCGCCAGAGGCTACATGCAGGCCTTGCAAAGTGGTGGAAGGACCAGTGGGAGCATGCCAAGCATGGACGGCATCGCTATCGGATAATCAAAGAGCCAACAAAGAGGTTGTTGCAGCTGCACGAGGGATTACGACGGGTTTGGAGTTCGGTGTTGATCCAACTACAAACAGGTAAATCAGCGCTACGCAGCTTCCTAGCGAGCGTACGGATCGAGGACTCACCTCAATGCCAATGTGGCCTTGGAGATCAGGATACGGCCCACGTCCTCGTACGGTGCCCTATCTATATGAACCTGCGTATGGAGACTCTCTGAAAGAAGCACGCGAAACAGATTATCGGAAGCTCCTCAGCGAACCTCAGTGGGTTCGGCAGAGCATCGAATTCGTGATACGGACTGGTCTATTGACGCAATTCCGTCACGCAATACCCTAATACCACGCGCTCACAGTGTGTGTGCGACACTATCTCGACGAAGCGTAACCATGCTGATCCGGCTCGTACGGATCAACCATTTGACACGTTTGGAATGGAACCGGGCACCAAAGCATATCACGTCACTCCGCACCTAGATCCTTCACTCTTTCTGTATATTCCCTACTGTTGTTAGTGTTCTTCGGATCTGGATACGGATACGCGTCGAGACTCTCGCGTGATGGTGGCTGAGCCAGCGCCAAACCAGAAGCCTTGGCACGTCGACGTTGATTTATGCTTTTGTATGGTAGTACGCCCGCTGCCCAATTAGAAGGCGCCGCCGGCCACTAGGCTTAGATGCGTGTATGAATCAATCAATTAATCAATGTATCTATAGAGGAGTCGTCCTTGGAAGGAGGCTCAAGAGCCGGTCTATAGCGTGATCAACCCTGGCAATCAGGCCAGCGACGATGCGCGATAGCGCGTCTACTTCTGTGACTTCACGCTGCATTCGGTCAGCCAGAATTGATGCAATGGTATATTGGCAGAGTTGGTAGTGGGTAAAAAAAGGGTGGTGATACAGCCACACCCCAGTTGGATCCATACACACCCCCTTATGTTCGAGCCACACCCCGTTGGCTCGATCAGGCCACACCCCCCCTAAAAGCGGTTTAAAGCAATGATCATGTGACTCAAAACGCGCCCTCGACCCTCGCGGGGTTCTGACTTTTGAGATGGAGAATGGACTAGTGTCAGGGCTTAGGGCTTAGGGTCAGGGTATATAGATAAGGATTCCAGCAAAAGGCACATTATTGAGTAAAGCCAGTCATTGTCTGCTTTGCTCTTTGATTTGTTATATTCCTTTTGAAATTTCTCAATATGAAACTTTGTTGGAAATTTCCATTGTTTCTATGCAGAATTTGTCCTTCAGTTCAGTCTTATGAGGACTATGGTGATCCTGCTTTTCTTTTCTTCTCCATAGGTCGTCTAACTCGTCTTGTTAGAGTGAATTAAACTTTCACCCAGTTTACTTCTGATTCCCTGTCTTTGAGTCGTACCTATTACAGAGCTGGAATGGAGAGATAGAGAGCTGGGAAATGACAAAATGTATGTGTCAATTTAGCTGGCGTGACTCATCACGGCAACCCTATTGTGCTGTTACACTACTATATTCGCTAGCAATCCTGATTCTTGTATACCAATTTCTAGCAGCTTAGAATTAGGACCTATTGACAGGAATAGCCTCACGGAATTCCCTAGTAACATGCGATTACCCGTTTGGGACAGCGGTGCCGTATTGGGACTAGCTTAAGCGCACATAATAGAAGTGGCCTCATTCTTCTCTTCTGCTACTGAGTAGAGACATCCAGCTATATTAATATAGCTATTCACCATGATATCGCGTCTTGTCAATTACGAAAGCTCAGAGGATGGCGTTAAGCCATTACCTAAGCTATCACCTCCCGAAGAGCCTTGTAAACTATATACTCGAATCCCTGCTCCTTCAACTGATTAGACCTTCGAGACCTAGGATGCTGCTATGAAATTCCTTAATAGCTTCACCAAGACTTATGGATATGTGTTGGTCACAAAGAGATCCAAAACGCCAAAAGAAGGTAGCCCTATTCACCGAGTTTATCTTTAGTGCAGCCGCGGAGGAGTATATTGTGAGCGTACCAATGAAAAGACACGTGTCAGAGAGACAAGCACACAGTGTATAGGATGCCCATTTAGACTTGTCTTGCGCCATGACAAGCACGCAGATTGCTGGCGTCTTGATCTTACAGATCCGAGGCATAATCACCATTCAGCAACTAGATCAACACTTGCTTCGTTACGCCATGAAGAGATAGAATCTAAGGAGACTCAAATTAAGTCTTATTTGGATTCGAAAATGTCAACGAATCAAATCTTATCAACCCTCTATAAAGATAATCCAGAATCGATTATCAAGCCAAGAGATATCTACAATAAGAAAAGGAAACTGCGAGATGATTTCCTTGATGGCAAGACACCAGTCCAGGCCCTTATTAGTGTTGTTCCAGATAATGGTGATTGGATAATCAACTATGGAACAAGTGATATAAATACACTACTTGCTGTATTCTATATGCATAAAACTTCACTCAAGATACTCCACCAAAATCCTAATGTTCTATTCATGGATTGTACCTACAAAACAAACCGATATAAGATGCCGCTCTTGGATATCGTGGGTTGTACAGCATGCAATAAGACGTTTTATGCAGGATTTAGCTTTATATCAGATGAAAAGGAAGAGAGCTACAAGTTCATCTTGGAATGCTTAGCTGAGGTCTATGCTCAAGCAAATCTCCCGTTGCCAAACTGTATCCTGACTGATAAAGATATGGCCTTAATGAATGCAATCCCCACTGTTTTTCCAATGGCGGACAATATCATCTGTCTTTGGCATATTGAAAAGAATATTCTTACATATGTCCGTCTTATTCTTACGAATGAAGTGCCTCATACAATCTATTCTGGAGATCCAGCTGCTGCAAAGAAGGATGTCACACAGTACAAGACTCATATTGAGTCAAAGTGGAGGAACTTTTTCGGGTCATTCAACAAGATTGTGTACGTGAAGACTGAGGAGGAGAAGGACGAAGCGGTGAATGCCTTTAAAGCTAAATACAGCAGTGATATCTGGCAGGAAGTCATGGACTACATTAATTCAGAGTGGATTAATGATAACATCACTCAACAATTCCTTCATTGCCATCTCTCAGACGTCAAGCATTTTGGCCAGCTAACCACATCCTGAAATGAATCAGCCCACTAGACACTAAAACGTGACCTTCAAGTCTCTACAAATGATCTCCTGGAGACATTTAAATCATTTAACCGTACTGTGACCCGTCAACATGTTATAATTAAGCAGACTCACAAGGATGATAAGGTACAGTATCAATTTCGCTTCCGTCAAAGTCTCTTTCGCATTATACGCGGTAGAGTATCAAGTTTTGCGCTTGGGAAGGTTCTTAATATGAAGAATGACTTTCTTGGCCCGACAAAGAAGCCATTTAACCCAGAGTGTTCTGGAATCACGAAACGGACCATTGGTATTCCTTGCATTCATATAATTAAGCACTGTATCGATAGTGAGGAGCCACTACAGCTATATCATTTCCACCAGCACTGGCGGTTATACTTTTCCGAAGAGTTACCTCCAATTGATCCCCGTACAATAGTGCTTAACCTGGCGGTGGTCCAAGGTCGTGGTCGCCCCAGAGACTCAATCAACCATCCAACAGCCTCTCAGGCTATATCAACACAGGATTCTTCAACACGGAGAGAGCTATCAGCATTCGAGCATGTCATTGCGCAGGGGAATCTTAATACTGGAAGTCGAGGCCGCAGGGGCAGGGATCGTGGGGGACGAGGAGGATATTCAAGTCAAGCTAGGGCAGAGAGCATTGTGGCCAACAGTCGGACTGCTAGTAGAGGAATGGTCTCGCAGGATGCAACCGCAACAGCTTCGCAAATTGCCTCAGAGGGTCCAGTCAGACGGAGCCAGTGATGTGGACGTGGCCAGCCAGCGCAGTGGCTTGGCGATGAGAACGAATTGCTAGGATATTAGGGCTTAGAGATATGCTAAGCAACGGCTCTGGCTCGGTGGAACAGTGTATTATTAGAATCATTAAAATAGCAGTAGGGGATAAATAATGAATCAAAATAGAATTTACTGGGACGGTCTAATCAGGGTTGCTCTAAACCGCTTTTAGGGGGGGTGTGGCCTGATCGAGCCAACGGGGTGTGGCTCGAACATAAGGGGGTGTGTATGGATCCAACTGGGGTGTGGCTGTATCACCACCCTAAAAAAAAGGAGCTTGATTCCCATACCTACGCGTAATTACTGAAGGCGGACGCGTTCTGAGGATCTCATAAATCACTTTGAAATGGGTGACTGGGCGATAACTACATACAAAATAATCCCAGCAATTGAGGGCTCTATCATAGCGGAACTCGAGCGGTATTTTTTTGCGGGATTCGCGGGCGTATTTGAGAGGCCCTATTATCGGCTGGCGCAACACTGACCTCATACACTAGAAGGTTCTGTGGTTGCGATGCAGAAGAAATCTACTTGGTTAATTGTCGACCGGATCCCGTCGGGATCTTTGAATTGCGTCCCTGCGTGTCTTAAAATCCTAACCCTAACTCACGTACGTTCCACGTATATATCCAGCTAGACACCCCCGACTCCCCTGTCTTTCTTTGGAGTCAGTCGTAATATTAGGAATAACTTCAATATTACCAGGCTCACCCTAGTAGGGCTGTCGGACTGCCCTTGCCGCAATCACGTGCTTCGTGATCCAGGACCCGGCTAAACCGACATTTTCCTTTGCTGTGACAGGCTCCGCAGACTTCTTCTTATCTTTATCGACCTGTTCAATATCATTTAGAGGCTGTATGGCGGCTTGTTTTGTGGCCTTCTCCTCTTCTTTCTGACGTCTTTTCCCTCTGCCTCCTGCATCTACACACTCCTATAATCTATTAAAACCCCTTATTCTCTTCCGTTCCTCAATCAACCGTTGTTTTTCTTCCTTCTCCTGCTGCTGACGTATCTTATCCTCCTCTTTAGCTTCTTTAGCAAGCCGTGCAGCCTCTTCATTCTCAGATTGAAGGTTGCGTGCTTGTTGAATCTTCTTAGGGCTATAGAAGATTTCATTACCATCTTCTGGTGTTTGAAGACGAAGCTGTAAAGGCTTTCCACGCTGCCCCTCCTTCTGCTCATTCCGGAGAGCATTTTCCAGGCCTGTGTAGCATGTTTTGACAAGGATATTCTCTGTGGAAAGACGCATTATCGTCTCATGCAGTTTCCGGACTTTTACGTCATAAACCATTGGAAACAACTTGCTCCAGAAGCTTCTCAATGTGACTCCAGTCTTTTGCCTTCAAGATAGATTGCGTTGACTCACTAGAAGAAGGTCTTTCTTCTTGTTCCCTGTTTCCTGGTGAAGCGTGCTAAATTAACATCCGGATCCCAAGGATTTAGACCAACAGATTTCCACGCGCTGTTGATATTTTTGACTGAAACAGCCCTAATCCAGCTTGGCCAAAATAGCGAGAAAAATCCCGCTTTGTAATATGGTTTAATCCTTGACATCATGCATAAATTGTTCCAATTTGTCTCTGTATGCTCGAGAAAGAGGGCCGAAAAGACTGACATCAAGAGATTGCAAACTATGCGTTGAATGAGGTGGATAAATAGCCAGGAGGGTCTTGTTGACATCACAAAAGTTTATAAACTTCATACTGACGTGGGAGCCATGGCCATCAAGAATTAGAAGTCGCCAACGCCCTTGCTCCTTCTCTTTTTTCTTTTTCAGGATCGAATAGAGTTATAAGCCACGCGTAGCCAAGCTCATCTTTTGTCCATCCACTAGGCGACGATGGAAAAAGGTAGTGATGGTCATCAGGCTTAAAATCCTGAAGCCACGTATCTTGCATATCTCGAGACACGGCCTGGTAAATCAAACCAGGTGAAAGAGCTGTCTCATCTGCACAAATACAGGCAATTGTAGTAATCCACTCTCTATTTCCATCTTGAATTCGTTGCTGTGGTTCTCCCTTCTGATACCAGCGTTGTGAAAAGATTCTTTGGCCTTTTGATAGTGCTCCAATGAGAAAAGCCTTCTCATTCATATTGTACATATTTCTAGGTTCAATCTCATACTCCTCAATTTTTTTTCGATCATAAGCTTGGAGTATAGTGCGTACTTATAAGTAGAATTAGCCCCTTTGCGTGAAGCGTCAATTCCAGTTATATAGGAATACATAAGCACATCATCAAGTCTTGAGATAAAGCGGTGCGGTCATCAGGCTTATTTCCAGTAATTTCTTTTGCAAAATTTCGCACCATTGATTGAGATGGTGGTAATCCACGCTCAGCGTGAGATATTGATCCGTTTATCATCTCTTTTGACTACTGGTTGTTGAGAATTCGTTGCTTTTCATACTGGCTTTGACGAGAGCCCTGTACATCTCGGTAACGTTTGACGTTATGACAACGTCGTCCGGCCAACACCATGCTTTTCCGCTATTTAGTATAATTAATCTTTCTCCTGCTCTCAAGGATTCTATTTCTACAAGATCTGCTTCAATTAACTCCATACTGATGGTATTGAGGTCTATCTAAATCTATCGAAAAAGTCGGTGTATAGATGACACCGTCCGTCAGGTGACTTGGAACGGTACCTGGGTGCGCCGTTTACCCGTGAAACACGTTAATAACTGCAGTATGGATCCTATTACAATGATGAGAGGAAGCCTTCGGTGAGCGAATTGTCCACAATTGTGCGACGATCTATTCGGGCCGAGAGCGTTGATCCAATACAGACATACCACTTCGATCATCCTATATGCTCGATGCTGTTTATATAGCCTACTAGTTAACAGGAGAATGCACTGTGGAGAGAGCGCAAATTTATTGTTATATTAAGTAGAGATATATACAATAACATGTCGTACAAAGACAACAACCCCCTCCCTTCCCTAAAGTCCAACAACGTTGTTATTTCGATAGCAGCATTCGAGACCGGATGGATGAAAATCGATGCTTCCCTGGCAATCGCCGGTCTGAAAGGTGAATTCAACGCGACGTCGTGGCGATTCTTCATGCAACATGCTCCATCAAATACCAAGTTTTGGTTTGATCTTGGAGTAGCTCATGTGAGATCTATGCCTAATTCCCCAGTACTGATAATGAGTCGGTTATGCAAGCTAATTCTACTTTCATAGGATCTCTCACTATATCCTCCCCAAATCCAGCGCGTCCAGCATAAAGTCTTTTTCACTACCCCGGCCAAACGTGATCCAGCTCAAGATGTCATTTCAGTAGGGGTTGACCCAAAGGATGTGAAATACATATTTGTTAGGCATGATGGAAACTACAACGGCATTGTTATCTCAATGTTCTTTAGTTCTCAGCTAATATATGCCTAATCATGCGCACTGGGATCATATATTTCCAGCATCCGACTTTTTCCCCAATGCAAAAGTCCTCTGTCACGAAGATACCTTGAAATGGACATCCACAACATGGCCAACTGATCCCGAAGGCGGTTTTGACGGACGCATATGGAACAAGGAAGAATTAGTGCTGCCTATTGATGGCATTCCCTCCCCGGCTACTGCACCAGAAAAGTGGCAGACACTGGGTCCATTCAAGAACGCCCATGACTTTTTCGGTGACGGTAGCTTCTGGCTGATTGATGCTCCTGGACATTGTCTTGGAAACATGGCTGCTCTAGCTCGCATAAAACGCAAAGACGGGGTGATCAAATGGGCATTCTTGGGAGGTGACTATTTTCATACACCAATGTTCATCAGTTATCCCGATGCTCCTTTTGGCAAGGGGGTCAAGGTAACCTCTACCGATTCTTTCCATGAGGACGAAGAACAGGCTAGGGAAATTATCAGACAAGCAGCAGAGTTGAAGAGAGGGGAAGGTGAAAATGCATTAATATGGCTTGCGCACACTGATGTTCTGGAGGATGCATGGAACTTTTGACAAATCTTTGGGCAAGTAGCTTTTATCCTGATTAGGGCTAGGGCTAGGTCTAGGGCTAAAATGTGTTGATGAGTTGTGATCTTAACATTTCACACACCCACGAGGGTGTGAACCAAATGACTGGCAGATATTTGTAGTCTTATACCAAATCATTTCTACTATAGTAATACTCGACTGTTTTCAGGCTGATAACACACTTTTATTGATGACCTCACGCAGTCAAGATAGAAAATGTGTATAGTTTGGCCGCAACGGGTCACGTGTCGCTAAGGTCTTACGCGTACTATGTAAACCGTTAGACCGTAGCGCCAGAGAGGGCCCCGTCCGTGCTCCCTCGCGGGGAGGCAAGTGTCTTTGTATTGTAATGGCACTATGAATCTATGTGGAATCTGCTGCGAACTCTAACTCTAAGTTAAACTCTAAATGGATTTCGCGTTTATGAAACCCCTTTTTCCGTTGTGAATTACAACTCGCTACATTTACACTATATATTTATATCCTACACCTTTTTAACTCTATTACACCACATCAATGTTACAGAGCTGGGTCAATAGGGTAAAACGCATGGCATAGAAAACTAACAAGACGTGAGCTGAAGAGAAGAAACTAATCTACAAGGGAGCAAGCCCATATTTATGTCTACGCAGGGCCTACTCCAGGGCATGCTTCCTGACGGAGCATGCCTGCTAAATTCGTACAAAGATCTTAAACAAAGGGATACAAGAAAACCACCAACAAAGCCTTTAGTGAAGCTATTACCAAGATGGGAAACTTATAGAACAAAGATCCTCAGAGGTGTCCTTGGTGTCGTAAACCCTCACCGCCTTTGCCTGCTTGGCGGTGCCGCTGCCTAAGGCAGACCTCTGAGTCAGATCCGTGACAATCAACAAACAATATTGAATATTCTAATCAACCTTACATAGTACACCAGCGGAACCAGCGAAACTAGTGGAATCCACTACTGGCTGTTGGAACGCAATACGCTATCCCTAATTGGGAATCCATCATAATACTAACATGAAGAAATTTCGAGAACTAGATTCACATACTGACGAGATATAGACATCCAATCAGCTTTATATGCCTATGTCTAGAAGGTTCGACTGGACGTCATCTCATGATCTAGTTTGTACAGGACCTCACATATAAAAGAGGTCAACATTCCTGACAAGTTTTGTATTAGGGAGTGTGCATCAATACATAGAAATTCTCAACTCCAAGTTCTTATTATTTGCCTATATTCCGTATCCATCCTAGCGTAACCGAGCTCCAACACTAGCTCTGGAACACGTGACCTTGAAAACCCTACTTCATACGTGATAATCAAATGAGATAACTCTCTCTCTCTCTTATCAACTCGCTCGATTCTGGCCACGCCTTGCTCTCTCTTCTATGTTATTAATCCTATAATGTTTCTTCTCATCTATAACCATAATTTTATTTCTATTGGTTTTGCTACGGTCTGTGACGGCTTAGCCCAGGCTTCCATGGGCTTGGCGCTGCACGTCCCTTATTGACTACATATGTTAAACATATACCGTAATAGATGGTAATGAGTGGTAACTTTAGTATTTTATTAGTTGGTCCAAGCGTCGTAACATCTATTAATCCCAAAATAGCATTTTAAATTACACTAGCGCTAACAAGATATCATCCACCCCCCGGGAAGATACTGTCAGATAACCGGGATATCCGGCGATGTAGAAGATAGGTTATTTGATCAGGTCATCCAGTCACCTCAAGCTACCTACACTTCAGCAAATAAGGAGTCGTCTTCTTATCAGGGCTCAATATAGCCCTCAAAGTTTACCCCTCATGATAGCTCACCAAAGACCCCGCCAAAAGTGTCTATAAAGGACCCGGCATTGAACCTGATGTATTAGACAGGGACAGAGAGACCTCAAAAAATATATACAATCTTGCTAGTCACTTCTTTTCTTTGATCCTAGTAAAACACTCTTCAGGATTGGCCTGGAATAAACCGACTAATCCGACAGATATCACGCTTAGAAATAACCCGGTCAAGACCAACTCTCCCGGCTTGGTGTTGCTTAGCCGACACCATCCGAAAGTCTCGACATGTATCCGTATCCCAGTTTTGGAGAACAATAACAACAGCAGATAAACGAATAAATAAAACGTTGAAATAACAAGGGAAATGTAGGAAATACACAACGAGTGATCAATCTAGGTTCAGAGTGACATGATGCGCTTTGCCCGTTTCTGTGTCAGATGCGTCGAGTAGCCGATTCGTACGAGTCGAGCCGACACCGTTGCTCTTCATCGAGATGATGTCGCACTCACTGCGAGCGCGTAGTTGGGGGATCACGTGGCGAAACTGCGTCAATAGACCAGTTCGCAACACAAACTCAATGCTCTGTCAAACCCACCGAGGCTCACTAAGGAGATTCCGGTAGTCTGTTTCGCGTGCTTCTTGCCGGAGGGTCTCCGTACGTAAGTTCGCGTAGATAGGGCACCGTACGAGGACGTGAGCCGTATCCTGATTTCCAAGACCACATTGATATTGAGGCGAGTCTTCGATTCGTACGCTTGCTAGGAAGCTACGTAGCGCTGATTTACCTGTTTGTGGTTGAATCAACGCTGAACTCCAAACCTGTCGTAGGCCATCATGTAGCTGCAACACCTTCTTCGTTGGCGCTTTGACTATGCACTAGAGATGCCGTCCATGCTCGGTGTGATCCCATTAGTCTTTCCACCGGTTCACGAAGCCCTCCCGTAGTCTTTGGTGGCACACAGCAACGAGGATAGTTGACTGATTTGGGACGTATGAGATCCGTGCGGCGTGTGGCATGGCCTGGTTGGGTGCATTGATCCGGGCTATGCGAGTAATCTCTCGTGTGCGCCATGTCGCCTCGACTGCGGCACGCTTCGCAAGCTGGTCTGCTTTCTCGTTGCCTGGGACCCCTTCATGCTCTAGCACCCACTGTAGTCGTAATGCCAATGAGGTCGGTTGTTATGCAGGAGGCCTAGGTGTCGTACTATCCGTCGGAGGATATACTGCCCTGAAGACCTCCCTGGCTGGTGTATGGCGCGTATCGCAGCTTGGTTATCCGTATAGATCGTGGCTTCACGTGTATCTTCGTTGTGTGGTGGGTTTTGGAGTGCCGTGTCAATCCCCTTTAGTTCCCCTGCATAAACTGTATGTGTCTCAGATGAGCCCACTAGCTTGTAGGCCTGCCCCATTGTTGGTGAATAGACTGCTGCTCCAATCCCATTGTCGAAACCACTTCCGTTGGTAAAAGCCTGTATTGTTGTATCTACAATTAAGGATGTCTCGATGGCCTTATAGCCTCCTTGCGGGTGTCATCAATCCTCATCTCTGGTGAATCTATAAAGGGATGGATTGTCTCGATATGCTGGCAGGTGCCACGTCCGAGTTTACAGTTGATAGCCGTTTCCAGCCGATGGAGCGGCGACGTATACGGGCCGTTACGGTGGGCTTGGCCACGTACGCTGTGGAGTGTAGGTCGTAGTGGTGAGGTCATGATTTGCAGACAAGCTTCCTCAGCTACTCTCGCGAGAGTAATCTCTGCAGGTGGCACATGGAGGCAGAGCTTTGAGGCTTGTCGTAACGTACGCTTGAAAGCACCAGATATCCGGTATAGAGCCTGATACGGGATTGATTGGACAGCTTGCTCCGCGACCCGCTGCGCACCAACGAAGCCTCTTCCACCGCATACGTACCACGTGGAGCACGCGTACATAATCTGTGGTTGTAGAACAGCTGTATACATCTTCCGTAAATAAACCAGAGGCGTTCCCCATGTCGATCCTGCGATTGAACTTAATCCTGCCACCAATTTAGCAGCCTTCTTCCTCATCTGCCGTACGTGTGCTCCCCCAGTGAGATGGGCGTCGAGCTGGACATGGAGATATTCGATTGAATCCCAAGGGTTGATTTCTACTACCTTGATTGTAAGAGGCACATCCAATCTACCCTTTGGCTTCGGCACCAGCTGGTGCTTCCGCCAAAAGTGGGTAAGATGATATTTGGCAGTTGCAAACTTGAAAGCATGGGTCCTCTCCCCACGCTCTACAACCTAATGCGCTTGATTAAGTATACGGCAGTTGGCTGCGGCAGAGGCCCCGTGAGCCATGGATAAAGATATCGTCAATATAGCCAATCACGGCCACTTCTGGACACTCGGCAAGTATCTTCTCAATAATTTATGCATTGAAGAATAAGAATAGGACTGGTGAGAATGGGGATCCTTGCCGGATGCCTGTATTAACTAAGAATTTGCTTATATTGCCCTCTAGAAGCGTAATTGATGTGCGGCGGTTGCTTGAAAAGCTCTCAATCCAGCCAATTACGTCCTTTGGCACCCGGCGCTTTCGTAGGTCGTGTAACAGCCCTATATGATTGACATTATCGAAGGCTCCAGATACGTCGAGTGTAAGCCCTGAGGCTACTCGGGAGCCTTCCTCCATGCGCTATGGGTCTCTTCTAGTAGGGGATAAATCGCCAGCTCGCATGAGCAGCCGCGACGTCCCCCGATGTGTTGCTTCGGTAATAATCCGTATGGTTCCACGAGATAACTAAGGCGTCTCGCTAGTACTAATTCCAATGCTTTCCCAATTGTGCTCAATAGTGCGATTGGACGATAAGCCTTCGGGTCGGAGTAGTCAGGCTTGTCAGGCTTGCGAAGGATAACTGTTGTGGACCTTCGGAAGTGGTCAGGACAGTATTGTTGACAGAGGCATGCGTTAAAGAGGTTGACGAGATAGCTCTCCACAGTAGGAGGTAGCCGTTGTAGAGCTAGATTTGGTATTCCATCTGGTCTTGGCGCTTTATTGGGCTTCATGTTGTTTACCGTGGTGCGAACTTCGTCGAGTGTGATTGGTGGCATCTCGTATGGTTTAGGATATCTGTATTGTGGCCCGATATCCGATAGATCTATCTCCAGAGGCTCTGGGTGGAGCACCTCTCGGAATAGAGCTGCCTTCTCATTCGGGGCCGTGTAGTTCGTGTCGTTGTAGTGTAACGTCGGGGTAAATGCGGTGCGTGGTATGCCTCGGTTGCGAACCCAGCGAGTAATCCTTAAAAAGCCGTCTATTGACTCTGTTGCTTCCTCGATTCTTTGACGGTGTAGATCGCGTGCCAGTTGATTCGTGCGTCTCTTCATCTCTTTCCTAGCCTCTGCGTACTCCTCCTATGCCTGATCTGCATTCGTCCGACATGCATGCCGCCGACACCTAGAGACGTGGTGTTTAAGCTTTGCTATCTCTGGGGTACAGCCAGCGCATGAGTAGATAGTGGCCTGCTTAGTAGGCGTTGCTTGCTCCGCTGTCTGATTGATTGCATTAACCAGGTATTGAACTGCGTTGTCGATTGAATTCAGGAGACGAAGCAGATGAAGATCAGCCACTTACGCAATCTGTAGCTCCGGAGCGAGAGCGTCGAGCCAAATTACCTCAGCTTTGGTACGAATATTTGCAACCACCGGCAGTGTATACGGCGAGCTCTTATGGAACGCTTCGAAGAGCCTCTGGAGCATTGGTCTTCTGTTAATCCCCAGCGTTACTGTACTTATCGCAACTCTATATTCCGCCTCGATGACTACATGGATAGTACTAAGTATTATAATTATAAAGAGCGTGGTTCTCGTGCAAATAAGATAACACAAAGCTATTATGGCTGACACCAAGAAATGGGCTACCACGCAAGTAGCTAATATCCCACACAGGTTTATGTTTATACCAACTGTCGATCTCTTTCTTGCAGAATCGCTTTACGAACTAATTGCACAATCGACCGACCTCCTTTGCACACCGGAGACGTTGAAGTCTAGTATCGGTTCCTGGTGTTACTGGGAAAGCAATGGGGAGCTATTACATAAAATGCTGAAGCAGAGCTCCTCTGAACACCGCTCAGCCATGAAATTTACTTCATCCCAAACAACTACTCAATCTGGCATGCTGCCGCCACAGAACTTAAGCCAGTACAATTCACAATATACTACACAATGCGAGACTGATTCATCCCTTCTCACCATGTTATCTCCCTCAACACCAAGTCAGAGCAATTCTCAACTAATTTCCTATGCTACACCATCTCTGTCCTCGATATCACCCACACCTTGATCGGTGATGAATCGATCCAACGTAAAAATCGGAGTGTGAGCTGGCTCATCAGGCGCTGGGTCTGCCACTTGATTTTGGTTAAATAAACCCACTTTCTTCCTAATCAGAGTGCCAAAATCTGCAGCGAACAAATCCCTGGGGATAAAATCTGCATCACGACCGCCTTGCTTTTGCTGCAGCGATTGCAGTTCGTGTAATCTAGTGTCCAGTCCGAATATGTCTAAAGTTACCTCCTTCGTGGTGTGCTTAGAGCGCACAAATCGGCTGGAGAGATGGTCGATTTAACTCTGCAACTCAATACAGTAACTGACTGTCAATGCAGTTCACCGGAATAAAAGCTCAAGGCTCTGCGTCGAGGCCCGTCGACTGACCATAATCCGCTTCAATTCCAGATTCACGAACTCGTTCAATCGATCGATTTCATACCAACTATCATAGCCCCTCGGATATTTACGAGACTGTTGACAAGAATCGCGTTTTGAAGTTCGATTGATGCGGCTTCAGTTCCAGTAAGCCAGGTCATGTATAAGGATAAGATGCAGTATTTGATCTTATTCCCTTCAAGAAAAGAAGAGCAAATCGGGGGTAAAAGTCTCCGCATATGACCGTTATCACCATATGGAATAGCCTCTATGAAGGTATAGTAAGTTTCCATATACTAGATAAATCGTTTATGACCATCAAATATATGGTCAATTGTATCGTAATTACCATCAATGCGGTGGCGTCGGCATCTATAGATTTGGCTTCATGCTCGGCAGTATCCTTCTTTACACTATCTTTCTTCTTCGTAGCATTCGTCTTATTTGATATCTCAGATGATGAGAATATTGATTCACAAACGATAGAGATGTATCGAAGCAGTGTTGGCAGATCAAGTTTCTCAATAATGATATTGACCTGGGCTCAGTTTTGTAGATTAAGAGCTTTGCCGTCTGCCTTAATAACTGTATATAATCGCGCTAGAACGCGTGCGCTAACAGATTGCATGACAAGCTGTTCCTGATAATGAAAAGGATCGCGATGCCCCTGTTTTATTCCCATCAGAATTGCATTATGAATGAGTGCGCACTCACTATCGATATTGTGTTCGTCAGAGATACTCTGATTATCATATTAATGAAGTTCGTACGTTAGTGGAAGGGACCGGGACAGGGAGTATCCATCGATAGCTACCATATATATCCCTAGACCGCCGACTTTCCTTCTTAATACTATCGACAAGACCACATGTTTTCTGATCTCAATACACCAACTGGATAATATCCCTATAAATGATGATTTATATCCAATCCGAACTGCGCCTTGAAGATCTGATTGATAACTTGATAGGTACCTTCAATAGCGCCCTCACTCTCCAGAGGACCAAGACCGTAGTGATCGGTTTTACCCCGACCAAGCCTGTCAATGGCGGGGAATCCTATGAGGTCATGTCCGTCGGCATCCACTGAATCAAATGCCTTAGGATGGTCCGACTTGATGCACTGAGCGATAAATGAAATCTGGCATTGTATTGATATAGGATCAATGGAACTGTTGGCCAGTGCATGGTGAATATCTCTATCCATATCCAACTTAAATGTTCGATTTAGCATTGATGAAACAAGACCACCTTCTGGTATCTGTAAACCCATACAGAGCTTCCCTGTCGTAACTGAGAAATGAGTATTTTGCTCAGCGTCCGGTGATGGACTGTTTGATTATAATCAACGTGCTAATACCATCCACAAGCATTGAAGGGATCAGCTCGTCGTCATCCATAAAGATTTCCCGTACTTCGGGTTGCCCAATGTTGCTTTGCGAATAGCTTTGACCCGATTTTTAGGACTATGGGCATAAGGAACTGCCTGTGCAGTTGCTGCATTGTGTAGAAGTTCCTTCATGCACCATCTGTGAGCAGTATGAAGACATTGGTATACCGCATGCAGGCGTTCTCCATTGCTGAGCCCGGGCAGGTATCCTGAGGCTCAATTTCTAGGGCGGCGCGTAAGTTAGATGAGGTGGGGGGCCGATACGCGTCTGTATTTAATCTTGCTTCGACCACCCCCTTGGACTCGACAGCTACCTGTCGTTCTGGTTCAAAAGACATATCGTTGTGCTCAAAAAGGCGTAAGAAATTGATAAAAAAAAGAATATTCAATTCCGGTCAGTTTGTATGAAGTTGTGATTTTCTGTTTAAATTTCTTTCGCATAGTACTATGTAAGGATGGATGGTGTTTATTACGCCCGGAGGACTAACCCTATAACTAACTAGGGCACTAGTGCGTTAATTACATACTCCATTTCTCTCAGATCCGACGTGAACTCGAGATAGCCCATGTTTTTGTTCTCGTGACGCATATGCTTGGTGTTTGGATTCTTCGGTTGGTGCTTATAGGAGTTCCCTTGGTGTTGGCTAGTAGATGACCTTAAAGGTTATCTTCTCCAAGTGTGCAGTGTCCTATCTTCAGCGGCTGCAACTGTATCTACTTGGGAAGGGAAAGGGGGAGGAGAGGGCTAAGGGGTGGATTACTTTATTCTTCACTGTGTTAACTGGGGTTCGGGTTCCTGTTCCAATCTTCCTGTTGCAATTGCGTACTTGATTGCTGCATGGACGGCTCTCATATCCACTTGCCATCGATCAGGGTCTGAGAGTGATTTTCCGCCTAAGAAGAAGGACAGATTTCCTCGTTTTGTCTGCATGCACTGATTAATACCTTCTCTCGTTGTTATCCATTTCGTGCAGCGGAATAAAAAGTGTTCCACAGTCTCACTTGCTTGGCCGCAGGTGCAAAGATCAGAGTCTACTGCGCCTATCCTGTTCAAATAGCTGTTGAGCCTTGTCATGCCTGTCCGAAGCTGAGCTAGAGTTTTTGCCTCTTTCCGATTTAGTCCATCGTATAGGCTTCTGGTGTACTTTCCTGGAAGTGCTGTGTCGATAGCCTTTGAGTATTTTCCGACGCTCTCTAGGAGAGTCCATTTTTGTCGTTGTTCCGCAATAGCAAGTCTAATTGCAATTTATTTGGCTTGATATGGCTGTATCTCTGGTTGGCGTTCTGTTTTTGTTGATTTCTGTGCTTCCATTTTTGCCCCAAGCTTCACACTCATATCTGTGTGTACTGGGACCTAGATTGCGTTGATCGCGTTTCCCTGGCGCTGCGAGGTCTAAACCAGTTTATACATCCGTTAGATAATCTTTTGGCCGGACTGTTGACGAGGCTGGCTGATTATTGTAAGGGCAGATCTGTTGCTACTAAGGATAGTGATCCACCTGCGGCATGTCCCGGCTGGAATGCGTTCCAGTGCTGCTGCTATTGCTCCTAACCCTGCTGTATAAGGGTTTTGTTCTGTCCTTTTGCCTAGACTTATAGAGTAGCTGGGTTAGTATTGTTGTTGCCGTTTGCTTGGGTATCTATTATGCATCCTCCAATGCCCACGAGCCCTGCTCTAGCAGATGCACTAGTCGCTATTAGGATGTCTACTGCCTTATTTGCAAGCCCAATGGCCTTCTCACTGTCCCTTTCGCATATCTTCTATGTCTGGTATGTCCATGGTGAGACAGTGAATGCCCGAATGGTCTCTATCTGCTTAGTTGTTGTTGCTTTCAGTGCGTGAGCTATCTTCTATAAAGGGGACGTGAACTTCCAGGTTGCATCCGTTTTCAACTTCACTAGTGGGTTAGATTTAGGCAAGGTCTGGATGTCAATCCATAACTTTGTAACCTTCTTAGTATGTTGGTTGTGGAAAGGGTGGATTCTTGCTTCTGCTTCTGCCACTATAGTTGCAACTGTCCGAAAGGCTCCTATGACAGCAATAGCTCCATGTTTCTGCATTCTATTTAAGTATTGTGTTTCCTTTGTCCCACAGGCGTACATCCAGACACTAGACGCATAGTCTGCTCCTGGTGCAACTGTAGCTTTGAATAGTTGCCTTGCTGTCCGCGGAGATATCATCTTTAGCCTTCTTAGCGCCATAGCTGCCACAAGTCCTTTGGTAGCAGCATTAGCAATATGTTCCTTGAAGTTTAGCTGCAAATCCATCACTACTCCTAGGATCTTTGCACTTTCCTTTGGTTCGACTGTTTCGCCTTTGATCATGAATGGTATGCTGCTTGAGCGGCAAGTATTGATTTGTATTCCTAAGCTAAGCAAGCCTGATAATACATTGTAGAGGTAACAGCATGTCTACCTACATAGACTCTCTACCTTACATTCCCTTCGATCCTTATCCGCATCCTTCGCGGGGCACAGCCGGTTCCGCAAGTCAATACCAGTTTGCACCTTAAGCCTACTTCCATAGCCGCCCTAAAGACTCCATCCTCGATAGCCATCTTCCGAATCCTATTCTCTCAGTAGACCAACACGCGCGTCCGTCCTCTCAAGCCGTATAGAAAGTGTCGTAACTGCAGTCCGCCCACCCAGTCTTCCGTCGCTTCCATTATGCTGCGTCCCACAGATTGTCAAGTCTGTTTCGCGCTACCTTGTAAGATCTCTCTAGCAAGGCCGACCGTGTCCCGCAGGAGTTCGCCCACTTGTATCCTCTCTGTACCCAGAACAGCCAAGCAATATAGTGTTATCACTCCTACTAACCAAAGTACCTCGTCGTTCTCTGCGTGGGTTCAAGCATGCTAGGTCGTATCGTTCGTGTTTTCTTTAACTAGGTCATTTCTGTGTCCTTAGACCCGGCAATATCCTCCTTTCAACAGAGCAGCCCCAGAGCACCCCAAGGGTTTCCTATCCCACGACCCTAGTGTCCACTAATTGTAAGATCAGTTTCGCGGTCGTGTGTGGGGTGGTTTTCAAAGCGTTCCCTTGTCGCCTGTGGGTGGGGTCAGGGTAACTAAGCCCTTCTCCCAACCATAGCCCTAGCCAGCCTAGCCAGCGGACAGTGCTGGCCGGTGGTGACTCTTCTTAGCTCTGCAAATACCAACCAGGCAAGACATCTGCAGGTTCCCAGCCGGCACCAACGAGGAGGTGAGATCGTTGCCGGCCTGTAAGTGCTACACCATGCGCTCAGACCATAGATTGGGTGAAGCTACCGATTATGTAGGTCCAGCGTCCTGTAAGGTCACATGATCTAGCGGTCTGAGAAACTGAGATAAAAAGTGAGTGAGAATTGACATTTTCAACACTGGGTAACCATACAAGGAATAGATATTTCTTTTTAAAATTGTAAAGGTGGGTCGACAATCGGTATTTCTACTGTTAGACAATTTTTGGGGTCAGTAGACCTCTACATTATGTTGAAGTGTAGTGCAGATATCACTAATGGTGCGTGGTGGAATCTCTCTAATTGGGTCTGAGCAAGGATTCAGCACATTGGCGACTACATAGTATATTAGAATTTCTCTTTGGTTTATTGGTCAGCATACATGCGGGGTTTCATGCTTTGAACTTCTGTCCGATGATAAAAGGAGACCGTGGAAAGAGGTATTCATTGGAGGCAACCACCTTAACCCCTATATTATGTAAGCCTGCAACGAGTTCTCTTGAATAGGATAGGTAAACCAAACTGATCCTCTGGGTTGGAGTAAAAAATGTCGATTCCTCGCTTCATTAGCTTTGAACCACGGTAGCGTGCTAATGCTATGTATTGATGTTATGCTTCAGCTGGTTTACAGACAAAGAAATGATCGCTGGCTTGCAAGCCTAAGACATAAGTGGATGGCCCAGAAAACTAGCCTTATTGCTTTTGGAATAGCAAGTCCAATCAGAGTAGTTTCTAAACTCTTTATGGTTAAACCACCTTTGAAAAGTCGTAGTATTCTACGAGTAACTAAAATCTAGTTTCTTATTAGTGTTGTGTTGGCCACGTCGCCTATTCAGTACTCACACGATTAGGTTATAGTATATTAACTAAGTCATACCGGCTGCTTCTACATCCTACCTTTTTCCTAAAAGTCGAAGATTTGCTGCAGTTTACTCCACGATTCCACGGTCGCAATAGTGGAAGCTGCACTGGCTGCCACTTTACTTAGAAGTGATAATTACATTTCTTTGTAAGCCCTTGTGTTCAAAGGCATAGAACCTCACTAATTTTTCTAAGGTACTCGGTGATTGGGCAAAACGTGCAGTGACGGCGATGCCCGAGATGCCTGTGATTTGTCGGATCTTTGTATGAGATCAGGGGATATTAGACACATCAGCACCGTATTAGGATACCGACTAACTCCGTACACTTTCGCAAGATCGCCCCACTTCAATTGAAAGATCTTATCAAGTCATTGTTCCCGGAATGACTGCATTTTTCTTTCGACCCACAGCGAAGGATATGGCAAAAGGCAACTCCGTACCCAATAATTAAAATATATCATGTGCTCCTTTGTCCTTTGTTTGACTGTAAGTTGCCACAACCATTACGAAAGGCTGAGAATCATTTATTTTCGTCCTTAAATATTAAACATTCTACATCATCTACATCATTAAATCATTCTTTACAAAAAAATATACAAGTCGTCGATAGATAGTATTTGAGGTAAATCTCATATGTGCTACCTTGATAGAAAAATGATCAGAATTGACATTTGAAACACGCTTCAGAATTATGAATTACGATCACGAGTTCTTCGAAGAAATTATCACAGCGATCGATGAAATGGAGAGCCAGCAACCCTGGTAAGACTTTGATCTGTTTTGGAGTGCAAACTGCTAACTGACCAAGTCCCGAATGCGGGTTAAGACTTACGGGGCGTTGTTTTAAGGATAGCCACTTTGACTGGTGTCTCTGCCACCAGAGCATGGCTATCAGGGACGCGGAGGCCTGCAGCCATTCAGATGCAAAGCCAGCCGCTTGCAGTATTGCACTTTGGATAGATCTGGATTATGACACGTTTGAAGCTGTATTTGCTGCTGCTGCAGCCAAGCCGCCTGCAACCGTGTCAGACTTGTCGAACCACCATCCCGATGATACAGACAAACAAACCAAGCAAACAGATCCAAGAACAAAATGACTTATTCAGCCAAAAAAATATGACTTTCGGGGATTCATGGAGCGACCTAATTATTGAAATAGAGCTTATCAGCGCTGAATTCAATATTTGATGTTCATGTCGAGGGTTTGGGCTGGAATAAAACGATTGGAGAATGCCGTGACCGTCGCAGGCTATATTGGCGACTGGAGGCTGGATTCTCCACATGTTGCTGGAAAGGAACCGTAGTAACACTCACTTTTCGAGCCCTTGATTTCCTGTGGCCTTTCCTTTGGATTTTACGTTCTCCATTCTTAAGAGTCGTTCTATAACGTCCTTCACCGCCTGATGCCCGATTTTGATAGGTTATCATATAAAATATTATGACGTTTTACAACACATACAACAATAAAATATAATTAATTTTGTAGTATATCAGTAAATATATATAAGGAATTTAACAGTGTAAATTTTATTTAGCGACAGCGGTGGGCAAGTCGAATCTGGCGACCTCTACGATTTGTAGTGATAACCTCATCAACAACCTCCTCTTCGACCTCACCACTACGTTTGGCCTTCGATTTCTTTGAATTCGGGTCCGTTCGACTCGTACGGAGCATGAGAGTAGTGAGAATATCTATTTGAAGCTGTAAATCAGCTAACTTAGCAAATTTTTGCTCCTCTTTTTGGCGCTCTTTTTCTGCAGCTTCTCGTTGGCGTTGTTCTCGCTCTTTTTTCCGGATTTGAGCTTTTTCAGTCTTTTCTAACTCTCGGGCTTCCTTTGCAGGCCTTTATTGAAGCATTTTATCGTCTTTACGAGCTTGTTATTTCGCGGCGTTCTCGTCTTTTTGAAGTTGAAGATCTCGGGCTTGTTGAACCTTAGAAGGGCTAAAAATGACAGCACCACCTTCTTCTTCTGTAGGTAAATCTAACAATAATAGGTTTGACTTTTTCTGGCGCTTTTGGAGATTCATAACATTGCTTTGTAAGCCTTCAACTTGTGCTGTGAGTAAAGAATTCTCGGCTTGAATTCGATACATCTCATTGTTTAGCTTTTGACTTTTTATCATGAAAATCACTAACGGCATCCTTTACAATCTTCGAAAGACGTTTCCAATCTTCGAAAGACGTTTCCAATCTTCAGGCTGGATAACAGAAGCTAAAGATCTACTTGAGGACGGCCGGGATTTGACTTTTTCTGTAAATTTGTAGATAACGTGCTCCGGATTGAAAGGATATAAACCTGTATTTTCGAAGGCAAATTCGATATTGTCAAGCGTAAAAGATAAGAGGCGAGCTGCCCAAAAAAGTCGAAAAAAGTCACGTTTTGTAAACCGCGTCAATCCTTGACAGTCCTCTAACATTTCTTCAATTCGTTCGAATAAGCTTTCGCAAGAGGTGAGAATAGAGCGACATCAAGAGGTTGTAAAGTATGAGTTGCATGAGCCGGAAATATTGCTAATAATATCCCGTTACTATCTCAATAGTCGATAAACTCCATATTGACATGAGAGCTGTGACCATCAAGGATTAAGAGGCGCCATCCCCTCCTTGCTTGAGATTTTGTCTCTTTATCAAAAACATCAACAAGCGATTGATATCCAATATCATTATTGGCCCATCCTGACTCCGAAGCTGCAAAAAAGCATCTTTGTTCTGTAGAATTTAAATCTCGAAGCCATGAATCCCGGATTTTCCCTGATTTTGCCATAAAGATTAGACTAGGCGATATTGCCTTTCCATTAGCACAAATACAAGTAATTGTAGTTATCCATTCTCGATTTTTATCCTGAAGAAACTCCTTGTGGCCCCCTAGCTCATATTTGCGCCGAGAAAAGATTCTTTTCTCTTTTGACATCATCCCAAGCATGAAGCCTTTTTCATCCATGTTATAGATTTGTTCTGGGGCAAGATTGTATCGCTCAATTTTCCGACCAATAAACTCAAAATAAAAAGCATATTTACATGCTTTATCGGCTCTTTTCCTGTCCATTTCGAGGCCTGTAGAATAGCGAGAAATAACCTGATCTGAATAAGACTTTAGCCAGCGATTAGGCCAGTTCTTTCCAGGCTTTCTACCACATATATCGTTTGCAAAACTTCGCAGCATTGTATTTGTAGGTGGAAGGCCTTTTTCAGTTGATTTATCCATCTTATAAGCGCTTGAAATTGCCCTTCGTTCAATGCTCGTTGATTGTCATATTGTACAGATTTTGGACAGTAACCTTGGGAAAACGTTTGTTGAGATTTGAAGGATCAACGCCATAGGTTCTTGCAGCCAAACTGATATTGGCTTTTCTTCTGACTGCAAGGAGCGTAAAGCTTCAAGTGCGAGCTCGTATTGTCCATATTGGCTGATTTATCACGCCTTAAAAAGTTCGCGATTTTTGGTGTTTTGAAGCAAAATCGGGTATGGTATGTGACGCGCACCCTCATGCACAGTGTGAGGTCGCGGGCTTGGTGGCACGGGGTGACAGTCTATCTATAACTATTAATACTAGCAAGAGTCCAGTCAGATAGAAGAGTCTTGCTAGAAAGATGGATAAATTCATGCCACCAGATAGATGTCTATTTATAGGCCTATAGGAGAGATGGCTACATATACTAGGGATAGGCTCCATCCAGTCTATAGTTAGTTAGTTACTTAGATTTGATATACCTGCTGTAGCTAGCTACGGTTTAAGGGCCGCTATCCAGGTGTGTGTTTGAGCCTGCAGGCATCGAGAAAATCGTGGCACAGCCACGGGAGGGGCGCCGCAGAGCGAGCCATAGAAAATACAAATGAGACAAACAACGAGTGTAAAACAATTAAACGGTGTAAGCATCTACGCCAGCTCTCCGTACTATCTGTCAACTCACTTCCAACTATCCCACGAATCCAACTCTCATGGATCTCACTATCCCACAAATCCCACTTTCTCATGAATCAATCCCGCACCAATTCACGCACCAATAACAACTCATTTCACGTACAGATTCTCACCCATTTGTACATTCACAAACTCGCCACCACCCTGCAGCGCATCCTCGTCAACTGATTCCTCCGAAATCCTCGATCCAAAGTTCATTTCAGCGTCGTCACTGGTCCGAGTGAGCTGACCTGGAGCTCACGCCGACTGCTTGCACATTCGTACGTATTCCCACGTCAGTGTCCCGTTAGCGCGATTCGGCGTTATCTGCCGTTGTTGTTGTTGCTTCTTCATATGTGCCCATTGCTTGAGGATCCGTGTCACGGAATTGAGCCAACATCCCCGTGTCGTACACAAACTGCGCGATTGCAACCGCCGTCGCTTTCTCGCTCAATCACGCTTGCAAATCGGTCGTTCGACGGAATCCTTTGATTCCGCCCACATGAGCTCTCGTTCGTCTGCGTACAAGGGGCAGTCGAGGAGTGCATGCTTCACGGATTGTCCAGATAAGCCACATTCACAATATGGATTCTCGTGCTTTTTGATCCGCCACAAATAGTGCCCCAATCCTACCCGCTCCGTGCGAAGCTGGATAAGTATTGCTGGCCTGGCTTTGCACAAATACATCCAGTATTGTAGTGTGCTCTTGGAGGGTTTAGATATAAGTTTTTGGTAGGTCTCCCACTCTTCTGCTTGTCCCACGACTTTTCCCACGCATTCTTTGCTTGGCGGATTCAGCACTTGGCCGCAGCTGTGAGCATGATCCAGTTTTTGATATCTCCAGGCACAATTTGAAAACGAGCCCCCATGAGCGCGGCACGCTTGGCTGCTTGATCCGCCGCCTCGTTTCCCGGAATGCCTTCGTGACCCGGAATCCAGTGAACCATTCGTGGATTGCGCAATGCTTTGAGCCCAGATTGGCTATCCGAAAATATTGCCACTTTTTTGAGCCGTTCGTTGTCCTCTGCGAAGCGAAGCAACGTTTCGAGCGCGAACTTGATTCCGCAGGCCTCCGCCGCATACACTGTTGACGTATGCTCCATACCAATACACTCTGTTAGTTGTCTTCCGAATTGCGGGATAACCATTGACGTCCCAATATAGCCTTGATATCTACTGCCATCAGTGTAGATCAGCACACGCGAATTCCCTTTGACCATGCGATTGTGTACTGATACCGCGATCTCGCGCTCATCGATTACGACATGTGGAGGCTCTCGCCATGGTGGTTGGACATATGCATCACGTCTCTCCCCTTCTCCGGCCAAGGTTCCTGGGGGAGCCGTTAAGCATCCGCCTGTTTTCCAAGCATGAGCCTCCATGGGAGTGTAACCACCGAGCGCGAGTTCGTCATTTATACGTCGTGTGAGCATGCCATTTGGGATCCCGTGAGCAGGGGCCGTGCGAATCCGGATTGCTGTGGCTTTGGTGAGCTGATCTAGTTGATAGCGGATTGGGAGCAAATACAACTCAATATTGAGCGTCTCCGCCGCTGTAGTTCGGAACGCACCACTGATCAGGCACGCTGCACGTTTCTGAATCATCGCAAAGTCGCGAGTTATTGTCGTAATCTGCGCCTGTGTCATATTGCCTGGTTGGAACCACGCGGCAGCGCCATCCAACATCTGGAGGATGCCGACTGCTTGATAGATCTCCATCCAGTCTATATGTTATAGTTTGCCGTAAAGGATGATGGCTACTTTGCCATGCAAAAACCATATTGACATCGGTATTAGCCCTATAATCATTAAAATGGTTGAATAGTTTATAAACCTTCTCCATATGTTTGCTAGTAATATTAATTGCAACTTGGTGATACTGCTGGGTGGTAATGTATACCCCAGACATGCTGTATAGCTTTCTACATAATCTTGCTGAACTTTTCTCCTAAGTATGTTGTGGGGATGTGTCTCTCAGAGCAGAAGAATAAGATGGGGGGCTGATAATTAGAAGTGTTAAAGCCTCCTCGCGCTGTAGCAGAGCTATAAAAGGCCAGATATATACCAGGTATAAAAATATAATTGTGTAACAACCAGCATGCCTGACAGACTCATTACAGTATGTACCAATACCTTACCAGCATGGTGGGGAAAGTGTGGATACTTCAGCTAGTTATGGTCAATGTCCAGCTGGTCATGGTCAATCAAGGAACTATGAGACAACATGGAAACCTATATATAAACGATAGATGCTCATACCCTATCTTATGTGCTTGCCTTCAGTAATCCCTCTCGTAACGTTATTACAAATTGTACCTCCTATAATAGGTAGGAGGTGGAGAACATAAAATTCAGAATTATTCTACTATGTAGTATTTTGCTTTATGTTGTTGAGTATAGTAGATAGTAGATCTATTCCAAATATAGATCCCACATCCGTTTGATGCACCTTCTTACACTCTACACTGCTCAGCTCTTGGATACCCAGTACTTGACCTCCTATCTTAATAGGAGATCAATCTAAGAGTTGGACAGGAGGAATTATCAATATGACAGAATGTCAGGGTTTGCTCTCGCTCTATCCCTGACATTGGATTCTCTTGCTTCTAGTTGCGCGTTGTTCTTTTCTTAGCTCTCCGGAGGATATCATGCTTCTATGATTAGCACTCTTTGGCACTCGTTCTATTTATGTATCTCGTTGTTTCCTTTAATCATCTTTGCACATCCAAAGCCGTTTTGTTTGCTAATTTTAGATATCACTGCTCTACTGATTAGGAAAATCCATGTTGGTAGAATGAAGCTTATAAGGAGCCCATCCTGCCCATAGATTTGTCCTGGGAATCAGCAGTCCTCTTGTTTTCTATCCTTGTTTCTAGTTTTTCAGTTAAGTTATCAGAATCAGATTTCTTCTCGTTGTCAGTTCCTTACAGGCGAGTTGGTGTTGTCGGATTAGTCGGTGTATTCCAGGCCAATCCTGAAGAGTTTTACTAGGATGAAAAGAATAGAAGTACTAGCAAGATTATATGTATTCAGTTCTCTGTGTCTGTCTATCCAGCAGGGTTCAAAGCTGGGTTTTTATAAACATCTTTTGGCGGTGTGATTTGTGAGCTATCACCCGCCTCTTGAGTCAGAATAGCGAGACTATTTTGAAAAGTCAGGGTCTCGTATGCATAAGCCTGATCCATTGTCCGAGTCGCTCAATTGACAGCGTGGGTCGTAATAGCATGCAGGATAGGCAAGTCTTTGCTCTGACTGCTTAGTGCCAGATTTGGGATCCCACTTGATTTGGAAGAAATGGCCTATCACAGTACTATTATGCGGACTAGCTGCTTTGAGAGAGCGAGCCGAGTTGAGTATGCCTTTGAACGCCATCTCAGTCTAGACTCATCAAGCTGCAGCTGTGAATCTTTCTGATAGATGATCTGCACTTCACCGCTGAAGTTGATCACAGTGCAAACCACGTTGCGTTTCAAGATTTGTGAAGTGACGTGTACGTGTGAAGCCCGTCAGGCATAAAAGGACACAAATTTCCCCGGTTCTTCCCTTCTTCATTGTCTATGATCCTCAAGCTACACTTCTCATAGCAACGTATTGAGTATACTCGGTGAACTGCTCTTGATCAATCTTTCAATATGGCTTCGAGCTCCCAAGAACGACAAGCACTTCCCAATGCTCAAGTGGCCACGCCACCTGACAGTCCAAGTCACGGGTCTCCCCCAAAGCATGCAGAGAGTAATCAACCGATTGTCACTAAAATTGAAAAATTACTCTCCGAAATGAAAAGGGACCCTGGCTTGGCACCAGACTCCCAGACGGCTCCTTCGATTAAGGCCCGATTGGAACGTCTTGTGACGGCGCGAGACGGAGAATCCTCCGACACGGCCGTCGACACTTCGAAGCTGAGTCTGGTGGCAACCAGAACGCCCCCTAATACTCCGCGGTACGACGGCTCAGAACCAGTTACGATTCGCCAACTGATTGAGCTGTTAGAGGCTGCAGTAGAAGCTAAAAGAATGTCAAGTTCACATCAAACGGGCCTTGCTGACTGCGAACACGAGAAGCATAGCGACTCCAGGGGTATATCGCCCTCCTCACTTAATAATGTGACAACTCATGCGAAGGCGCAGATACCCATTCGGCCGCCCCGGCCATGAGAGATCAGTCACCTGATTTCACACACCTATTGCATCTCATCTTGCATCTTGTATACGGAAGAGTGCCTTGTACCGATGAAGAATCCACGCAAAAGCGTTCCGATCCTGTTGCATCAGAAACAGCACTTCAGGGTGGAGTCGAGTCTGGCGACGGAGATTTGGACAATTCAAATCCAGCGAAAGGTGGCACTGCGCCCGAACAGGGAGAGATGTTACAAATCTCCAATCTCAAAGAATTCAGTCGTTGGCCTAACGCCCCATCCAATGATTTGGGATCACCTATTTGGAAGGGATGCCGTGAATCAGGAACGAGTCGGATCATTGGGTGTGGAAAGCTCCCCTTCATTACCGACGACGCAACGTTTAACCTCACCGGAGCTCCTTCAGGGATGTACCCCAATTCCCACTGTAAGAACGCCGGGGGACGATGTGCTTGATGATCAAGAAGAGTCTGGGCCGGCCAATACTCAAAGCTCTCCACGAATGGAAAAGGCCTCAAGACTGGAGGTCAAGAAAGTTCGTCAAATGTAAGTATGCCACCCATGAGGCATGGACGCAGCTCACATTCTGAAGATGGAATAAGGCCTTGGGGGACTTTACGCATCGTAGTGCGGATGAAGAGAAAGCGGTGGATGAGTTAGACACTTATGTCCTGGTAGAGCGGTTCGAAATTGGTATGGCCTAACCAAATCTATCATGTCCATTAACTGAACCTCTGTAGATAGAAACGGGAAGGAGATGACCCATGTTGACATCAAATCGGCATATCTCCAGGACGTCTTACGAGCAATTTTCAAAGATGTGAAAGCCGTCAACTTGAGGGGTGATAAGTCAATGGTATGGATTGGACGTCACATTCATATGTTACGGTACTGAATACCCAACAGAGTGAGCCTCACTTCTTGTTTCAATTCCTGCCCGACCTCGAAGCTCATCGGGAGCAAAAAACAAAAGATACAGCAGAAAATCAAGTCGCGCACCTAGACCTTGTGATCAGCTACATTCGAGAAAAGTATGCATCGCTCTCGCAGCAGATTTACGACCTACTGCAGCATGGAGAGATCACATACGACTTGCTCTGGTTTCTTTTTAAGCCGAATGAGATTGTGTATACGACCTGTGATGGAACAGGGAAGCCGCGATGTCTTCGATTCGGCATTGGAGAGGAGAAAACCACGCTTTTTGGGCCGATCTTCAACCTGGACTGCCAGTATCTGGACTCGGATGGTGAGAAAGTTGGCTTCGCGTCCATCGACCTCAACATTCCCAAATTCGCTGGCGTGGCGTATCACGTCGTTGCCTTGCTTCCCTCTGCAGTATCACCCTCAAAAAGGAAAAGTGAAGGCTGACTTGATTGCGTGCGGTAAGAAGTTTTACAGCTTGCGTGGGTCCCATCACTACCACTGCAAAGGCAAAGCCTTTGTGGTGCAGGACGACGTAAAAGTAAAGCGCAATATCGATAGCCGTGTGATGATCGATGCGGCATTTTTCCGTCGGATGAAGCCAAATTACCAGCAGCCGAAAATTGAGACGACTCTGAATCCCGGAGCATTCGATCCATCTGCTCATATGATGCAAGGCTTTGAGGAGATTTCATTTGTGGACCTCTTCCCTGAGGTCGACCCCCGAGACCATGGGTGGGATCGTGACCATAGTCCTGTGTTCAATACATCAGAGGCGATAGCAACCTCTGTTCGTGGTTCAGCCGGTGTCCGTTGAACATTGCGATCACCTTCCTACCCCAACGAGCACTGTATCAAACGAAGACTTGGTAGATGAGGAGTACCTGATTTGTTCCCCTACGATTCCTGGCTTCTGCTTGAGCGATAAATTCTGGGGTGAGATCAGGAGATGAGAACGACTTTTTACAGACTGCTAACGCATCCACATAGGTGAATTTGCCGTCATGGATATCGAAGATATAGTGTGGTCAACTTCGCTTTTTGACCGACTCGATATCAAGCCGGAATATAAAGAACTCATCATTGCATCAGCGATGAGTCGCCTAGGGATCGCAGAGGGTCCACGATTTGACGATATCGTACCTGGAAAGGGAAGAGGGTTGTCCGTGATGCTCCAGTAAGTATGACTCAAGAGCGATCGAAAGTTCGTACTCACTAATCGTTATCAGTGGAGCCCCCGGCCTCGGAAAGACACTGACCGCGCAAGCTGTTGCGGAACAGCTCCAGCGGCCGCTGTATTCGGTAGGTCTTCTTATCCCGCGATCGCCATCAGGACTGCATTCTCATCATGATAGGTATCTGCGGGAGAATTACTACACAATGCCGGTGTGCTTGAGGAACGATTGCAGGGGATCTTCGCAACCGCGAAACACTGGAATGCTCTCCTCTTACTTGACGAAGCGGACGTGTTTCTCGAAACTCGGACCGAGAAGAACCACTTCATGAATGGGATTGTCGCCGTCTTCCTTCGAATGTTGGAATGGTTTGAAGGGGTGATGTTCCTCACCACCAATCGAGCTTCAAACTTCGACCCTGCGATCCTGAGTCGTATTCACATCACCGTCGAGTATCCAGGTTTGAAGCAGGATCAGCGGATGGGGATCTGGAGAAGCTCACTTGATCGGGCTCGTACGGTCCGGGGTCCGTCAGACCTGAGCGATGAAGAGGTAGTCAAGCTAGCAAAATTAGATCTCAATGGTTGACAGGTATGTTTGAACACATTTTGCTGTGATCACGGCTCATCTTTCGTCTTAGATCAACAACATTGTGTCCGTGGGCCATGCGCTAGCAGCTGTCAAAGCAAAACAGCTGCAATACCATTATGTTCAGAAGGCAGTGGAAATGAGTCAGAAGTTCATGAACCAGGTAAATGGGACGGAACAAGTCAATAGCTACTTCAATTAGATGTGAACACGGCCAACGGAGCGAGATAGCTAACTAGTCACGATTTCTTAGCAAATTAAGGAGATATACTTATACCAACCAATATGCTCCATACCTGAAAGGTGCCTCAAAAAATAAATAAGTAGTAGTTCTTATATCGGTAGTATCTATTCGACATTGACCTCGAAAGTTGTTAAATTGCCTTGAATGCATAAGAATGCAGATAGTGGGGATATGATTGACATGAGAGATTCTTCACTCACTTTCTCTTGTGCGTGATCATCAACATTGCTGAGTCAATGATCGTTCATCTATAATCATCAATTGATATTCATTGAAGAGTAATGCGATGATGCCATCCTTGTTGGCATCTCATTGATAGGAAGTCTGTCATTGGCCGAATGAAATAGATAAAGATAACTGTGTTCAGCTGAGGCAGTGGGAATCACTATTTCGCCAAAATGATGCGTATGAGACTGTAGACCTCGCCACGACCCGCGGGTCACCCTGACGACCCGGACCGCGACCCGGACCACGGAGGTTCTTGGGTCATCAGCCCCAACCCTGACCCTCCATAAGGGGAGGGTCGTTGATGGTACGACCCGACCCTCAGGGTCGTAAAACAGTGCAAACATCATCAGGTCACGAGGTGCATGAGTTCTGTAGATTTTAGCAGTATTTTTGCGTATCTCAATTACAGCATTTGTAGGTCTACTTGGTTAGCTCTAATCACCCTGAAAGCATTGAATCAAAATGAATTAAATGAATTAAACAGATGAATTAAACAAATTAAACTACATGTTCTACATCTCATATCCATTAAGCAACCTTGAACGCTTGCGAACTCTACCTAACACTTGATGCTGAATCTCTAGCAGAGACGTAACCTTACTATCATCCTCCTGGTTACTTTCCGCATCCTCGGCTATATCCCTTAGGCGTCTTTTGCCAAGTGCCTTTGTAGATGGGCCATGCAAAGTTGCTCGGGGCTCTATAGAAAGCCCTTCATCCTCTTCATCATCACTAATTGGATCAACAGTGATTTGTTGCTGAGTTCTCTCTTCCTTTGCAGCCTATATCTCCTAAGTCAAAAGATATTCAGAGAGTATTATTCGCTCCTCTTCATGAATCTCAAACTGTGATGTACACATATACATCATAAGATCTGAGATTGTTTGAGGCTGTAGAGAGCCTCAGCAATAATGGCAGATATCTCGTGCAGAGTTGAAAAGCCGCTCTACTCCTGCACCACTAGCTGGAATAGAGAGAACATCTCGTGCAAGCCTCGCCATTCCAGGGAATTCATCTTGGTAATATTTCCACCAGGTTCGAGGTTGGGCATTTGAGACTGTGTCTAAAAGAGAAATCAGTAATTATTCCCATCGAGATCAAGAGACACTCACTGCTGTCAAGATATCTTGCAAGCTCGTCAGACTAAACTGGCTGTCGAATCTGAGATTGCTGCGACTCGTCCCAAATACAGGCTAAATCAAATTCATCCGTTGCCGTACTTGTTGGGGGAGCACCCAATATCTGCTGCTCCTGGGCAAGATTCTCCGAGTACTTCTCGAGAGAGGACTCAAGGCTCTGGCGATAAGTTGCTCAGTAATCAATTCCGCCTTCCTCTGGGTCCCAGTCTGCGGTTGAGAAGAACTGAAGTTTATCCTGTGGAGAAAGAATGGTGCCAATGGCGTAGAGATAACCATCTATATTGTCAGTGTCTTTATAGTAGATTGAGAGCTTGTCCTTTGCTGCTTCGAGAGATGCAAGCATCACCTGCTTCTAAGTGACCCTCTTCTGTCTAAGCTGTCTAATTGACTTTTCCAGGTGGTCAAACAACTTATTGTAGACCTTAAAAACCCAATAGATAATAACATCCTTGGACTTCGAGAGAAGGGTCGTAAATCGGTGAAAAGGCTAAAGAATGCAGATAAGATAGTCTACTTACCACCACTGCTCCTAACTCAAGGCAAAGTGCTCTTGGTCGTACTGGGAGCAGAAAGTATCGAAGGTCTACTGGAGTTTCTTTGCGCGTACAAGCATTAAGAACGTGGAGTTCCACCGAGTAGCAACATCCTGGATTGGCACAAGCTTTGGCTCCTTGGTTTGCAAGTTGTAGAATGACTCTTGGCGCTGAGGACTCGCGTTGATATAAATCGCAAGGCTTCGAATCTAAGAAACAGATTAGGATAATGAATGAGGATAAAAGCCACGATGTCGCACCTTATTCAAAGTGTCCACGATCTCGCGTTTCTGCTATCTCGCACGAAGACTATCCACCCGATCATCAGACCATGTCTGCTCAGCTGTATCAATCTTTGGAGCAGCCTTCATCTTCCCAAGGAGATCTTTGAGACTCAGCTGGATCACATGTGCAATACAGGGTACCCAAATGATAACAACATCGTTCGAGGATTGTAGTGACTCAATCGCCTCGTGGACACTTGCCATGAGAGTAACATTATTCAAAGCGTTGTCAGTGATTACCGCAAGCACTCAATCAGTAATCTGATGCTCCTGTAGCAGCTGGAAGAGCACTACACTCAAATTTGCACCGGAATGAGATCCATGCAAGTGTTCAAATCCTAGTAATATCTCATGATATTCCCAGTTCTTGTCGAGAAAGTATCCTGTAATCGCCATAAATGCCTGTTAGAATAGAGATGTCTAGCAATCTAGGGCAAGTGATAGCTTCACACCAGAAGGGAGTTTTTGAAGGATACTCTTTTGGTTTTCACGAACGAGGTCTCGAAACTGCCGGCACATAACCTTGGCGGAAGGAATTTCTGGCATTGATGGTGCTAGCCAGGCGTAGGAGATTAAATCATGGAACTCAGTGTACTCAAAAAAAAGAAAAGGTAGATGCGATACAGTGAGGAGCTGAGCAAGCTTCTGCTGCCAAACTCACTTATCGAATCTTTGTACTGTTGCATTCTGCGCCTAGATGTTAAGGTTAGAACTGGGATGCTTACTGTCAAAGTCAGGTCTTGGACATACTGTATGTTCCAATGCAAGCTTAATGTTTGGTTTCTTTCCTGTAGCTGAGGCAGCTTTCTGGCAATTTATCCCATTATAATGCTTGTTCATTGAAGATGTCCCTGAGTGAGCCGACGCAGGGTGATCAAGCACCTTCTGACATTAATAGCACATAATCTTAGACTTTCTATCTTTTTCAAATACTACTTGATCAAAGTTTTTCCAGCAGTTTGCAGCTCGTTTCGCATCCCAAGATATCTATCTCTTTTTCCTAAAATCAGTCTGAAGCCACTACTGCACGAATTCATTGCCCATTTCCAGGGAGTACATGATAAATAATCTGATCCGGTCTAGGCAAATCCGAGGAAGATAATTAGGTGCCACTCGAAGCTCAGACGATGGAAGGGAGGTATCTTAATTTCTAGACGGGATAGGGGAGTAAAGCTGATTTGGACCTGGATCATCATCAGCAATTTATTTAAGAAAATCCGAGTGATGGACCCCTATAAGTAGATAAGAATGCGTCGGAAAACTGGGACATGGTGACGATGGTTGTGACGGCCTAGAGCCGCTGGTGCAAGCTATCAGGAGCTATACATACCAAGAGAATTCGATAAGAAGGAGAAGGGAAAGGAAGCCCTACTCTGCCAGGGCCTTGGAGGCTCTTTTACATCCTATCCTTTGCTAGAGCGCTCCACCCCTTTCGGACTAATAGTGACTCCTTCGGGCTAATAAAAACTCCTGTAAGAATGCCTTTCTATCGAGAACAAACATATGTGCAGTTCAAGAACTCTAACATCAGGCTCAGCCCGTGACAATGGTTAGAAGAAGAGAAGACTTACCAGATTTCCTTTGCAGTTCGGCAAAGGACTCAGGAGTAGTTGAGTCTTGTAGACAATTGCCTGTCTCTATTGAGTAGACGCAAGGAGATAAAATGACAGATCACATTTGATACTCCTCATGCTAATTGGCTAGAACTGGGGTTCGTGAGGGTCATCCTGAGGGCCGACCTCGCGACCCTACGACTTTGGCAGAACATAATTGAGCATGATCGATATATTTCGCTCAATTTCGACACGGCATAGGTATGTAGAGAGTGAATACTAGATGTTCAATATAATTAAGTCAGGATTATCGGAAGTTTGAGGCTACAAACCAAGAATATCAAAGTTCGAACTTCTTTAGATTATAATACAACTACCTTCTATAATCAAAATATATATTTTCCCATCGTTACATGCCTCTCTCTCCAACTCTTCACAATACACACCACAACGGTTTTTCCCAGGCAGAAAAAAGGTCTAAATCTAGTATTACCAAGCAAGAAGGTTTATTCAGAAGATATATTTCATAAAAATACGTAGAGGTTTGATAGAAAACAATGGATTCGTAGTCGGACATACGAAACAGGTATAAGAAACACGAATTTATGAATATGTGTCAGCAGAGTTATCCATCCTAATTAGGGAAAGCGTGAGAAAGTTATGCATATGCGGGCCGTGAGGGTCGCTTGGCGGGTGACCCTCCAAAGATTCTATGACCCTCAGGTGCGGTGAGGGTCGCGGGTCGCGAGGAGGGACCCACGGTCCGGGTCATGGCGAGGTCTATGAGACTGGTCTTGAGGGAAATGTAGAAGATGAATTGAGATGGTGACACCGGGAGAGAAGCCAGGTATATATAGCCAACAGTGCCCTCATGTTTGAGACAGCTTGCTTACATCATATGTCTGTTCAGATGGCTGCACCCGAATGTGATTCACAGTTTGCAATTTCTCATTCTGTTCCTAAACATGCTGAGCATCCACCTAACCAGCCAAGCCCCTAATAGGGTGTTCATTTTCAATACATCGGATTGCAGACTCAACAACGACTGCATCTCTCGTCGCCTTCTGCCGAAACAGTGCCAAGAAGAGACTAACTAAATGTAGAATAGTCAAGGAACAATGTTGATACGGAGATAATATGTACCGTATGTCTCAAAATTGTCGGATTAGCCGGCTCATTCCAGGCCAATCCTGAAAGTGTCTTACTAGGATCAAAGAAAAGAAGCGACTAGCAAGATTGTGTGTATATTGGGTTCTGTCTCTCTGTCCCTGTCTAATACATCAGGTTCAATGCCGGGTCCTTTATAGACACTTTTGGCGGGGTCTTTTGTGAGCTATCATGAGGCGTAAACTATCAGGGCTATATTGAGCCCTGATAAGAAGATGACTCCTTATTTGCTGAAGTGTAGGTAGCTTGAGGTGACTGGTTGACCTGATCAAATAGCCTATCTTCTACATCGCCGGATATCCCGGTTATCTGACAAAAATAGGCTCTGGTTTACAAAGTAACGTGTATGGTAGTGGATATGCTGGAGCATGTTGCTGGTAAACCACAATGATACATATGATATACGGGAATGTTGATTCCGGCTCTGCGCGGTACCAAATGAAGAAACTAGACGATCGTTGACCCTCTTTCGGCAGATCAGACACTCTTGTTCTGAGTTCCTCCTCACAACTCAAGTACCGACAGACCCGTCGTTGTCTATCCTGTAAAGTTTGATCATGCTTCGTAACTCCGATAAGCCATGAGTCTATGAATATAGTGCTCGGCATGCGGATCGTTTCTGTAATCTGATTCGTGAACGAACACCAACGTTGTGATCGAGATGTCGATGTGGATAGAAAAAGAACTTTGCGATCAAGATAAACGTCAACATGCCCAACTATTCCCATCCGTCCAGGTATTGAGTTGCCTCATTGACCATAGTTGGTACTTGATTCCGTCATCACCAATACAACTTTTCATGTGTAAAGCAGACGACGGCGTTTAGAATGCCCTGCATCATGGATATCACGTGACCTTTTTGAAGAATGGACGCGCTCTCCTATCAATTGCCGGCGGATTTCAGATCGATGAAAGTCTATGATCATGACCCGACCCAGTTCGTCATTCCACAACATGTTTTGAAGTCGCAAATCGCCATGCACTACTCCGAGTTTGCGGATGAGTGTCCTCGACCTTGAGATCTCAGTCAACCTCTCGCCCACCCCTATATTCTTCCCCCCCCAAGCCATAAGGAGCATATGCCGGATTTCTCCAGCTCCATGGAGGAAATAGATCACATCCAGATCAATTGCTCCAAGGAACACCGGGACTGCAAGTCCCTGTACCTTCCGAAGAACCTCGTATACTTCTGCTTCACGAGAGACTTCCTTCCAGAGTCGGGAGGTGGTTCCCTTTCCAACCAGCGTGTAGCCATAAGCAGCGCATGTAATCTTGAATGGAGCACCGTACGATCCACAAACTCCGAGAGGTGTACAGTTGTGGTCAAGATCCTTATCAAGTTGGTCCTTCAGCAGTTGAACTAGTTCGTTAGCGTCAATACAATGCCGGTCTTCCTCCTGGCCATGTCGATGGAGATGAACATTCGGACAGGAACCGTCCAGTGTGCCCTTTTGTTGGAGACCCAGCAGACATCGCTGTGTACAGAAACGGGATGTGTGTTGTTGGCGTTGATCACTGGGGGGAGTCGAGTCCGCTGGACGTGTTGCTGAACGTTGGCTTGGCGGAGAGGGCATGATTTGACTGAAGCCTCGCTTTCGGCCGTGAGTTGCCGGGCTCGTATCAGAATCAGACGAGTCCATCGGTTCTCTCTGAGGAATCTCGGGGTCCACGCATGTGCCTTGAGATCGGGAAGAGATTCGACGGGCCTGCTCTGAAGTTGACTCCAATGGGGAGGATGGTAAGTATTCGGAGCCAGTGGCTTCCGAACTCGGATACTCTGAATTTGGTGGGGCTTCCTGCAGTTCTTCGTCAGGAATCTGTGAGCGCGTATGGTCGAAGCTCGTCTTCCATATATGTAGCTGGGATCTCGCGGCATTACGCCAGGCCTGATCCCGGATTTGGGAATGGAAACTCATCAAACAGAGGCATAACACCCTGCCAATTGTTGTTGCAGGCTGCTGGAAACTAGCAGAATCGTCCACATTTACCTCCATGTTCGGCTCGCATGAGTAATAATAGAGAGTACTGGGATCGTCATATGGAACGCGGAGAAGAACCAAGGCCAGGCCATTAGTTATATAGGAGTATTCAAGTCCTTCCTGGATCATCACATGATATTCTTGAGCCAACACCGAGCCGGCTAGCTGTTCGGCGTTGTATATTAGTTTTTCATTCTTCCCGACAGGAATGTCGTCCCGATTCACGACTTCTTTCCAAAACTCCATCGGCCGGAGACCCTTTCGGAGGTTTTCGACAGATAGCTTGTGTGGCGGTTTATACTCAACAGTGGTGAGCAAGATATTGGTGGTACCGTCAATTCGATGAACACAGAATTGATCTGCCCTCGGACGTTGTGAGCTCGATGCATCCAACACTTCTTCATCAGCATCTTCAGGCTCGTTCAGAGTATTCACGTGGTTGTCAAATGTAATCCCATTGCCGAGCCGGAATCTCTCTTGGGCAGCTGGTATTTTGCACAGTTCCGCTATGATATCATGGACATGGTCTTCCACGGCAAATCGTTCGTAGCTCTCTAGATCTTTTTCACTTCTGAGCACTCGGCGAGAGAAACGCCGACTAATGCCATGTAATTCGGCAAGGGATGCAAACAATCGAGCAGGTTCTCTTCCCGCTGGTTGTAGGTAATCACAGACAGCATTGTAGATCTCTCGCTGCTGAGATGGACATTCCGACCAAAGGCGAAGTCGCGTTGGGCAGTACTTTCCAGTTGGAGCCGGGATATGTCCCTTTGTCGATTTAGTTGGCGTGCCAACTTCTATTTGTTGGGAAAACAACTCATGGCAAGCTTGGACAAACTCTCGAAAAGCTGTTGGTTGGGTTTGTGTTTCTGCCTTCCTGCGTAGTTCTGCTTCCCGTTGTTCTCGGTCTTCGGCTTGCTTGCGTAGCTCTGCTTCCCATTGTTCTCGATCTTCCGCCTGCCTGCGTAGCTCTGCTTCCTGCCTGCGTAACTCTGCTTCCCGTCGTTCTCGATCTTCCGCCTGCCGAAGTAACTCCTCTGCTCGCTGCAAGAGGCCCTTGTAATCCGGCGAGCTATCGTCAGCCATTAATATGCACAATGGTTGGACCTGAATTATTGAAGACGTGGCATGAAGATCAGTCAGACGTTTGGTTACGGATCGCGGATTATCTTAGATACCGTTACAACCAATCATTATCGATAATGTGGGTCTTATGAACAGTAAACTATGGCCGTGAAAAGCCTGAGGAATCAAACAAACAAACAAACAAACAAGTAAGGCTGCCCACAGCCAATGACCGCGAAAGACCACTAGCCTATTATCTCAGAACTCAATGGGGATCGATAACCCCACTGTGCATACTCGTGAACTGTGAGCAGAGCTTTGTAAGCCACCTGTCTAAAAACACAGTGATAACTAATCTCTCTGAGGCAATCTTGAGTGGTCAATCTTGTCTAGCTGCTGTCAGTTTTTGCGTATGTTTTCTACTCTTAGTTGTCTGCAGGCTGCAGCGCTGAATTCTGTCTCCTTGTTGAATGCCTGAATGTGACGAAGCTAATTTCCATGCTACGCGGGTGCCATCATATTTTTACCCCTCTGATGGCTTTTAGACAGACAAAACTCGAGTTCCTACCCAATTTTCCTTCCGATTCTACTCGCTTCAGCTTATTACCCTTCTTTCGCCAGCAGGGTTGGTCAGACGATAACCAGTATAAAAAACGAGTCCTTAATATATGACTGCCCGTCAGCCTCACCTCCCTTTAGCTATTGACGTCATAGAATAAATCGCCACTGAAGCAAATCACCGCTGTGCTTCTAGAACATTCTTAGCAATGTGAGTCACAGTTTATGAGTCATTCTTACTGACTGGCATCAACATACTGACACCAAATGGGAACATTACTGACACCAAACAGGAACATCACTGACACCAGATGGGAATACCCAGCACATTGATACTGCTTCGCGGCCTCGCCCGCAACGTAACCAACCAGCATTTGCAGCGGAGTCCACTTGTTCATTTATTGATCTGTCGAGAAATTTGGTGCCATTGGTAAGTAGTCGATTAATGTGATGGATCCCCTTGTTCCTGCTGTCAACTACCCCAAGGCTCTGTTCCGCATATTCTTATGCAGGTTATCAGTATTTCCCATCTCCTTGTCAATAGATAGAAGAAAGTACGGTAGTAGAAAAATTTGAGGAACTGATTTTAGAGGTCTATATATGAAACGCATCAGAGATACGATGACTCATAGTAGGAGATGTAGGTGAACACACTCGAAATGTAATGACAGAGACAACGGATTTTTTATTTTTAAATTTTAAAACGTACAGTGTAACTAGAGCTAGACATCTACTAGCTCATCAAGAGTTTCTGATTTTCCAGGTCAGTTTGTAGTCTATCTTCCGAAAGAGACTTCATTATCCGCCATTACTCACTCTCATTTCCAACTTTTTACTAAAGGACATCTTCAAAAGATCTGAGTTATCAAAAAAAAAAAAAAAAAAAAAAAACAAAAGAAAAAAACACTCATAGTATGGCTGATCTAGCACCCCTCTCAGGTATCTATGAGACGCCAGCGTCTCCAAAAGCTGTCCTGCTGCCACATCCCTGTTATGAATATGAAGTTATCTCTGTATGGGTAAAAGTAGATTACATGACGTAAGTGGTAGGTCTAGCCGTCTGCTACCGCTCCTGCTGGCACTCATCTGCGATCGCTCCTGCTTGTACCTGTCTCCTACCGCTCCTACAAGTACTTGTTTACAATTGCTCCTGCTTGCACTCGTCTAACTTACTCATTGTGCTATTGTTGGTTTACCTTCGTTAGATCGCAAGATCTAAGAAGGACAGCTAATCCAACAAGCTGACTGAGCCAGTAATACTGAATTCCTAATATTGCGACTAATCCTAAGAACTAGGGGGATGCGGGTGGTGAGATGTAGTTATCCTCCGTACGCTATAGCGCACGGATAAACTATATCCCATTCCCGCGCCGAGATAGGTAAGATTGCTATACCGACAGCTATCAATGGACAAAAACCGATAGACTCAGACCGCCATACCACCCTGACGGTCCCATGAATATACAGCACTGTTTATAGAGTACATACTTGCTATCGAGACTCCTTTGAAACAATAGAATATGACGTCAGTCCATTAACTACATTAGGAAAATACTCGCTAGTGATCATGTAGTTCTTGCTTTGTACCTGCCAATAAGAACTTAGGACCCTGATCGACCGCGCTTGAACTGACCTCTATGTTTCGGAATGGAAGGAGATTCGATTCGATACTCCATCAGGACTGGTTTGGTTCGCGGGCCTGGCAGGACTAATTTGATTCACACATGGGCGAATTCCTATTCATGTCTGCGGGCTGCATCGAGAAAGAACTAATCGATCCAGTGCTGACTTTGTCTCATTTTAGTTTATGCTGTGGAGAGCCCTTTTAAAGGCAGACATGAACTTGATTTTCCACACGATTTCTCTTTCGATTCTACTCCTCGCATCACTGGTGGCTGAACTGAAAGGGATCTTACAAACCTATCTTGATTCAAACGCAACCATTCTGAATCATTTGAAGAATGAATTTACTCCCAAGGGTTGGTCGCTTCCAGGCTATGGGCACGGTTTTCGTTGCGAGCACGCTACCACTGGCTTACGCTTTTCACCGTTTCCCTGGCCCTCATTTTGTTAAGGAGCCAAATATGGCTACCACCTTTAAAAACCTTCGCTCGCCCTCCTGCGACCGATAGTCGCCAACTCTCTTTTGTCGCTTGAAGAATGAAAGCAGGGTGCCCTCTTCAAAGTAATTAGTTTTAATCCAGATTGTGAAGCAAGAAGCTTAGTCTTCGCTCTGGAGCTTATTTAGTTAAGTGAAACAGCACATCAGAATTCCATCCCAATTTTCAACCATTTTTGTAATAACCTACAGATATTCAAGAGTGCGTATATCAGTTACAAAAATAAGCTAGTCATCATAAATGTGACGAGAACACAGGTAAAAAGCACAACAAAATGAGAATACAGAACTTAGATTATGTTATAATCTTCAAACAAATCTTCCCGGAACAATCTCTTCATACTCTGGATTCTTTCCCCTAGTAGTTGTATCGCAGCATTCCCATTGCTGCAGTGCCAGTAATGCTGCTGGAAGGAGAAATGTAACTAGCCCCGGCAATATCATTTATGACAGTTGACCTTTGATTCCGAATGTTAGTCAAATGTTTTGCTCTCCACGTTCAAGGCTGCGCGACTCTTACACCCAGTAACGGCAGCCTACTCCGCTAGGAGCGAGCATGTATCTATTACGACCATTTCGAGTGATTAGATCTGTGATGTGACGGACTGTCAGGCCTTGGACTGGTGTGATATCAATGTCTCGGACAGAACTGTTGGACACGTCGTAATCGCACCATGTCACTGTATAGGTTCCCCTTGTATCGGTTGAGCCAGCCTTCGTCATGTTGAGACGCACTTGCGTGGTTTCCACTTCGAGTATCGGATTCAAAAAACTTGCCAGTGGTGTGTATGGTAATCCGTATGAGTCTAACAGGAAGATCATATTCAGTCTGAGTCAGAGGCTGAGTCGCCATTTGCTGGCCGTAAAGAATGAAATATGATATAGAACTTGAGAAATAGAGCAGGAAGCTGTTGTTAACACTTAGACCTGAAGTCTTGATGGAGGTTAATGCCAGAAGTCTGGATTGGAACATTACGGGTTACTCTAATACTCAGAGCTTAACTACAAACGAAATTTCATGATGGCTTATAAATTGACTAGGTATACAGTAGGTATAGGGTTAGTCCCTCCGGGCGTAATAAACATCATTCATTCATTAAGCAATATGGATGAATATTGAAAATTCTTTGCTCGGGGTAATAATAAGCTTTAGTCACTCGATCTGAAAGATGGTAAGCAAGCAGCCGGCATACATCCGACGGTGAAACCCTTTTCTTGCAGGATTTGCAGGTATTGCACAGTATGGATTTAGTGATCGATCACTGATGGATCAGCAGTGACCACTCAAGCATGCATGACGCCGCGGCACACAAATTTTTTTTCCTAGGCAACAAGTTGGGCTCTTGGCACTGATTGATCAACCAGAGTATATCGAGGACCGGTCGATATCCAATGGGAGCCCAGTGGATTAAAGTAATCCTGTCATGATTCTTCGGCCTTTTGCAAGCATCCCACTATTATACTCTGTATCGCTGCCAGAACGCGACTCCAGTTAATTTAAGCGATATGATTGTTGATCTTCCTGCAGAGATCCTGGTGGCTGTCGCCCAAAACCTCGAATTCCATCAAGATGCTTTCAATTTAGCACGATGCTGTCGTCGGATTTACAGTGTCCTCTTCCCACATATTTTTACCACGATTCAATCTCGCTGCCCGTGCCTTGGGGAGCTCAGCCAGATAGTTCATTATATTATCCAACACCCTCAATGCGCAATTAACGTACGATATTTACTCTTACTCTCAAAGCAAACACAATTTTGCAGTCGTATGGGAAGCTTGAAATGCGAACCTGCCACACTCCTCAAAGCCCTACAAACCATATGTCATTCGGAAGAGGAGAAACTACAATGGCTTAATGATCTTCAAGATGGAATGGCTTATCATCCGTGGGTGGCCCTCCTATTGGTGCTCTTACCGCGCTTGCAGAGTTTGGAGTTGAAGTTCGAATACTCGTCAACCATTGAATATACGAGTGAGATTCTAGACCGCGCGATTCGCAGACAGAAACCGTTCGACGTACAGGTTCCTTTCCCCTCGCTTAAGGAGGTCCGCATCTCTTGGTGGGATACCCAAGGTGGAGTTGATCCTTCGAACGCGTTGCCTTTTTTCTGCCTTCCAGAGATGCGTCGATTCTATGGCCATATGATTGTTGGCGATATCAGCCAAGAGGATAATAGTCTAGACTTATCCTCTGGATTTTCGAATATCAATGAGATTGATCTCAAGTTGAGTAACTGCGACACCGGCTTTAGCTATTTGGTACGTGCATGCTCGAGGCTCGAGAGTTTCAGTTACTTGCACGCCGATGGTATTGTTGGGGGGCCCGACGGTTTTAATCCCCAGGTCTTCTACCCTCCACTTTATTGCCATAGAGACAGTCTGCGAAAGTTAAAACTACTCTTCGACCGTGATGCAGGCCATTGTTATTGCGGCTATCCTAAAGAGGATCTATTTTTTGGTTCACTGGCCGAGTTCTCCGTCCTGACAGAAATCGATCTTCGGTCACCCAACATCATGTCTTGGGAAGACGAAAGGAAGGAGGTGCTTAAACTGCCCCTGACAGAGATTCTACCATCCTCCGTAGAGATTCTATCTCTCGAAGACACGTCTCCAAGTCAATTAGACTCTCTAGTTCCACAACTGGAAGCCGTGATTCGCAATAAGAGAACATTCTTCCCATCTTTGTCAAATTTATCCATCGAGGGTGATTTTCATAAACAGCCGCAGATTAATTTCAGGGAATGGTCTTGGGGATTGGTTAGACCTCCTCGCAGGGTCATCGAACCCGAGTTTATTGATAGAACGCAGAATCTGCGTGTTCTGTGTCAGGCAATGGATGTTGATTTTTGCCTCTGGGACCGCCATTGCAAGGAGCCCAAGTATCGGATTTACTCCAGGCCAATCCCAGATACTACCTTACAACGACGGTAAAAGAAGAAATTTTTAGTAAGTTGTGTGTATTGTGTTCTACCTTTATCTGAATACATTAGGTTCCTTAGCCGGGCTTTACAGACATTATAGACATTTGGGCAGACTGACTTATGTGGCTGCGAACCCCCTGTTGTGAGGTTGAAACACTTGTAAAGTTTGCGGATGCCGCTCAGGACCTGCTGTGAGCTGCCTTGTTAGGAGATTTACGATTGGAGATCGACAGCCACACCAGAGCAATGGAGCTGAATAAAAATACTCTAGAGGGCACGCCGAGCCAGAAAGCCAAGCCAACAGCAACGAGATGAGCTTGATTTACAAGAGAAACTGGCGGCCAAAATAGTCCCGGAAGACTGCAACAACGGATCCTTACCAGAGAATTTTACAACTCTTTGACCTCAGACCCGTGAACATGAGTGCAGATAATGTTGACCAAATATCAGATGCCAAGGGAAATTGCCTTTGGCGGAACTAGCGGGATTATTGGCCTCAACTACAACTCGATGCAGCAGCCTGGAGCATTGCAGCACACTTTCCCAAAAGAACGCAGATGGCCCTGCAGGTTCGATACTCTACCAAACTGAAGAAAAAGCAGCATAAGTGCCAGTTGACAAATACTATAAAATCCAAAACTGGCCGAGCAAAGGTCGCTGGAGCGGAATCTAAAAGGAATACGGGGAGCTCTAGTCGCCAATATACCTTGCGAAGATTACGATATTCTCCAGACCGGTATGTGCCGGGGTAGTCCAAATGTTAGAGGACCTCGAAACACCCAGGGGACGATTTATTGGTCTCATTTCAAGTCTTTTAGAAGAACGTCTAGATAGGACAGTCAGTAAATCTTCTCAGCCTTATTAATGTAGAATACAAGCTATTCTAAGTCAATCCTTAAACAATCTAATTTATTGTGTCCAAACAATCCAATTCATTATATTCCACGACCATGCGCCTCCGTAGCATGGCTTGTGATTTCACCATCACTCATAGCTGGAAAAAAGTCGTATAAGACCGAGAAACAAGCGAACCAAGGCCTATTCAGATATCCGGAAAAGCCTTTATAATCTTATACAGCTCTTCAACTCACATCATGTGAACTGTCAGAACGAACGATCTCTGAATCTTGTGTACGTTCAGCGCCAAGACTATGTACACTACTTGTCCTTTGTCTAGTTAGTAAGCTAATGCTAACCGCAAAAAGAGTCCCTGCTGATTTCTCCCGCACCAACTCTGACGTGTCACACGTGGCATAGGCACATGATGTACTGGCCCTGAGAAGAGATGGAGCATCTAGAGATCTATCTCTCTTGGCGTTGTCTCTCGTTCCTTGTTACAGGATGTGCCTTGATGTTTGTGACGGCTGGGCATGGCTCTGCGTTCCCGTCTCAGTTCATGGATAGGGCTAGGAGCCGTGTAACCCTATCCGCGCCGTATTGGGAAGTGATATCAACATCAGACGTCGGAACTGGATAGGGAAAGGCGCCTTGCACAGAGATTTACATGAGAAGCGAGAACCAGACCTTTTACTTCATTTCTTCCTTTTTCCCCTTTATGCTTAATATTACCTGTCGACAAGCACCTCTTGTACGAGATAGTTAGCTAGAATAGCGTACTCAAACCAAGCAGATTGGCACCGTCACATGAGCCTAATCACAATCAATTTCTACATCTTGTGGATTTTTCAGGAACCCTTACAGAACGGGATCATCTACCAACACCAAACGGGAACGTCTATTGGCACCAGAGGAGATCGTTATCGACATCGGATGAATATTGATGAATGGTACTGCACCAAATGGGAATATCACTAACATTGAACGAGAGCGCACACTGACATGGACGTACACTGTCGGTACGAATTGATGCCAGCACGAGTCGGTTAAAGATCTCATTCTCAGTGATAAAAACTATCTTAATATTAACTTCTTAGGCTGGGGAGGTCCTTACTGGGTTAATTGTCGAACGGATCCCGTTGGGATCTTTAAATTTCGTCCGTGCGCACCCTATAACCCTAGACTGGGATGACTGGGGTTAGGGTCAGAGTGCGTTACCGCGTAGACTGTCAGATAATCCGGATTTCCAATGAGGTATAGAATCCAAAGGCCATCCTCAAACATATAAAACTTCACCTGGTGCACCTGAAACTCGACTTGAGACGTCATGGCCGTACTCCTTGGAACAGTGAGAACCCCAAGTCTGTTAGTTGTTACACATCTTGGCAAAATATCTATATAAACCCGGCTTTGGAACCTGATGTACTCGGAAAAACAGAGACCAGAATACATACACAATCTTGCTAGTCACTTCTTATTTTACCATCCTTGTAAACAATTTTTCAGGATTGGACTGGAGTTAACCCATCAATCCGACATAGACCGCGTTCGTTCCAAACCCCTGAATCAAGTCCGTGCACACGTCGTAGTGGTGGTAGTGTACTCGCATCAAATAGATTATGTCTGGATTCTTCTCATCTTCCTCTCACTCTCACCTTTACTAAAGCCATTTCAAAAAAAAAAAAAAAAAAAAAAATTTTTCAATTATATCTTATTCACCGACATTCTACATCACATGCATATAGAGTTATAGACTAACCTAATTCTTCTTCCTTTTTGTCATTATTTAATGACTGCCACATAGGCCTCGGAATGGTGCGGTTCCGGTTCCAACATAGAGAACCACGCACCGCACCGTGCGGTTCTGAGGTTCCTGGACTTTTGAACCGCACCGCACTGCAGAACCGTGCGGTTTAGACGCGGTTTGGACCACATACAGTGCCACGAAATATGTGTTGGCACCCCCCTTATCCGAACGCTACCCGAGCGCTGACCGCTTTCCTAATATGGTAATAATCTAAGTAACGGAAACCTCTGAAAAGCCCTAATACTTTGTATACCACCCATCCGCCTCTATAACCGCACGTACACGATTTGGCATGGTATTGCTTAAATTCTTCAATACTCGTGCTTCAATTGACCCTCATGCTTCTTTTGCAGCTTGTATCAATGCTAATAACGTCTGTTCGTTATCAGGAGCATTTTGTAGTTCTGGATGATCATTATGAATGATTGTTTTCATTATTGCCCAAATATTCTCGATAGGATTGAGATCCGGCGAATATGGAGGCCATTCCATAAGATCAAGCCCTAATTCACGTAACAGATTCCGTATGATATGCGCTCGGTGTACAGGCGCATTATCCTGCATAAAAATATCACCCTCACGAAGTAATCCAGGAAGCTGTTCCATATAAAGTTGCTTTATAACAGTTGCAGTAATACCTCCGCCAGCTGATGAGCCATCTGGGGTTAATGGCACTAGTGGACTCCGTTCATCAAATTTGAATCCTCCCCAAAACATCTTTTTAATGCTTTTCCCAGTACGTATCTCACGTACGTCATGCTCCATGAGTTGCTCGCTCAAGGAATGCCACGTCCATATCAATTGACCCCCTTTGCCGCGCTCAACTGTACACTCGTCGCTCCAAAGAATACGCTGCCATTCACGTGGTGTATAAGCTTCATATCTTAGAGCCCAGGCTAACCTCTTTTGCGCATTAAGAGGAAGAATCTCAGGTCTCTTACGTTGCTTCCATTTCCTCTTATGGATTTTTTGAAACATGCCCTGGATAGTGCGAATAGTAACTTTATTGTCGATCGCATTCCGGAGCTCCATATATTTAATATGAGGATACTGAATCGTCAACTCAATAAGCTTCTGCTTATTCTCGTCCGTCAACTTCTCCGGGGGCCCCGTACGAGGCATTGAGCGTTGATTTATACGCTCTTGCTCCTTCTTGATTGTATTCCGGATAGTTGATATAGGGATTTCCGGGTGCGCGCGGTGTATCCGTTTATAACCCCAGTGCGCCTCTGTATGGAGCTCACATATACGAGCTCTCATACAGGGGTCAAGCTCTCTGCGCGCTGTACGTCGCTGTGGTGGAGGCATTTATATAAAAAAATTTAGATTTATAGAGAATATATGTAAATTTGTGTGCAACGCGATGTGTACGCGTTTCTGTCGGCAGAATAAAGGGCGGTGTGGAGTTTCGGATAAGGGGGGTGCCAACACATAATTCATCCCACTGTAGAACCGCAGATGCATTATTCTGCCAAGAGTTTCCTTTTTGGGATGCATAAAATGCTGACTCATTCTAGGTTTTTACCGTTATTAAACGTTGTTTTGGTCTTGTAACAGCGACAGCCCGTCAGTCTATACTCGTATCTCTCTACGTTCACCTTGTCAAATTTCGCCAAAACAATGGAAACAATGGAAGTGCCTCCAAATCCATACAAAGATCAATAATCGAAGACATGCAACAAAACAAATAACAAAGCGCTTGGTGAAGCTATTCCCAAGACGTGAAACTCATAGAACAAAGATATCCGGCGGTTTCCTTGGCGTTGTGAAACCACCGCCTTCGTACGTCCTGGGGTGTCAACCTGGCTCGGGGTTGGAACCGTGACACTTTTGCTTACAAATACATTCTATAGAATCAAAAATAGTGTCTATTATTAGTTCTGATGATCTCTAGTAGCTGTTTGTTGATGGTTTAATGATATGAGGTTAGTTTATGTCGACGGTGTGATATATATATCGCGGAAGATAAGACACTCATACAAGCTCTATACTGCAACTTCACCAACTTTTCCATGAAGAATCCATATTTAACTACTGATATAAACACATATTGAGTTTTCTAGATAACAAGACTATTTGCCAAATCGATATATGTCTCTCAAAAGAGTCAAAACTAAACCAGACCATGCTTGCCCCTCTATCGTATTAACCTTGTATATACAGTTGATGGGCTTCAAATGTGAAAGGCGGTTTTTGTTGCAATGTAAGCGGTTCCTTTTCCAATTCGGTCCGGCTCTTTGCGGTTCGAACCTCATAGAACCACAGAATCGTGGGCCTTACTATTGAATCATTATCCGAGATACAAATAGATCTATCATAACTTCGCGTTGCTTTTTTTTGAAGCCATACGCCCCTGGTTTCCAGAATCCCCCCCAAGGACGATGGATTATTCTATACTCAAAGGCATCCTGTTGGTATGCTTCTGACACTATCACCTTCTCATTCTAGCTCTATTAATCACAATGTCGCATAGTCAATGCACCCAGATCTCTGACAACTACCCTCCTTCTCTTGGTATTTCTGATGATACCAGTGTCTCGTTATGTCCGTCCGATGGCCTACAACCATTTACACCAGACCTGACTTATACGCATCAGTTTAACTTCACACAGCCTGCGCCCCTACTTCCTCCTCCTGAGACTCTCGAACGCGTTGGCCCTCGAAACAAGAAAATTTACGTCCTTTGGACAGAGATGGTGAACGACGACTTTGTTACGTGGTGGCTCAGCACAGAATATGGAAGTCAGATGAAACGCAATATTTTTGAAGGCAAGCACCAGTCAGAATGTTGGCAACACTTTCACCAGGTTGCTGCGATCCAAGATGGGTCTCCTAAGGTTATGTATAAAGTGTGCAACCACATCCTGAGCCACCCTGCAGATCGCCACCGTGGAACATCATCTATGAATAAACACTATTCGTCAGGGGTAAATTGTCGGAAATCGGTACCAGTCTCAAAGGATATTAAAAGGCTCATACAAGATGGGGTATGTTAAGTGTGATTTAGACATTCCATTTCCACAGTCCTCAGATCTCTTCTAATCCTACCTAGATGCATAGCGCTCCTCAAAAAACGCACTACACCGCGAAAGCTTGGATGGAGAGGCTAGTGACCTTTATTACTACTTCACGGTTACCCTTCCAGCTTGTTGAGTATCCTCAGTTTCGTGCACTTATCGAAATGGCGCAACGTGCTCCTTTGCTCCCCATATTACCTTGTGCAAAAACCATCCGAAATCATCTTCAAGAATTGGTTCAAGAACGACAGAAGTCTCTTCTTCAGAAGCTATCACAAGGCGCAAAGCTTTCTATTGCACTAGATTGCTGGACATCCCCATTTCGCCAGTCTTTTATGGCTGTGACAGGCTACTTTCTGGATGTGGATTGGAATTACCGCGAGATCTTACTTGGCTTTGAACCACTTTCTGGCTCGCATACTGGGGCTTATTTGAGTACAGTTCTTCAACAAGTACTCGAAGAACATCAGATCGAAGCTCGGATCTTGACAGTCACAACAGACAATGCGGCTAATAACTCAACATTAATGAATTCACTCAGCGAGTCCCTCCAATCGATTGAACTACCAAACCAGATACCAGTGATCCACATACCATGTATGGCCCATATAATTCAACTGAGCTTGAACGAGCTTCTTGGCCGGATGGAAGTGAATCCAAGAAACGACAGAGAGGAGATAGAATGGACTGAAAGAGATAAAAGCGCCCAGCCAGAGAACCAGGATATCATTCATACCCTTGAGAAGGTAAAATCCCCCTATTATATACGCTTCCAACGACTTATAAGTTTCTAGATTCGACGGCTTGCAGTCTTCATCAACCGAAGCCCACAACGCCGTGAGAATTTCCTTTATCTTCAGAGCAAAGAGCCAAAGCTTGTTCCAATTCAAGACGTTCGCACACGCTGGAACTCAACATTCCTGATGCTCTACCGTGCTAGAAAGCTACAGTCTACTTTTGATGAGTACTGTTCTGAATATGGTCAACCTGATCTTAAGCTTACAAAGGAGGAATGGCGGCAGGTTGACTATCTTTTATCAATAACAAAGCCGTTTTTTACCTTCACAACGTCTCTCTCACAGACGAAAGAAGTTACTATTCATAGTGTTTTTGCCATCTACAACTATCTCTTTACACATCTCGAGAAGTGTACGGCACAGCTCAGCGGAAAAGAGTTGGCTGGAAAAAGGTAATGTTGGCTGCTCTGAGCTCAGCAAAGGAGAAGCTTTCAGAATATTACGCAATGACTGATCATGTTGGTGGTGATCTCTATGCTATCGGAACAATCCTAGCCCCACAAAATAAGCTGGAATTCTTTTCTACTTCTGAGTGGGAGCCAGAATGGCGTGTCCGATACCGCAAGAGCCTTGAGGAGTATATTGTGCCCTATGAGAAACGCTATTCAGAGACTCAGACTCAGTCAATACCAATACGCCAGATATTGACCGGTGGTATATCTGATATTGATATGCTCGTAACAGCAGCTACATCTCTACAGCCACGAACAACCGCCCATGACGAGATATCACGTTATCTTGGGAGCAGTAAGCTATACTTTACACTCTCTTATAACTTGCCTACTAACCTCCATCTGTACAGGCACTCAGCTAATGAACCCACGAATATTTTGGAAGGATCATCAATTTAAATACCCTATCCTTGCAAGTCTTGCCCAGTATATTCTCACAACTCCTGCTAGTGGCTCTGGTGTTGAACGGTTGTTCAACTCTGCCCGTGATATCTGTCACTATCGTCGAGGCTCATTGAAACCCCATACCATCAAGGAGCTCATGTTATTCATGTGCACAACGAAGTTCGACCTTGAATCAGAAGAACTTTCCCTTATGGATGAGTATCTTACAACACAAGAGATACAAAGAGCCAGGGAGGAAAGGGATGCTCAGCAAGCACTCGAAGCTCAGAATACAAAGTATGATTTTGACCCAATCAGTGACAGCGAGGAGGCTGAGAGTGAGGATGAATCCTTAGTACTACCTCAAAGTCCTCAAGCTTCCCAAGCACGCAGTCAGCGTTCGCTTGGCAAAAGACCAGCAAGGGAGGAAGAGCCACTGATTGAATTGGATGGAAATGAGGAAGATGAGGTTCCTTTACCTTACAATAGGCATCTGGTGACAGTAAGCAGTACCCAGAGACGCTCGTCTGGCCGTCAACCGAAGCGTTCCAAGCGAGATGAAGACTTTGTATACGAGACTCCTTAGCAATTTAGTATAGAATGTCAAGATTACTTGTTTAACTAATTAATTCTTGCATTAATTTCTGAATGTATTTATCCTATAGTAGGTATCTCCTAGTTATTCGACCTAGGTGGTAAACAGATTACCCAAAAATACAGCTAGAATTTGCATAAAATATGCATATCATAGAATCTCTCTGTTTGTACTGTTTGTAGAACCGCTGGTCCTAACCGCGTTCAAAGCGGTGCGGTTCCTGAAGTCATGGAACCGCCCAGCGGTTCTTAAAAGTTGGAACTGCACCGCACCATCTTGCGGTGCGGTGCGGTTTGGTCCCGGTTCCTTGAGGTGCGCTCCGAGGCCTAAATTAACCTGAAGATAATTCTTCATCCAATTCCACACCATTTCAATTAGATTGAGGTCAGGAGAGAAAGGTGGCCATCTAACCATATGGACTCCACCTTTCTCAAGCTCTTGTATAGTAGATTGAGCACCGTAGCCCGGAGCACCATCCTGTACTAGTTGAAGATAAGGATGCTGATGGCTGTACTCTGTTATAAGAGGAACTATATGTTGAATATAGCTTTAAGCATTGATTGTACCCCATTGCTTCTCCCAGAATACCATAGGGCCTTTAGTAGTTCCATGAAAAGAGCCCCAAAACATCCATCCTATCTTATGTGGGCGCCGCTCAATAGTACAGTCTTCATGGAAGACCTCATCCTTTCGGCGAGTAACCCACGTACGTGTATGGTGGCCTGGATTTACCCATATTTCATCGGACCATAGGATAGCTTCCCATTGACTAGGAGACCAGCTTAGGTACTCCTGTGCCCAGAGGAGTCGTTTCTGTTTATTCTCAGGGGATAGCGGTGGTTTTCTTCGAGCAACGTATCTTCGATAGCCCCTCGAAAGTAAGGCTGATCGGATTGCCCATTGAGAATAGCCTAGATCAAGGTGTAAGGCTAATTCTCTGTAAGTTAGGTATCTTGCATACCGTGACGAGGTGACAAAACTGATCAGATCATCAATTTCCGCATCCTTCATTGCCAACGGTCGTCCGGATCTTGTAGAGGGAGTAGGGTGATGTAACAACCAACATGCCTGATAAACCTACTAGGAGTTATGGTTAGAACAGAGAGTGGCAAAAGTGTGGATACTTCAGCTAGTCATGGTCAATATTCAGCTAGTCATGGTCAATATTCAGCTCGTTATGGTCAATAACGTATTGCTGTGAAGCAATATGAATGTCTTTTATATAGAATGCACGCTGCGAAAGCAGAAGAAATAGGTTTCAGTACATTGACATTCCATACTACCTTGTGTGCTTAGCCTTCTGTGATCCCTCTCGAACGTAACTATACATACCTTATGTAACGTTGTTACAGTTGTCAACTCGAATGATAACGATGAGATGCCTCTTAGTGTGATATAGGATATAGAAGAAGATCATTTTCCTGAAATATCGAAGAGAGGCATTATTACGAGCAATGAAGAGATGTCTTTAAGTGACTTCTCTTTGTCTTCAAGTGAGTTGGAGGATCTAGATGAAAGTGTCGGTATAGCAATCCTCCTTATCTCGGCAGCGGGATGGGATCTAGTTTATCCGCGCGCACTAGTGCACGGGGGATAACTACGTCTCACCACACGCATCTCCCTAGTTCTTAGGATTAGTCGCAATATTAGGAATTCAGTATTACTGGCTCAGTCAGCTTGTTGGATTAGCTGTCCTTCTTAGATCTTGCGATCTAATGAAGGTAAACCAACAGAAAGTTCCGGCGAGGAATCAGGAGAAAAAAGCCTTAATCTGCGTGATGATGGACAGGCGTTTCCTGGAGAACCCGAGCTCAACTACGACGACTTCGGGTCAGACTGGTTCTTCTTACGAATAAATCTATGGAGAGAACTTCAGTACTCACAAGGACAGTCAGCTCATGATAAGGTCGCCAATATGTGGGAGACAAATCTCGAAATTGAGAAGATTGGTTGGCCTGTATTGCCTTTTGCAGCTTTCTCCGATCCAGAATCCTTTTGAATTGTAGCAGTGGTAGTAAATAGCAATGGTGGATACTGTATAATAATTTTGCCATTCAACATTTACCGTACATACCTTCTTCCCACACAATTTTCTATAGCAACCTATGCCCTATCTATAAACCATTTTAGTCAACCATCTCATAAATTTGCCAGCGAGAAACCTATAAATCCATTGATTAGCAATTTATATAAGAAATTATTATGTGGAACAAGAATACCGAAAGAGATATTCAATGTGATAACGCTCAAACTTCTGCCATTCAAAAGGTAGCTACCTCGACGAAAAACTAAGCTTGGGAAAGAGAAGAAGGAAAAACAGCTATCTACGGCTCTCAGCTACACTTTATATGTGCGCTCTGCTCCCCGTCGGAACCCAATTAGGAAACTGTGAGAACAAAGAAATATCCTCGCCAGGGCTTAGGGCTCCGTCAGGAGCCGAGGCAGCCAATCCAATGTCAGCGCCGTGACAGCTTCCCTAACACACATAGAGTGTTTTGCTACAGGGACAAGAAGCGTGGAAAAGACGCCCATACTTCGATCGAAGCGCAAGCGCCTGACCCTTGCGTAAGTCTTTGGCCCAGATGCTGCTACGAGTGATGCCATGCTAGGTGGTAGAGGCACTACTTTGTACTATGGTGTCGTAGTCGACAACTCAACATGATTAACTCGTCCCTTAGCACCACACCCGAACACAAAATAAGAAAGTAACTGCTCGCGAACTTTGCCATTCCCATAGTTGTACTGAATTTCTGGAGGTGTGAGCTTAAGTAGAAACCCAAATTTAGCTCCCGCCTGCCTTGCAAGTTGTGAGGCAGGCAATGTTTTATATTAAAAATTTATCATTCATAAGATAAACTATACTGTGCACACACGACAGTCAGCCATATTTAATACTCTGGTAAACTTAATATCAATGAAATAAGCATGGTCAATGTGAGACTAGTGACTCTACTTCTTGTCTATCAAAGACCCTCCCAATCAAATAGGTACAGCTCGAGAAGAGCATTGCATTGCATAAATAAAAAACGTCAAGATGAATTAACTACTATCTGGTAGCAGCTTGGTTTCCAATAAATTATGATGTAGCCTTTGTGGGAGTCAATTGAACCTTCAGCGGTGGCTTTACCCAGAGTGCGTGAGATTTCTGACCATCTAACCATCCTGAGCAGCTGGGGTCCATTTTCAAGTCAAAGTTATAAAGCACACGGGCGAGAATGAGCCTCATTTCTGCGTAGGCAAGACTAGAAGAGGGGCAAACTGGTTAATTGATAGACTCGGTGTGTTTAAGAATAGGTTGGTCCACTAACTTTCTCCCGATGCAGTTTCGAGGTCCGACAGCAAAGGGCTGTAGCGTCTCAACTTTGTCACTGGCAAAACGAGAGTCCCCGAGGAACCTCTCGGGATGGAAGCTCTCTGGTTCTGTCCAATGGTCGGGGCTACGGTGGATGGCATACTGCGGTACATCTACGATGGACTGTTTTCCGATTAGGACCAATGGTACAGGTATCTGAAACCTGATTTCGACCGAGGAGGGTACTTACGCCTTCTGGAACATAGATGCCGGCGATTTTAACTCCGCCTTTGGGAATCTGTCGAGGCAGACCGATGCCAACGGGGGGATATAGCCGGAACGCCTCGTCAAGGCAGGCCAGCATGTAGTCGAGATTTTGGACTGAGAGGAGCGTGATTTCCTTGTCAGACTTGAATGATGATCGCACTTCCATTGTGACCTTGGCTAGTGTCTTAGGGTTCTGTAGCAGCAAGTAGGTAACACCACTCAATAGTGTCGCAGTCGTTTCGGATCCGGCGAAGATGAGGCCCCTTTGTTTCGCTACAGGTTAGCATACTACTTTCCATATCTTTCATGTCTTTGGCGAGACTTTCACCGGTTCTCACAAACTAACATGGATGTCCCGTGGATCTCATCAAAATTGATTCCTTCTCCCTCCTTCTTCAACAGCCCTTCAATCAAGTCACCTCTGTCGGTACCTAGCTTTCTCCGCTCTCGTAGCCACTCTTTCGTCAGGTTGAAGTGTTTGATCATGTTCCTGATGACGAGGGGCATAGTTGCCAAAGCGAGGAAATCAAGCCCCAATATCTTCAAGCCTACAAAAATAGAGTTCTGTCTTGTTGAATCGGCAAAAAGAGAGACCCATGGATGATAGTTGGCGTTGTCCAGGCAGTGGAAAGAATTACCAAAGACTAAGTCGCCGACAATGTCAAATGTCGTATAGTTGCTACGACCACTGGTGAGATTTTTTTTTTCTTTGCAGAAATGACGAATAAGTCGTATGTAGGATGGATAGCCACTTACTACCACTGAACCATATTGGCGGGTGCTTTGCTATCTGCAACCTCCTTGAGCCGCGTTACTAGTAGGTCGACGTATCCGCCAATTATGCTTTCTTGCGCCCGGGTACTCTTCTCAGAAAACCCGTGAGCTAGAGCTCGTCGGAGAGTACCGTGTTGACCCTGGGGAGCGTTGAATATAGAAACATCCTGCTTGGTAAATTTGTAAAACAACGGCCATTTAGGGATCTCTGGAAGGCCGGATACAAGACCAACACGGTGGCCATAAATATCTCTCCAGGCTTCCGGGATGGTGAAGGAAAGCTCATCGGGGGCAGTTCTCACAACGGGCCCGTACCGCTTGTGGAATTGGTCAATTGTGTATATTTGACGCCCCTCAATAAGGTCGAGAACCCAGAAAATGCGTGACGCCCTATACCTAAGAGGACCAGGGAAGTTTCGGAGAGGGTGAAAGAAGACATTGTATATTGCCTTCAATATCACGAAACCAACAATCTAATACAATTTATCAATATCGCCCAGCAAGGGAAAAAAAAAAACAGGCTGAATTAAGGGAGAATATATCTAACCAAAGCGATCGCAAGAGTCGCATAGCGGAAGATTGTGAGTGCAATCATGACAAGTAATGGCTGCGGACAATGGAATGTGTGAGACATTCACCTGTGAGAGACGTTTTCGTGAGTATGCTGTTAGCTAGATACTGGTATCTCGAGCTGGTTCTAACAAAATGAATGGATGGTGTGAAATGTGTCGAGTATTTCTCTCGGAGGGAAAAAACATCGAAAATTGGCCTGCGAAACTGTATATAAAACTGCAATGGACTGTTATAATGGGGCACGATTTTGAGACGATAAAGAAGGCATATATTACCAACATGACCGCTACGTATTGTGATACGCGGTTATTCCATTTCATACCGAATTACTATGCCGGTAATCAGGCAGTACGCCATTCAAGACGCTATTATTTGTCAATACGCTTACCCGCCAGTTACGTGCCCTATGGGATGTCTTATACATCCCTCAAATACATGGCAACACATACCTGATGCTACGTTGTGTACTCCGGTTGACCCCGGTGGTTTTGTCAGTCTTACGGGGCATGTACAGGGATAAAAATCTTTCCAATTCTGCCAGCTGTAAATTACGAATGGGCTAGACCCCAAGTTTAGGTCTCTAGAGCACGAATTTGATGCCATACTAGGAAGGCTGTGGCTTACTACGTAGTATTGAACCTAACCGCCTGAAGGATCCTTACCCATACTATCAGTCCATTTTAGCATCCATTTAAATAGATAAGATTACATAAATTAAATTTATACATTTTACTAAGAATATACACACTTTGCGTTGTCTTAGATGAGCTTAATATGCCAGCGCGAAATGTCCGCTCGTTCCGGATGTAACGTGATGCATTTACGACACAGTTGTTAATATTATCAAATTGATGCAAAGAGTTGCTTGAATAGCTCACTACATTCACATATTATCCCAATCTAGTTATTAGAGGAGTGTTATTTGCTCTCTAGCTCGCATGTACAGCTTTATTTTGTATTGCTGTTAAATGTGTATGCAAGATGAAGAAAATCGATCCAAGCGTCTATCGTCTAAGTCTAGTTATTTGTATTCATAACATTTACATGTGGCTGTGTTCAAAAGTTTTTCTCATGGGTCAGGGCGTGCCAGGGTTCGAGAGTGCATCCTCGAGCAGGTCTTTGATGATGTTTGCCGTAGTTCCAACCTATTGATGCCGAGTTAGCAAATCATTATCCTACCTCACGATTGAAACTTACCCAGTCAGTAGACATCATAATAGACAAATGGTCACATGGCACGGTAGCACATCTGACCGGGCCACCAATAAAGTTTTCCCATCCCGCTGGGCCGTTGTTCTCTCTGCGAGAACCCATCTGCCAATCAATGATGCCGAATTCAGGCAGGAAACCAGCGTTGCTTGGACCAAGCAGGTCCTCCATTCCGGCTCCAGCCCAAAGAGCATATGTGTTTCTAGGCCGTTGACTGGGTGTCATGGGCTTAGGGAAGTACCGTGTCAAAGATTTAAATACACTCAGGGCGTGAAATTTGATTTTGGGCGGAGCGGGAGGAATATGGAAGTTCTTCTCATCGTTGTGGATACCGTTCATCCAGCCAACCTGTTCCATAACACCCACGTTTAGGTTTGTTGGAACTGGCTTTCGCTCTCTGTGTTCTAAGCCCACAGAGGCAGCCATGTTGAAGTCCACAAACAACAGTCCCTGGACAATTTCGCCAGCGTCTGCCAGGATCTTCGCAACCTCGTAGGCATATGCCGCTCCGAGCGAGTATCCGGCTAGAAGATAGGGCCCGTGTGGTCTTGTTCGACGGATCGCCTCTGCATAACTGAGTGCGAGGCCTTCAATAGTGCAAGCAACTTCTCTACCTTCAGCACGGTGGAGTAGTGGTGATTTGCAGGTGAATAAAGGATTATCACCCTTGAAGACAGGCGGAAGCTTCAGAAGAACAGCGGGATATCCGGTTCCATCAGGCAGGAAGAACATGGGGATCTCTGCAGAATCAGAGCTACCTTGCATTAAGAAGAAATCGCAGTGATAGTCTTTTAGATCCTCGTCGATAATCGGAAGCGACTCCGGCGCTGGTGAGTTGCCAGGATGATGCACAACAACCAGTTCCGTAGCTGGCTCTGACACTGCAATGCTTGCAGAAGCCTTGACACTGTCTTTAGACTTGTCCTCCGTGTTTGGACCCAGATTCTTTCGCACATCGGCAACAGTAGGGTGGTGGTGGAAGAAGGATGCGGGTAGATCGAGACCAGTCTGTTCTCTCACGAGACTCACAACCTCCATTGTGCAGAGAGAGTCTAATCCCATGTCGTCAAATCTAGTGGATGGGAGGACATCATCTTTATCGAAGCCAGTCTGGGAAAGAACAATGTCAAGGACGATATTGGCATAGTTGGCTGGGCCATCAGAATTGTGGGTCGATCTAGAAGCGGTAATAGGAGTAAATCTACCCGTAGCCGGGGTCAGCATGCCGTAAGGCGAATCGGGACTGCTCGATCCGCTTTCTTCTTTCTCGCCCTCCAACGGGAGCTCTGCGATTGCTTGACGAAGACGCAGCACTTTAGGGTACTCAAAGAAGAAGGACGCGGGAACTTCAATGTCGAGAGCACTCCTGAAAACGCCAACAAGTTCGATCCATTCTAGAGAATCGAGGCCTATCTCACCGAGAGTGGTCGACTCTGATAGACTGGCTCGATTGGCGCCAGTTTTGGTAAGAATCTTGGCGATAACTGCTTCGGCCGTTTCTTCGCCCACTGTAGCAGGAGCGCTGCTGAATGCAACCGCTGGCTTTATGCCTGGTGGTGCAAAAAACGATTGGGTAGTAGCATGGGCGGGCGGGTTGGTGTGTGTGGTGGTGGCGTTGCCGTTTCGTACCTCATTGCTGTTGTGGTGATCTTGAGATTTCCCGAGAATTGTGGTCAGGATTCTCTTAGTCAACCTTTGGAACACCACACCCTGGACAGTGCCTACAATCTTCTCGCCTTGGAATATGTAGATATCACCTGTGACGTTCCTAGTGCGCTTCGCAGGAACCTCTTGGCTATTAGTATCATGCATGAAGACGTAGCTGGTATATGGTACACCCGGTAGAAGATCGTCCATAAGGAAACGAAGCTCTTCGAAGCCGTTGAAGAGGAAACAGTCCTGAGTGGGCAGGTCTGGATCACTGTGTAGCATGAAGCCGCAGGCATGGATGAGGGCGTCCGACCAGTACGGGTTGAGGTTGAAGTTGTACATTCCAGCAGGAAGAACCACATCCGCGACAACTTCCCTCTGGAAATCAGCGTTCAGGTACACTTGCTGGATTCCTTTGAAATCGCCGCTGTAATTGACAAAGTTAGAGAACAGCGTATAAACCACTGGCTTAGGTAGCTTATGGCCGTTGCCGTCAGGCCGGGTGGCGTTCGTAACCACGTTGTTCTTGGCGGCCTTGATGAAGTGAGCACTTCGGGACCACTCCGCCTCCCAGTCCGCCTTGGACTCAAAGCGAATCTTGCAACTTCCGTGATCTTGCTCGACAGACTTTTCCTGGGACTTAAACGAGACCTCCACAACGGAACTGCCAGCTTGTTTCTTAGCCACTATGATGACGAGCTTCTGTTGATCTTCGCTTGCACTGGGCATCAGAGGATGGGTTATTGAGCAGTCTAGCATGGAAAGGCCAGGCGCAGCCCCTCGACTGGGCTGAATCCGGTGATGGATATACTTCGCTGCCGTATATGCCATGTCCCACCAGCCACTGGCCGGGAATAGATCCACACCGTTGACTTGATGGCCGCGGATAAGTCCCATCAAGTCCGGGTGGGACAGAGTCGACTCAAATGTAACAGCTGCATTGTCACCTTGGATACGTTCCTCCCGGACTCGCTGAAGAGACGCAGTGGGAAAGCCTGGCACAGCCGGGACGGCAACTTGACGCAAAGGCTCAGCTGCTGAACGTTGCTGCACAATTGGTGCGGCGGGTTCGATCCAGTAGTCCTTCAGATCAAACGCGTACGTAGGCAAATCAACCAGGCGCAGATGCTTAGTGAACTGTCGATGGAAGTTTTGCCACTTGATGGACACTCCCCCCTGCCAGCAGGCCGTTATCGCCGTCGCTATTGTTCTCCAGTTGCTTGCCTTCTCATCCACTGAATGAAGAAGTCTATCGTGGTCAACGGCGAGGGTGGCCTTGATGAAGCTGTTGAGAACCCTCTTGGGGCCGATTTCGACCCAGAGGCTGGTATTGTCCACTAAATGGCTTGTTTCAATTGCCTTGAGAGCGCTAACAAAGGCGACTGGCTCTCGTGTCTGACGAACCATGTAGGAAGGTGAGAAGACGTCATCGTCTGTGACAATGACTCCGTCTAAGGACGATGCGACTGGGATACGTGGCTTGGAAAAGGGAACTCGGTCGAGCAGATCGCGGAAGTCCTCAAGAATGGGATCGACCTGAGCACAATGGAAGCCGTAAGGAACATTGAGAATAGTGCCTGAGATGCTCTTCTCCTTGAGCTCAGCATGCAGCTTGGCAATATCTTCGCTGGGCCCACTGACAACAGTAGAGCGAGGAGCCCCACGGCAAGCGACATTAGAGGTAGGATACGCCTTCAACGGCTCCTCAAGATCTTCAGGCGACGCTTGGACTGCAAGCATGGAGTAGGATCCAATCTCACATCTCTCATCCATCAACTGCGCTCGGTTTCCGACGAGGAATAGAACATCGTGGGCTGAGAGCACACCAGACACGTAAAGTGCGACGTATTCGCCCAGGCTATATCCGATGACAAGATCTGGCTCCACGCCCCAAGACTTCCAGAGATTGGCAAGTGACATCTCCAGGACGACAATAGCCAGCTGGGTTTGGATAGGGCTGGCAGAGATCTCGTCGGTCACGTCGTCGGTGAATAGGTTTAAGAAGCTCGGGAAATCTTGCCAAACCGCTAGGTCGTGCAAAGATTGCACCGACTCTCGAAACGGCGTGCAAGTTTCGAAAAGCTGCTTAGTCATACCAGAGTACTGCGATCCTTGTCCGGTAAAGGCAAATACCACGGAGCGCGGTGTAGCAGGTCGAATACCAGTCAAATCTTTCTTCAAGTCCGCTTGCAACAACCCCACGAGACTTTCCGTGCTGTCAACTGTGTAGGACCTCTTCAAATCCTCGTGGATGCGTCTCGCTGTGGAAGTATACGCCACATCCGCCACGGGCGTATCCGGATGTTTCACGAGATAATCCGACAGCCTCTCCATGTTTTTCTGAAGCGACTTTGTCGTTCGCGCAGAGATAGCCACCGTGTAATATTGACGGGGATCCTGGATCTGGGATACATTTTTATCAGGGGCTTCCTCGAGTAACACGCAGTTATTGCCGCCCGAAGCGTCAAAGTTGTTAACGAGAATTCTCATTTTCCCGTCCTGCGAAAACGGGCGTGTCGGAGTGGGGAATGGAAATGACGAGTCTGGGATCCTGATATTCATTGCATCAAGATGGTCGAAAGTCGGGTCCTTGGGCCCGGGGAAACCTGGCTGGCGAGGAATGGTTTTTTGGCCCAGCATCTGCACTGCCTTAAGCAGTGAGGTGATACCGGCCGCAGCTTCGCCGTGACCAAAGTTTGCCTTGACGGCGCCGATGTATAGTGGATTGTCCTTGGGTCTACTACCAAAGACAGTGGTGACAGTCTTCATCTCGACGCTGTCGCCAGCAGTCGTGCCAGTGCCATGCATCTCGACAAAGCCAATGTCAGCCGGCTCAACTCCAGTATTACGAAGGACCCGTTGGATAACAGTAGCCTGGGCATTAGCACTGGGATGTGTGATGGAGCTGGCATCCCAAGAGTAGTTCCGATCGGCACCACGGACCACAGCCAGAACGTTGTCATTGTCGGCAAGCGCGTCTTCCAAACGCTTCAGCACGACAACACCAATGCCCTCGCCTCGGCAGTATCCGTCCGCATCCTCTCGGAACGTTTTACATCCTCCGGTGGTCTTGGACAGAAACCCTGCACGACTCAGTCCGGCATAGTTTTCCGGTTCAAGATGCAGTTGGCCACCGCCGGCCAGTGCCATATCACACTCCCGTCCCAACAGCGCATTACAAGCCATTATGACACTAGTGGTGCTAGCTGCGCACGCGGAGTCGACAGAGTAGTTGCCTCCTCCCCACTTGTAGTGATAGTTAAGCTTTCCTGGGGCGAATGATCGAATAGTTCCCGGGATGTAGTAGATATCAACATCCTGACTGGCACGGCCTTGGCGCCAGTCATCTCCAGATTGACCGAAATACGTGGCCACACGCATGCGATTTGTTGAGAGGGAACTGTCTGGACTATATCCAGCTGTCTGGAGAGCCTCATAACTGCACATCAGGAGGAGGCGTTGGATGGGGTCCATTTGCTTTGCTTCTCTGGGAGAAACATTGAAGAGTCGGCAGTCGAAAAGCCCTGGGCGGTCTAGGAAATGGCCAAAACGCGTAGTTACTGAACTCTTCTTGGCCCCAGTGGTATCATAATAGTTTTGAAGGTCGAATCTGCTTGGGGGTATTTCAGATTCAAAAGTTTGCCCAGCCTTCAAATTTTCCCAGAATGTCTTGACATCATCGCTTCCAGGAAGACGTACTGATTGCCCCACAATAGCAATCATGTTTGAACCATCTCGGGCATCAGGGTTCTTGAGGAGGTTGGGAGTCTTTGACTCTGGAACACTCAAGTCCAAGTCAACCTTGAGGCCGCTGTCTTCTAGCGCCTTCTTGAATGATCCTATCTGACTCGTGGGCCCAAAGGAGGAGACCTGAACAAGCGTCTCACGGCTAAGGCAAGATGCTACATAGTCGTTCACACCAGCGATATGTAGTGTCTCGCCTGTTATATCGTGGAGAGAACTTGAAAGAAGACTACCAAAGGTCTGGCTCTCAAAAGGCTTGCATGTGCTCGTGGAGATGACAAGACGATCCTGTCGTACGGGCAAATCGAGAACCGAGCCAGAGCCAATGAGTTCTTCAATGTTCAGCGAACGTAGGTGGGCGGCGTGTGCTGGGGTGCCAAGTGGTAGGTCCATCTTGGACGCCGAGCTCAGAGTTGATGAGTATTCCCACAGTTCAGGAAAAATGGATGGGGGACCTGATATAGCGGCCCAGCCCTTCGCAAGAAAACTGATGTAGAACTGGCGGTGCTTGGGGATGGCCTAAGGATAATAGTATCCGTTAGCGGGCGGTCGACATATTCTCCCTTTTGTTGCAAGTTTTGCTTACCATATCCTCATTAAAAGCAGTAATAATATTTCGTATTTGCTTTGGCGGAACATTAACAATGGCGACGGCCCAGCGCCCGGGTTTCCCCTCAATGTCCATTGCACGTTTCCATTGTGCCACGCCCAGGTTGAAAGAGACGTCGACCAGTTTTCGACCGATGTCTAGTAGCTCATTGATATCTCGTGCTGTGGCAGCGGCGGCACCCAGAAGAAGTCCACCACACACTCCAACAACGTATGTGGGCTGCGCAGCTGAGTCGGATAGTGTTAATATTGAAGGGTCGGTTTCTGAGCGGCTGGATGGAACGTTAACAACCATCAACACGAAAAATATGAAAAAGGGACATACCTGAGGTAATCAGCAAATTGTGAGATTGTCCACAAGGCACAGCCTATGGGTTCGTAGGTTCCATCTTGCTTGGAGTATATCTCCGCAAGCTCAACAATTGTTTCGAAGTTACGATAACATTCGTAATCCCCTAGTTCGATCTGAGATAGGAGAAGCTGGAGCTTGTCAGCAGCTTCGCGGAGATATCGCCGCAGTATTGGTAATTGATGTGACCGATTTGCGAGGTCTTTGATACAAAGCAGAGTATCAACTGTCTGGTCTCCAAAGAACGTAATGCGTTGTGCGCTTTCGCGGGCACTCGATAGACTACCCATGTTGACGAGGGATGATACAAAACTGCTGCACCAGAGAACGCTTTGGAAAGTGCACAAGCCAAAAAGTGACGTGAACTGGAAGTGATATATGGCCTTCAACAAGCTCAATTGCGATTTGAACCGTTTGACGCCAAAGATTACGGAACTAACATCATCTGACATGTATCCTCCTATTACATGCACCGTACTACTACTACATAGGGCTACGCGCCGTTATCAAATCAAATGGTTACCATTGGTGAAAGAAACTTGGCGATAGGACCATACCACTGAGGTTATCCTTGTACTTCCATAACAATATAAGCACTACGGAGTAAATATCACTCAAATTAAGTAATTTTTTATAATAATATAATGATGATGATGATGGTTTATTACGCCCGGAGGGACTAACCCTATAGGGCACTAGCGCTAGATATATACAATTCGTGTTTTTCCGACCTGTCCTCCTATAAGCCCCTGCTTTTCCTGCTTCCACATATTTATCTTGGTGTCTGAGGTTGAGGTCTCCTTGTCCTGCGGGTCCCCCATCTTGAGTACAAAGGAATTGATAGACTGGCTTAAAGGCTGTCTTCTTCAAGTGTGCAGCGTCCTATCTTCAGCGGCTGCAGCGGCGTCTATCGAATACGAGGGTGAGAGTGTTTGGTTAGTGTTGGCTTTGCTGTGCTTGACTTGGTTCCTATTCCTGTTCCATGTTGAGCCTTCCTGTTGATATTGCGTATCTAATTGTCGTTCGTACGGCTTTAATATCTGGTTGCCATCGCTCAGGATCAGATTGTGCCTTTCCTCCAAGATAGAATGATAGGCTCCCTCTTCTTGTTTCTGTGCACTGTAACATGCTCTCTCTTACTCCTGTCCACTTTGTGCAGCGAAATAGGAAGTGCTCTATAGTCTTACTTGCTTGGCCGCAGACGCAGAGGTCTGATTCTGCAGCTCCTATCCTAGCTAGGTAACTGTTAAGCCTGGTCATACCTTATAATAATATATACGGAGTATAATTATAGGAAATACTTAGTGCGCGGCGCGAGAAATCCCAAAATTGAGTAGTGCTAAGAGTCTTGGCGCCGCAGCGTGTTGGAAGGATACGCCAGATACGAATATTGTCTGCGAGAGAATGGGTCGATTACATAATGTTGGGGGGCACCCTAACCCCCCGGTAGGCTGCCGAAGTTAGCGAACAGCCTACCACAATGTACTCTGGACCAATCGGAATCATGTCATTCTGGTGTCAGCGTAATGTAAAATAACACGGCGATAAATGTCGTACTGCAAGAATACCGGCATACCGATTCAGTGAGAAATGGGAAAACCATGTATCACAATACATAGCGGTAATATTAAATAATATATACCCGCATATGTCGACAAGTTCAAATATTTTCCCACTGAATTTACCCTAATTTTTACTAATAATAATCTAGTATTGAATATAGTGGCCAGCTAATATAGAATACTGCCCGCTTCTGCAGCTATTACTGCCTAATAGCGAGCCTGCACGTCATCAAAAAGCTGAGTAAGAAAGCTCTTACTTGCTTTCTTGCTGGCTTGCTGGCTCTTATTAATGTGTTGCCGCGTAGCTAGCTAGTACTATTATGAGCTTATATGGACACATTGATAATCTAGATACACAGCTAGCCAGGTGAGCCCCCAATTCCATAGTTCTTATCAATTGTAATAGGAGGTTGGGCAGGAGGAATGATCAATATGACACAAGCATTCGGTATCTTCCAATCTTCATTAACAAGGGTACTATTGCTAACATACAGAGACTGAAGCTTGAGGAAAGAAAGAATCCTATCTACCAGGAGCCTGCTTCTTATGCGTGCGTGAGGTTCAGGATCGGAGTCATGACATGATACCAGTATGAGGGGTCAGGTTAGGCCGACCTGAGATAAGGCAAGTCATTGAGTCATTAACAAGAAGTCTGACGTGTCACTGTAGCTGATGTGATCTGGCACAGTGATCCTATTGTACTGTTACATCAATGCGTTGGCATATAACGCATTCTTAATACACAAGTATTTATAGTCTTACATTACCCCGCGGCAAGGCTGTTCCTGTCTCGTTTCATGCATGGCGTAGATTTACTTACCTGGAATATATCATCAAAGACAGAGTAGTATGGATGCGGGTCCAACGTCCATCGGTCAGAGAATCCTTATCGTGATCCTACGGAGTATATCAATCCGAACGCTCATCAGCCCAATACTCCGCTGTAAGGTTACATGATGTGGGCCGTTGATACAGAGTAAGCACTAGGGAATGGCCCCCTGCATATATATAGTATATGATGCCGCGCGATTACGCTATTTTATCGCTCATGCAAGTAAGAACCCCGTCTTCGTTTGGGTCAGCCTTAGCTTGTACAGGAAGGATCGGTTGCGAATGCCGACTAACATCCTTTATCCTGCTCCTGATGGCGGGCTGACGTGACCAGATGAAAATCTGGTTTCATACATAATAAACCGAATAGATGCTAACAACATGCGTTTTGCACAACCCTACAAGCCGTAATTGGCCGTCACGACGCCTGCACATGAGACGACATATCAGCTCCGTCAAGCTATATATTATGACAATTTGAGTGTAGAGTGTTAATGCTACTATATACATGCAGCAGAGATGGAGAACAGCTATGACGACCAGTCAATAGCCGTGATTGGCCTGTCTTGCCGATTTCCTGGCGATGCCGACAACGTAGAACGATTCTGGAACCTCCTCCGTGAGGGACAGTGTATGTTTTAATATGTTTTGTTATCTGTTGTTTCATTCTCCATCTGTATGCCATTTTGCCATGCAGATATCGCTTCTGACTGACTTGTCGTATAGCTGCCATATCCACTGTTCCTGGGAACCGATGGAATAGTCGTCGCTTCCAGGATGACAAGAATCACAGCCAAAACACCAGCCGCACCAATCGCGCACATTTTCTAAAAGAAGATGTATCGGCATTTGATGCCAATTTCTTTTCTATTTCCAAATCCGAGGCGGTAAGTATGGATCCTCAGCAGCGTCTGATGCTTGAGGTGTCTTACGAAGCCTTCGAAAATGCTGGCCTCGCCGTGGAATCTCTTGCACAGAGCCAAATGGGCTGCTGGGTAAGTTCTTTCTCGCAAGACTGGAGAGAAATGCAGTTCTCCGACCTGCAGTCGGTACCCAAGTACGCAATGTCGGGTATGCAACCAGAGATGCTCGCAAATCGAGTTTCGTATTTCTTTGATTTGCATGGGCCAAGTATGGCTTTAGAGACTGCATGCTCCGGTAGTCTGGTTGGTCTTCACGTAGCATGTCAGAGTCTGCGATCCGGTGAATGTGACGCCGCATTAGTGGGAGGAGCCAACCTGTTCCTCAACCCAAATATGTTCCTCGCACTATCAAATCAGAACTTTTTGGCTCCGGATGGACTGAGCAAGGCGTTTGACGCATCAGCAAACGGCTATGGCCGAGGTGAAGGGTTCGCGGCTGTCATCCTTAAACCTGTTGAGAAGGCTATTCGTGACGGCGATCCCATCCGTGCCGTCATCCGCGCGACTGGAACAAATCAGGATGGAAGAACCAAGGGCCTGACCATGCCGAATGGCGACGCACAAGAAACCTTGATCCGATCAACGTATCGATCAGCTGGACTCGAGTTGAAAGACACGGCGTATTTTGAAGCACACGTAAGACTGGTCTTAAACAATAATTAGCTTTACCTGGTCAGAATCCTCACACAATACCAGGGAACCGGAACACAAGTTGGTGATTTTGAGGAGCTAAGCGCAATAGCTCGCACCGTCGCCGACGCCCGCAAGCGCGAAGGGCTAGAAGAGTTGTGGGTGGGATCTGCAAAGACAAATGTAAGATATTTTTATTGTCAAACCTTGTTATAAGTTCAAGCCTGCAACCCTAACACGTGAGACACAGATTGGCCATCTCGAAGCAACGGCAGGCCTGGCTGGCGTACTCAAGGCAATACTTGTTCTGGAGAACGGCGTCATTCCCCCTAACCTGCATTTTAAGAATCCCAACCCCAGGATTCCCTTTCAAGAGTATCACATAAGAGTGCCCACGCAAGAAGTTACTTGGAACCCCGACACGATACGCCGTGTCAGTGTCAATTCATTTGGGTTCGGAGGCAGCAATGCCCATGCTATCATCGACAATGGTAAACAGTACCTGCATCAACGACGGTCAAAAGCAACCCTCGTTAACGGGACTCATGCCGCTGATGACAAAGAGCTGAAACCGGAGGTGCCGCAAATTTTCGTTATCAACTCCAGTGATCAAGAAGGATTAGGTCGTCAAAGGTCTGCTCTTCGCCATTACCTCGCCAACTTTGGTAAAGAAGGACGTGCAAATAGCGGATGGTTTCGCGATCTTGCCTTTACTCTGGGAAAGAAACGCTGTCGCCTTCCTTGGAGATCATTCTGCACTGCTTCCACGGTCCTGGAACTGTCTGAGGCTTTGGAAGCTACCGACTTTCCAAAGATTCGGTCCGGAACAGCGGCTCTGCGACTTGCCTACGTTTTCACAGGCCAGGGAGCTCAATGGGCGCAAATGGGATTGGAACTATTCCAATTTCCTACCTTTAAACAAAGCGTTGTGGCTGCAGATAGTCACCTGAAGAAGCTAGGCTGTCCTTGGTCGGTGGTCGAGGAGTTGCAGCGGAGCGGTGCTGAGTCGAATATTCACGTTTCGTGGTACAGTCAGACGCTGTGTACTGTTCTCCAGGTTGCCTTGGTTGAACTTCTGCAGTCTTGGGGTATCACTCCACGTTCTGTGGTTGGCCACTCAAGCGGAGAAATGGCGGCTGCCTTTGCCATAGGTGCTCTTGCGCGTGAGGACGCTTGGAAAATCGCCTACTGGCGAGGCAAGCTCTCTTCTGAGCTCACGGAGCGTGCGCCTGACCTGAGTGGGGCCATGATGGCCGTAGGCGCCTCTCACGAACAAGCACAGAAATGGGTGGAAGGATTGACTCGTGGCAAGTGTGTTGTCGCCTGCATTAACTCCCCTTCAAGCGTTACGGTTTCAGGTGATGACGCCGGCTTAGATGAGCTAGCCGCGATGCTCAAGGAGAAAGAGGTATTTGCAAGGAAATTGAAAGTCACCACGGCATATCACTCTCATCATATGAAAGTCGTTGCGGAAGCCTACCACGATGTACTTAAGGATGTCGAGGTCCGAAACGTGCCCACTGATGGACCGCAGATGTTTACCTCTGTGAGCGAGACGTTGGTTAACCCGAGCGACCTTGACGCCTCACATTGGGTGGCAAACTTGGTCTCTCCTGTTCTCTTCTCCAATACGGTTGCTGAGCTCGCAAGGGCAAAAACTCCGAAAGACCAGGCAACTGGTTCTGCAGTTGACCTGATGCTGGAAATCGGTCCCCATGCAGCACTCCGTGGTCCAGTCACGCAGATTCTCCAGGCAAAGGGACTTCGGAACGTTGAGTACCAGTCTCTTCTTTCTCGTGGCTGCAACGCTATCCAAACCACACTTGCTGCAGTGGCGGATTTAATCTGCCGTGGCGTAACTGCGGACATTGATGCTGTCAACAACGCGCATACCCCTCAAGGAGCTGGCCACAAGACAATGCCGGCCAACACCCTCACAACCCTACCACCATATGCTTGGAACCACTCGAGGACGTTTTGGACCGAGTCACGCATGCTTCGGGAGGCGAAAGCCGTTAATGATTCGCCTAGTAGTTTCATCGGGCTTCCTATGCCATCATTTGTAGCAAACGAGCACATCTGGAGAGGATTCCTTCGACTCGAACATGTCCCTTGGGTCAGACACCACAAAATGCAATCTGCAGTCCTATTTCCAGCTGGTGGGTTTCTAGCAATGGCAATTGAGGGTGCCAGCCAATTTCAGGGCAAGGACAATAGCCGTGTGGCGAAAGGGTACAAGCTCCGTGACGTTCGGATCGACAGTGCAGTCATACTTACCGAGGAGTCCAACATCGAACATATTTTACAACTCCGGCCTCATGATACAGCGCGTTCCCAGCAGACGGACTCGTATGACGGGTGGTGGGAGTTCAAGATTTCCACCTCTGCGGGTTCGGACGAGTCGCTGAAATGCAACTGTTATGGATTGGTCACTGTCGAGTTTGAACAACTAATTCACCCTTCCCACGCTAGCAAAGCTTCCTCTACTACTGTACAGCAAGCGGAAGCTTTCTACGAGAGGCTGGAGTCTGTTGGTTTGGAGTATGGCCCATCATTCCAGGCCATCAAGACTATCCTGCACAGCAGTGGCGGTCAAACAGAAGGCGAAATTGAAATCATGGATATAGATGTGAATTCCACTACACCAGGAGGTTCGGATGGACGCCCATACGTTGTTCACCCAACTACTCTTGAGGCCTTGTTTCAAATGGCATATGCTGCTTTCGACAACCAGAGTGACGGTGTCAAGAAAGCCCTTCTTGTCACAGATATTGAGGAGCTGCTGCTAGACGCGAGCATTTCCCACACGCCGGGTGCCCGACTTCAGACCTCGGCGAGATCCTCTCGCCTAGGATTCCGCGAAATGTTGGCAGATGTCACTGTGTCTCCTACAGCGTCTAACGCTGGTGGAATTTCCGTGAGAGGATTGACCTGTGTAGAGATGCCGAGCACTGCTGGTGTCAATAGCGATGTTGGCATCACGGGAAGAGAAGGCTATGACTCCATGCTGAGCAAGTTTGTGTGGAAGCCAGCCCTGAACCTGCTATCGGCGACCGAAAGAGAACACCTGCTCATCGCAGCTACAAAGGTGACTGACGCAGAGACGGAGGCAATTCTCGCCAGAGAGGCAGCCGACTTTCAGAATGTCAAATCTGCCCTCCAGGCTAGTCAGCGCGGCAAAACCGGTAGCCTGAAGCTTCGCAATGCATTGAAATGGATATCCCAAGAACTCCCAGACGCTAAAGTATTTGGCAAGGCACTTGAAAATGTATCCCAAGACGGCCAAGGCGCAGGACCTACGGGACCCATCGTCGACGTCCTAAGCGGGACTTCAACCCCAGATGTCCTGCTGAGCGGATATGGCAGCACTGAAAAGTTCCTGGCCGCTCTTCCCGGCGTAAAGGTATCATTGCAGAAGATGTACCAGGTCAGTATGAATGGTAAACACTAAAGCTAGTGTCTTAAAGTTGTAACTAATATCGAGCCAGCTTGTCAGTATCATGGCCCACGAGAATCCTGACCTGGCGGTTTTGGAAATTGGATCTGGCAGTTCAGGGGAAGAGGACACATCAATATTCTCGACAACGGACATACCAACCACGATCAAATACACACGCGCAGTAGCAACCCCTGAGATTCTTCGTAATCTACAGGAATTCTCTCCCCCTGCCGGCCCTATTCCCCGCTTTACTGTCCTCGATCTGGAACAAGATCTGGCTGACCAGGGTATCGACCTTGCTTCATTCGATATCATTATTGGCAACAACGTACTCTCCAACTCCAGAAATGTTGAAAACGTGCTTAGGCGCACGAAATCGTTATTGCGTGATGAAGGCAACATGTGCTTCGTGGAACTAACCAAGCCAAGCTCTAGAGCAGTACCAGTGCTCGGAGTCGTTTGTGACTGGTGGAAGTATGGCATACCCCAACTTCTGTGATGTTCCATTTTAAGCTGACATGATAATAGACGAGGAGATGACGGACTACGTCGACCCTTATCCAGTGACTCAATCAAGGATATCCTCACTGAGCAAGGTTTTACTCTCGACTTTTTGTCACCAGACTTCGTTGACCCCGCAATTCAACAATCCAGCCTAGTGTTTGCGTCGTCTTCTGCGGAGAATTTGCCAACAGCCTCAGCAACAGACGACGCAGACGACGAGGAAATTTACATCTTGATTTCCCCAGAATTAAAGTCGCCAGATGCGGTTGTGCAGAATGTTGCATCAAGTTTCCAGCATAGCCAGATTGTAACTTGGGGTGCGGGTGTGGATTTCAAGGGGAAGTATATCATTTCGCTGCTGGAGTTATATGATCCGTTTATCAACCACCTTACTGAAGAGGACTTTGATATCCTGAAGAAACTCGTCACGCAAGCTTCTAGTCTGCTATGGGTCACAGGAATCCCAGAACCGCACGCTTCCACTATCCTAGGTTTTGCCCGCGTCGTCCGCTTCGAAATACCGAGTCTGGACTTCCGCGTTCTGACTTTGGACCCTGCAACAATAGAGGATGCCAAAAAGAATTCCATTCACATCTCCCAAGTTCAGAGATCTAAGTCTCCGGACAAAGAGTACAAAGAGTTGGATTCTATTGTTCATATCCCTCGTGTCACTGTAGACGCATCACTAAACCATCAGATTTCCAATTTGTGTCTTAGCGAGGCCATTGAGTCGAAGCCTCTAGGTTCATTGGAGAGACCACAAAAACTTTGCATTCGAAACCCAGGTATGCTGAACACGCTCTGCTTTCAGGCGGACAACGTGTCGGAAAACGAGCTTCAAGACGACGAGGTTGAAGTACGCGTGATGGCTAGTGGATTGAAGTAAGTGCCCTTCTCTCTCTATCATAAGCCTTGGTTTAACCGTATAATAGTTCGAAGGATGTTATGGTAGCTCTTGGACACATCACCGATACGCATCTCGGCCTTGAGGCTAGTGGAGTTGTCTTGCGTGTTGGAGCAAGCGTCACACATCTCCAGCTTGGTGACAAGGTTGTCATGCTGGCGAATGGTGCGCATCGAACAACTCTACGCGGCAAAGCTGCGGTATGCCAGAAGATCCCGCAAGACATGACATACGAGGAAGCTGCCGGTTTCCCTTTTGCATACTGCACGGCGTACTACACACTTCTCCACGTCCTCAGAGCTCAGAGTGGCCAATCTGTTCTCATCCACGCTGCGGCCGGAGCTGTAGGGCAAGCATTAGTTCGCCTGGCTCAGCACCTAGGCCTTGAAGTCTTCACAACAGCTGAATCTGCCGACGATAGAGCATTTGTCCAAGAATTACTCGGCCTCTTCCCAGATCGTATCTATCATCCACAGGATAAGGGACTTGTCCAACATGTCATGCGCATCACCGGCGATGTAGGGGTGGATTTCATCGTGAACCCTCTGTCTGTAGAGGAAATCGCAGATTCCTTAAATTGCCTTGCTGACTTTGGAACATTTGTTGAGATGGGCATGGAAAATGACTCCCGCCATTCCACTCTGAATACGCGACTATTCCGTCGAGACACTACCTTTGTGGCCGTTAACCTACAACGAGTATTGGAGCTGAGGCCCAAGTTGATTGGAGAGATCTTGCAAAAAGCTCTGGGCCTCTTTCAAGATGGCCAGGTGAAGTCAGTTTCGCCTTCAAATGTATACCCGGTTTCGGAAGCAGAGGCAGCTATACAGATGTTCCAGGATAATCGCCATCATGGTAAAATCACGCTGTCGTATTCCTCAGAGGACTTTGTATCCGTTCTGCAGAATCCGAAAGACAGCTTGAAGCTCTCGCCGGACAACACCTATCTCATTGCTGGTGGTCTCGGTGGCATTGGGCGAAGCCTCGCCACTCTGCTCGTCGATTGTGGAGCGCGCCATATTGCTATGGTCTCCCGTTCCGGTGTTACATCAGTTGAGCAACAGCAGCTTATTGACAATCTAAGTGAGCGCGGTGCTAAAATCGGAGTTTACAAATGCAGCATTGGCGATGCCAACGCCTTGGGCCGAGCGCTAACCCAATGCGCAAGTGAGATGCCTCCCATTAAAGGAATCATTCACTCAGCGGTTGTTTTCAGAGATGCCGTTCTTCATAATATGACATACAAGCAATGGGATGAGCTCTTGGATGGTAAGCTCCGAGGAAGCTGGAATTTGCACGCACTTACCACTTCTTACAACCTCGACTTCTTCCTCTGCATCGGATCCTTCATGGCTATTATTGGTGGTATCAGCCAGAGCAACTATGCTGCCGGTAGTGCTTTCCAGGACGGATTAGCTCATCTGAGACAGTCCCAGGGGCTGCCCGCTGTCACGATTGATCTTGGTATTGTGAAAGGCTTCGGTGCAGTAGAAGAGCAGGGTGCAGTGGGCCACACCCTCGAATGGCGGGAACCATTCGGCGTCAGTGAGCCAGAAGTACACGCTCTGATCAAAGGTGCATTACTTGGTCAAAGGGGCAACTGGGCACTAGATGTCCCAGCCCAGATGATCAACAGCATACCGACGGGAGGTATGGTTCGTAGCTCCGGTGTCAGTCAGCCATACTACTTTGATGACCCTCGATTCAGTATCATGGCCAAAATTGGCATGGACTCGGAGAATTCAGATACGCAAGCCAGTGTATCGCTCAAAGAACTACTTGCCGATGCGGAAAGCTCTGATGATGCTGTATTGTTCGTCACCGGCGCAGTGATCAGCAAGGTAGCGAAGCTGATGCAAGTAGCGGAGGAAGAAATTGATACAGGAAAGTCGCTGCACGCCTATGGAGTGGATTCTCTTGTGGCAGTAGAATATGTTAGCTGGGCCAAGAAGGAGGTTTCAGCCGACATTACTGTTTTTGATGTAATGGCTTCAAAACCCATCATGTCATTTGCTCGTGATCTTGTAGGTAAGGGGAAATGGGGCGCAGCGATTCCAGCTTGCAAGAGTTAAAAGGAGCGATGCATATATAGAATATAGGAAGTTTTCTTTTGTTGTTAGTTAGATGACCATCGATAAAAGTGAATTTGCACTGCACCAATTACAATTCTGTTCCCGACAGTGGTACTATATTTAATTAAATTTTTAAAAAGCTTGAAAAACACCTAAGTTCAACTGGGTGACACGATTCTTTGGGTAAGGTTCATCTTGATTAGGCAAAGTGCCAGATTAACAATATACCCAAAAGTCTGATCTGACTGCAGTTTACTGTAAGATAACAACGCAGCGGCCAACCGATTATCTCAATTTACTGCGAGACTGCTGAACAGATAGGACTTGAAGCCCCTAATGAAATATTGAAATATCCAGGGTAAAAAGTAGAGGGCAGGATATGTAGAGTAGCAGAATGCGGAATGTCAGATATATTTCACCTCTTCAGATTCCTTCTTAACCTAAAATTTCATTTCATGTCACATGACTACATTGTGGTGTTGGAACTCAGAATGAGCTAAACCAATTTGGGAATAGGACAATATTTGCGTATCAAGAAATTTCGAGAATTGGCATCACATTCCGACGCGATATTGAACATTACAAATCAACTTTACAGCTTATCTCTAGAAAGTTCGATTTGCACAAGTGTCGACTTTTGGTGATATCACTTCTATGGAATCTTGTATGTAAAAACAGGTTCAATACTCCTAGATAGTGGTTTGAGAGGAGTGCCGGAAAATAGACCTAGTTCCTTATACGTAACGTAATTCCCAAGCGAACCGCCCACCCAAGCGACCCGCCCACCTCCCCGAAAAATAACTCTCTATATTGATTTCTCATATTTCAACGCGTCAAAATGCCACCAATTCGCAAGAAAGATCCCTTAAAATCTACTCAGATAGAGGGAAAGATCCAGTTAGCTATTTCTGATTTGAAAAATGGAAGAATTTCCAATATTCGTGAAGCTACAAGGATTTATGATATTCCTCGTACGACTCTCCGAGATCGACTCAAAGGCATTGAATATAAAGGTGAAAAGCGCACCAACCACCATAAATTGACTCAATCTGAGGAGGATTCACTTGTCAAATGGGTTCTTGATTTAGATCGACGTGGATTATTTCCCCGACATTCTCTTGTACGAGAAATGGTCAATTATCTTCTACAACAACATGGAAAATCACAAGTTGGAAAAAACTGGGTGACCAATCTGATTAAACGCCGTCCGGAGATTGATTCTAAATTCGCAAGGAAATATAACTATGAACGTGCCAAATGTGAAGATCCAAAGATAATTCAAGAACATTTTGACCGCGTACGAGCTGCTATATCTGAGTATGGAATCTTACCAGAAGATATCTATAACTTTGATGAGACTGGCTTTGCTATGGGACTCTGTGCATCTGCGAAGGTTATTACTGGAAGCGATCGATATGCTCAGCCAAAGCTTTTACAGCCTGGAAATCGAGAATGGGTGACTGCAATTGAAGCAACAAATTCAACTGGTTGGGCGTTACCTTCGTACATTATTTTCAAAGCAAAGAAAAACGTACGATTAGGTTGGTTTGAGGATCTTCCAGATGATTGGAGAGTCAATATTAGCGATAATGGTTGGACAACAGATCAAATAGGATTAGAATGGCTTAAAACCCATTTTATTCCTAATATTAATGATCGTACAATGGGAAAATACCGAATGTTGATTCTTGATGGCCATGGAAGCCATTTGACTCCAGAATTTGATCGTACATGCACTGAGAATAATATTATTCCAATCTGCATGCCACCTCATTCTTCGCATCTATTACAGCCTCTTGATGTTGGCTGTTTTGCAGTTTTAAAACGGTATTATGGGCAGGTTGTTGAGCAACGAATGAGGCTTGGATTCAATCATATCGACAAAATGGACTTTTTAACAGCATTTCCACAGGCTCGTACAGTGGCATATAAAGCTCAATCTATTCAGAATAGCTTCGCAGCCACTGGATTAGTGCCTTTCAATCCAGATCGAGTTCTTCAATATCTTAATATTCAATTGAAGACTCCAACCCCCCCTCCAAGTCGATCAAGCAATACAGCATCATCCTGCTTACAAACACCTCAAAATATACGCCAATTTGTACGCCAGTCAACTACAATCAATAAGCGTATAAATAAGCGTACAGGAAGCCTGAATCAGAATGAAGAAATCAATCAGGCAGTTATACGGTTATCAAAAGCCTACGAAATACTAGCGAATGATGCTTTACTCGTACGGAAAGAAAACCGTGATTTACGAGCTGCGCATGAAAAAGAGAAGCAAAAGCGCAAAAGATCTAATAAACAGATATCTATTGAGCAAGGGATTACTAGAGAGGAAGCTCAGGCGCTCGTACAAGGTCAGGTTGAGGCATCTCATGCTGTTACTACTACTCTGGCTGAGCCGGAGCTCCCAGCTTCTCAAGCAGTCGTACGCCGCCAATTTCGCTGCAGTGGTTGTAACGTTATGGGGCATAGAATAAATCAATGTCCTAGTCGTACTAGTAGTTAGATTTTTGTATATAATTTGTACGTGATTGAGAAATTGGGATTTGAAATCAATATAGAGAGTTATTTTCCGGAGAGGTGGCCGGTTCGCTTACATGGCCGGTTCGCTTACCGATTACGTTAGTTAACTGATTCCAGGCTTGCTGACTACCGTCCTTCACCGCCTGAGGAATAACCCTACCTGAGGAATAATTTCAACGGCTTACTGTACAGAATATTTTGAAGCTTTTACAACACCACATAATAATTAAATATAGTGAATTTCTGGTGTAGCACTAAATAAGCTATGGCGAATCTAAAAAGCATAAAAGTTAATCGCGAAAACGTACAGGGGGCCGTATCGCGCGGCCCCTACGGTTTGTAGTAACAACCACCTCATTATCCTCCACATGAGCCTCAGGTTGCACTCTTGGCTTTGCTTGCCTAGAAATTTGCTCTGTGGGTTTTTTTGAAGCCTTTGGAGTTGATATAACATCATTTTGAAGCTGTAAATCAGCTAGCTTAGCCAATTCTTGCTCGTCCTTAAGCCGTTGCTTTTCCGCAGCCTCTTGCTCACGCTGCTCACGTTTTTCTTGTCGGATTTGAGCTCTTTTAACCTTTTCGGCCTCTTTAGCTTGCTTTTTAAGCTGTTGTTGAAGCTTTTTATCATCTTTATGAGCCTGCTTCTGCGCGGCTTCGTCATTTTTTTGAGAAATAATATCACGAGCTTGCTGAACCTTAGTAGGGCTCATAAAAAGCGCTCCACCATCTTGTTCTGATGGTAAACCTAGTAATAAAGGCTGTTTCTTGTTTTTAGGCTTCTTTGCATTTATGAGAGCTCTTTTCAGGCCTTGATTCTCATTTTGAAGCAAGATAAGCTGAGTAGAAAGATGTGACACCGTTTCTCGAAGCTGTACAGCCTTTTCATCATAAATATTGTTAACAACAGTCTTAACAAGCTTCTCAAGCCGTCTCCAATCTTCTGGAGGAATAATTGAAGCTCCGGATTCGCTTGAGGATGGCCGGCTGGTGATTTTCTTGTTGAATTTGTTGATAACAATCTCCGGATCAAAGGGATATAGACCAGTCGTTCTGAATGCTGAATTGATATTCTTGCTTATAAAAACCTCATTCCAGCTAGCCCAAAAAAGGCGAAAAAAGTCACGTTTAGTGAGCCGGGTGAAGCCTTGGCTATCCCTTATAAAATCATCCAATTGCTTCGTATAAGCGTTAGAAAGAGGCGAGAAAAGAGCGACATCAAGAGGCTGTAAAGTATGTGTTGCATGAGCCGGAAAGATTGCTAATAGAATTCGATTCGAGTCGCAGTATTCAATAAACTTCATTGTAACGTGGGATCCATGCCCATCGAGGATAAGAAGGCGCCATCCCCGGCTTGCTTGAGATTTTGTCTCTTTATCAAAAACATCCACCAACCAGCGATATCCGATATCATTATTAGTCCACCCTGACTCTGAGGCTGCAAAGAAGCATCTCTGTGTTTGGGGATCGTAATCTTGAAGCCAAGAATCCTGTATAAAGCCCGATTTTGCCATATAAATAAGACTAGGCGCTAAAGCAGTTCCATTGGCACAAATACAACCAATTGTTGTAATCCATTCTCGATTTCCATCCTGAAGATGCTGCTTATAGCCCCCTTGCTCATATTTGCGCCGAGTAAAGATTCTTTTCCGTTTTGTGCTTACTCCAAGCATGAAGCCCTTCTCATCCATATTATAGATTTGCTCTGGGCCGAGGTTATATTCCCGTATTTTCCGTCCAATAAGCTCAAAATATAAAGCATATTTATATGCCGAATCTGCCTTTTTTCTATCCGAATCAAGGCCCGTTGAATAGCGAGAAATCACCTTATCCGAATGAGCCTTGAGCCAGCGTGAAGCCCAGTTTTTCCCAGGCTCTTTACCAGATATTTCTCTTGCAAAGTTCGCTAACATTGAATTTGTAGGGGGCAGGCCTCGCTCGGTGAGTTGATTTATCCATTTTATAAGCGCTCTTGATTGCGTGGTGGTGAGTATTCGTTGCTTGTCGTATTGCTCTTCTTTTGAGCCTGTAACACCGTGAAAACGTTTATAAAGGCCCGATTGGCTAACGCCGTATGTTCTTGCAACCAAACTAATATTAGGCTTTTCTCCAGGATCCGCTGAATGTAATGCTGCAAGTGCGAGCTCCATTGAAGCCATATTGGTTGATATATCGCGGTGTGAAATATTCGCGATTTTTCGCGTTTTGGGGTAAATTTATTCCTCAGGTGGGTTTATTCCTCAGGCGGTGAGGGACGGTAATGCCGGATGGATCAGGGGTCAACATACGTTAGTTAGTTTTAGAGATTGATCACCACCACCACTACCTTGATCCAGAGAGATCCATTTTCATCATCCACCAGATTCGAGAATCATCATTATTTGATCTCATCTCTTACCATCTATCGCTATATGTGATTTTTAATTCACAGTCTCTCTCTCCAGTATATACCAGTCATCTAGTTTATACACTAAGATTCTCCTCCCATGATGGAGTTCCATAATCTGATGTTTGAAAGACTTACCGAGTTTCCCGTTATCGTTTGTCGTGAATGTCGATACGCTGTGTGGGCTAACCAGATTGAAGGCCATTTAAAGCAAGCGCATCGCCATATATTAATGAGTGTGCGAAAGCAACTGGCCAAGGAGATTTGTAGCTGGCCGGATATCGCGATTGAGCCCATTGAGTTAGATATTTCACCTACTCGAACCCATGCAATCCTGCAACTGATTGGCCCAGTTGATGGTTGGCAGTGTCGATTGCAACTAGAGTCATGCCACTATATATGTACTAGCATAGCTTAGTTACGGCGACATTGGCGGGAGCAGCATGACTGGTGCCGGTCATCCAAGTATGGTCATCCAACTAAGAAGGAGCAGATTGCTATCCGGCAGAAGCAGGAGCGAGTATGTCAACCAGTGAAGTGCCAGCGATTATTTCCGCGAAAGATGGGATCCCAGTACTTTGCAATTATTGATAACCATGATAGTACGGATGAGGCTGATTCTCCATCATTATCCAACGCTGCAACATTCTGGGAGCAAGCCAACGCTAAATTTGCCGAGTTTGAGAAGAAGCTGGCGGAGAAGATCGCCCAAGGACATGTGGATGAGGCCAACCCATGGCTTCGTCGAACCGGATGGTTGCTATATTTAAAACCGTTCACATTTCATAAATTGCAGGCATTAATCGAGGCACCAGAGCCACCCAGTGAGGATGAGAACCAGAGTGCCGCCATCCCCGATACCGAAACAGCGGAGAAACGTACCGCGTGGGCAGTATGGAGTGCCATGGGGGAAGTGGGACGACTCAGCCAGCTCTCCGTGTTGCACATGGGCGTATTTGTCCGCATGGAAGCCATTCGTTCCGAGAGAAATCAGACGCGGTATCAGCCACTGGAGGCATATCAGGATGCCAACGCGGTGACGGATCGAGTACGTCCGTGGCAGCAGATCTTGATGTTTTTTTGGCGAACGCAGCAGCAGTCTGAGTCCCAAGAGCGTCAATCGCAATATCGCTTTACACGACGGCAGAAAGAGGCATGGAAACGATTGGTGCAGATCGCACAATCTTGAGTCCGTCCGCCCAATGTAGGACGATCGATTGTGGTTCGACCAGGAGAACGTCGTCCATGGGAGTCCCGTTCCATTCCCAGTTCGCCGCCGTCATCCGGGGTTGAGACCATGGCACCACGACGTGTCAGACCCCGTGGTGAGGAGGCGATGTCAGACCGGAGCAGGGACCGGTTGGAGGGTGATGCAGACCCAGAGGAGGTTGATCCCGGAGAGGATGACGACGAGGAGTATGACGAGGAGAACGAGGAGGAGGAGGAGGTGCCCCCATTAACACCGATCCAGCAGGCATGTTTGGACTTTTGCATCGAGCTATTGAACTAGCGGATTGTCCGTCGCGAGTACGACAGCGCGTTGATCTGTGCCACTGCGATCTTGGGAGCTCGAGAGGATGGTTGGCGCACCCCTAATGACTACCCACCCATTTTATCCAAGCTGATCAAGCTGGCCCGTTTCATGGTGGTCCGGAAGGCCATTGAATTGAGCGCCGTGCTTAAAGGTAATGAACTGCAGAGTTCAATGAATGATGCAGACTGGGACAGTACAGATAGAGGATCACTGTCCCATTTCCATTCCCACACCAACCAGAAAGGCTGTTTGCAGTGGGTGACACAGATGGTTGACACATTTATGATCCGCGGTTCACAGAGTCCGATGCAGTGGATGTTAGATCTCCGTACATACGGATTGAAGATCCATTACAACACCACGACGGAGGGCCACGTGGGCTGGCAGAACCACGACGAGCTATTGTATAAAGACTTGCAGTTTACCATGAGCGAGTTTCGAGGCATGGTGGATCGGACGACCCGCGAGGCACGGCGGATCTTGATTTTGCTGCAATGTTCACCTGAGGAGGCGCCAGCAATTCCATGGGATCGGCTATATGATAATCCAGTTAATGAGGATTTCTGTTGGAGCTTTTTACAGGATTCCCACACCACGTGGCCCATAGATGGGACGAGCTGGTTATGGCAGCATATTCAGCGTCATCCCGCACTCCATTGCAAATTCATACACGTGGATGAACAGAGTATCCAGCAGGTTCGATGGCAGGCATTTCATCGATAGATTACGGCGTTTTTGGAGAAGCTCATCGCTTGTATGCAGTTCACATGGGGCCAACCTGCTCGTGCTCCCGAGCTGTTGAGTATCCATCATGAGAATAGCTAGGCTGGTGGGATCCGCAACGTGTTTATCGAGGACGGGCTCGTGGTGTTGGTGACCAAGTACCACAAGGGTTACCAGATGAGTGGCAATGTCAAGATCATCCAACGATACGTGCCCCGTGAGGTGAGGGAGCTATTGGTGTGGTATTTATGGCTAGTATTGCTATTTCAATGGCGGATGGATGCCATCTTATATGGACGCGAGGAGATCTATTCCCATTTATAGGCATCCCAGCCCGGCCAACCCATATAGTCATCGGAACGATTGCGATGGATTTTGAAGTGGGAGAGTGCCATTGGGTTAGGTGGACGCACGTTGACCACAGCATTGTATCGAGAGGTGGCCATCGCCATCAGCCATCGATTCATGCGGAACAGCCGTGCGTTTACGCGCAGTGCCGCGGACGAGGCCAAGGCGGACGAGGAGGAGGACGAGATCATGGACCACGTTGCGGACGAACAGGCCACCCACAGTCCCAACACCGCCGGCAACATATACGCGCGGGAGTGGATGGAACGAGTGGGAGAAGTGGCGGAGCGACGATTACGATTCCAGCAAAGCAGTCAGGAGTGGCATCAGTTTTTAGAATTCCCGTCCACCATGCGGAAGCTGCGCGAGGATCAGACGACTCCATTTCAAGACAGTGCCGAGAACCGTCGGGTGGAACAGTGGAAAGCCACCCGAGCCGCTGATCCCATCCAGGTGTTGCAGGAGATGATGGGCGAGCCAATCACGTTCCAAGGCAATCAGTAGGCGGTGATCCAGGCGATTGTACAGCAACAGAGTCCCATCATCGCGATCATGCCCACGGGAGCCAGTAAGGGTTTGTTATTCATGCTACCCGCATGGATTGGTCGCGGAGGCACCACGATCGTTGTGATTCCACTGGTGGCATTGCAAGAGGATATCTAGCAACGTTGCCGGCGGCTAGGGATCTCGTGCGTGGAGTGGAACTCCCAACATCCCGTTGACGGTGCATCCATTGTCTTGGTCACCCCCAAGTCCGCCGTGACCAAGACATTCCAGATATTCATCAACCGCAAGCAGTGGACCAAGGAGCTCGATCAGATTGTGATCGATGAGTGCCACATGGTATTGCAGAAGGGATACCAGTTCCGAAAGGAGAGGGCGCAGTTGGGGAAGTTGGTCCAGGCGCAGACGCAGATGGTGTTATTGACGGCAACATTGCCCCGTGAGAGCGAAGCCACATTGTGTGAGCGGATGTATTTTGAGCCCAGCACCACCCAATGGTTCCGTAGCCGGACTAGCCGCACCAACGTGATTTACGTGGTCCAGGTCGTAGGGAAGAAGGGGATGAAGCGGGAGATGATTGAGCGGTTAATGATGGAGTGGATTGAAGAACGAGTGGAGAAGTTCCGACGACGAGAGGACCCATGTAAGATGGTCATCTACAGTCACTCGCGAGGGTCGACGGTCGAGATCGCCCGCCAGCTGCAGTGTCCAGCATACCACAGTAAAACCGTGGATCGCCGCGGGGTGTTGGCATCATTCCGCCAGCAGAAGCAAGGGGTGATGGTGGCCACCAGCGCATTGGGAATGGGGATCGACATCCCCGATATCCGGATGGTCGTCCACGTTGGACCGACCCGGACGCTGTTAGATTATGGACAAGAGAGTGGGCGCGCTGGACGAGATGGACGGCCCAGTCTGGCGGTCATGTTGATCGATGGCAGTGGACAGGGTGTGGGATATCCCGAAGTCGTGGATGAGCGAGTGCGTCAGTACATCGACGGTAGATGTCAGCGATGGACATTGGATCGATACTTGGACGGGACGGTGGATGGGTATGAACGGGAGCAGTGTGAGGAAGGGAGGCCCCATGCGATCGGTGTCGCGGCGCCACACCGGTGTCAACGGTCGACGTTAATCGCGAGGAAGAGGATCCCAGTGATCCCGAGGGGATAGAGGAGGCAGATGACGATCACGAGGATAATGAGAGGCAGCACCGGCCACCACGAGGACACAAGCGCGTAAGATCCCATCCCGTCACAGAGTCAGCGGCCAAACGACACGCCGGCTCCACGTTTCCGTCCATTTCATATTACCAGGCTCCCGTTCAACGGCAGATGCAGCAAGCGGAAGACAATGGACGGGAGATTGAGTCGATTCGGGACCAGTTTGACCGGTGGGCGGGACAATGCCGGATCTATACCCTATCGTCAATTGGATCCTGGGTAGGATCCATTTGTCCGCCCGCTGATTGGCTGCCGCTCCCCGCGCCCCACTCCTAGGGTTAGGGTTCATGCGCTCTAACTGCCGGTGCCGCAATCCACACCCAGAAAAAAAGAAAAAAAGCAAAAGGAGCAAAAGATGAGAACGCATCGCGTCGATGGAGTGGACGGGAGGAAAAAGCAATGATGAGAACGCGTTGGGTGGAGAGAGAGAGAGGATCGAGATAATTTGCACCGTACAAGGAGATCTTAAATATTCCTTCCAATCTTGATTCTGTTGATGGTCCTCGACTCCTCACTTTCTCTCTCTCTCTATCTGTATATTTATTATCCTAGCCAAAGTGGCCATATCCACATTTTTAGATGTGATGGAGCTGTTCCGGTACATTCCAGACTACCAGATCTGGATCTGCCAGTCCTGTCGATATGCCATGTCCCCATCCCATCTCCTAGCACATCTGACAAGAAAACATGGCCATGATTATCGAGTAAAAACCCAGATTCAGCAGCAGCAAATCTTAGAGGACATGTTAAAACAACCTTGGATTGATCCTCAAAAAGAGAGCCTACGATTCCCATCCACTACAAGCACTCCTATTCCCTGCCTTCCTGTCATTCCTGGGTATCGATGTCCCAGTGTAACATGTTCCTACGTGACTGGAGCTGCAGCAACCATGCGACGACACATCCGTCAGCAGCATCCAGAGATCCCGAAGAATCCCAAGGGTCATCCGCGTGCCTCTACCCACTACGTCCATATATACCCCAGAGTGTACTGTCAACGGTTCTTTATCGCTGGCGCAGGAAGCCAATACTTTGCTGTCACCCCTTTATCCTCTAAGACCCACGAGCAGCCTCCCGCACCAGGATCTGGGGCGAACTGGATCGAAGCCGAGGTCAATACCGTGTTAGCCAGAAGTGAGGTGATCATCGACACTGCGAGTAATACGATCCAGAGCCATGGTACATCAACTGAGGCCTCTCCCTGGCTTGAGATGACCCGCTGGGGGGACTATCTCCGTGGATACTCCTTTCAGCAGGTAGCACCGCTAGGAGCACGGCCTGATCCCTTGCAGGAACCACTCCAGGCAGAATTTGCTAGTAGTGTCAGTCGGATTATCCAGCAAGCATATCAATCAATTCAAGAGGATAAGATCAATGTTTTTGATCAAGTCCAGATTAATAGTTTCCTACAGCACCGACGGGCCTGGGATCGGCCATTATTTATTAGATTAAAGAAGGCAACCTATCGGAATTATGAACATCTCTGGCAACGGCTCCTCTCCTTCGTCTACCGTTCCACCCAGCCCGAGCAGCCTGTCCAGCTGCGTCATCGGCTGACCCCACGGCAACTCCAGCATCTTGATGAGATGGTGGACTATGGGATTGAGGTATTAGCCTATCAAGGCCAAATCACACGGCCGCTTCCCACCGTGATCCGAGGGTCGACCCTGGCTGAAGCCCAAGCGCTGCTGGACCAGGCCTGTCTCCGTCTCTCGATTGCCCTGCTCAATCACACGTTAAAAGGAGATCTCTATGAAAGCGCAGTAGTTAGCTTTCTTGCTGTGCTAGGCGTTGATGCAGAGAAACGGACCTTTCGGGATGCATATTCATATACCCCATCACTATCTGGTCTGGTTAAGATGGCCCAGATGCTTGTGGTTCAGGAGGCTATTATCCAGGCTGACGAAGACCAGGTGGAGCATCCTGCAGATGCTCTTGATGAAATGCGAGAGCGATTCTTAATCCATGGAACGCGAAGCCCCTTTGCCTGGATCACACGACTCCGCACGTATGGAAAAAAGATCCAGAATACCACCACCAGTCTTGGTTATATCTATTGGTCTGAGGATCAAGAACGGCTCACCTACAAGGGACTAGATATGACCATGGAATCCTTCCGGCATTTTATCCAGACTGAGATTCGACAGGCACAGCAGAGTCTAGAGACACTGTTTCTTCTCCACGATGAGGAGACTCGAGAGGATGTCGTCCCTATCATTCCTCTCTCTCGATTAAAGGACGATCCGACGGAGAGCCGTTGTGGCTGGAACTTTCTCCAAGATGTACAAAATACAGAGGCTCTTCCAAATGGGCAGCGATGGCTCTTAAACCGCGTGCTAAAAACCGAGTGGCTTCAGGAGGAATTTCTTGATATCCAGCAACCTGGCCATCAGGTCCAGTGGAAGATTCCTGCAGTACAAGCATATCTTCGAGACCGCGATCAGTTCTTAGAACTGCTCCTGCTGCTGTGTCATATTACTGGGGGCCAGCCCGCGCGAGGGACAGAGATATTGAGTCTGCGTCACCACAATACGGTCCATGGGCGACATCGCAGTATCTTTATTGAGCAGGGATTGGTCAGCACAGTAACCAGTTATCACAAGGGCTATCATGTCACTGGATCGACCAAGATTATCCATCGATATCTGCCACAGCCAGTGAGTGAGATGATGATCTACTACCTCTGGCTGATTCTTCCCTTCTGTGAAAAGCTGGAGATCCTTGCCTTTGGGAAGACAGAGGCGCCCTCCCCCTTTCTCTGGCCCAAGGCTCATCAAGGGGAAGATAGCAGCTACCTCAGCAAGATTCTGGAACGAGAGGCGCGGCAGCATCTCCAAACCAAATGGAACATCACCTACTATCGGCACGCAGCGATTGCGATCTCTCGCGCCCATCTCCCCAGCGGTGGTTTTAAGCGGGATTACGGGGTCAATGAGAAGGTAACAGATCAGCAAGGAAGCCATACATCATGGACAGTAGGCACAATCTACGCGCGAGGTTTAAAGGAAGCACCAGGGCATGTTGAAGAGCGCCGGATGCAATATCAAGCTATTAGCCGGGAATGGCATTCATTTCTTGGCTTTAAGGTCCAGCTTGGGCCGCGAAAGCGACTGTTGGTGGAGAGGATGAATCTAGAATCATCCACCCAGAAGAGACGATGTGTATGAGTAGGATTGGATCAAGTGCATCAGGACTCTCAAAACCAATTGTAGATTGTTATTTATATTCCTCATGACTGTCATTAGCTCGTAGTTGAGCAAGATACATGTATATATGATGAAATGAGTTCCATTTCGTACATATATCCTTGACGGATCATGTCCCGGATTATATTGCGACCGGTTATATATCTTGATCTGTGGGATTGGAGTATACTATAATTCAGAAGTATCAGAATCAAGGAATAGATATCCATTCATTGAGCCAGCAATCGAACTAGGAAGCGAATTGGTAATTCAGCTGAAAAATCGGTTACTATTTGGCAGTTGACGGTTGAGTAAGTTGTCAGGTGACAGTTAGCAGTTGAGCAAGTTAACGGTTGACGGTTCAGCCATTGGACAGTTGACAGTTGCCAGTTGACAGTTGGTGGTTGAGAAAGCCGAAAGTTGGGGGTTAATCCAGTTGACGGTTGACGTTGACCAAGTTGACAGTTAAGGGTTGAGCAAGTTGAGAGTTGACAGTTGGCGGTTGAGCAAGTGGGCCGTCGACAGTTGGTGGTTAACCAAGTTGCCAGTTGGTAGTTGAGCCAGTAGACAGTTGGTGGTTGAGCCAGTTGCCAGTTGGTGGTTGAGAACGTTAACAGTTGGTGATTGAGAAAGTCGATAGTTGGTGGTCGAGAAAGTTGTCAGATGGCGGTTAAGCCAGTTGACAGTTGGTGATTAAGCAGGTTGACAGTTGGCAGTTGACGATTGAGCAAGTTGACAGTTGGCGGTTGAGCAAGTGGGCCGTTGACGGTTAGTCAAGTTTACAGTTGGCGGTGTTGAGCACGTTTCCAGTTGAGCAAGTCGACAGTTGGTGGTTGAGAAAGTTGACAGTTGTTGGTTAACCAAGTTGCCAGTTGGTAGTTGAGCCAGTTGACAGTTGGTGATTGAGCCAGTTGCCAGTTGGCGGTTGAGCCAGTTGCCAGTTGTCGGCAGAGCCAGTGGACAGTTGGCGGTTCACGAAGTTGCCAGATGGCGGTTGAGCCGTTTGACAGTTGACAGTTGACAGTTGGCGGTTGAGCAAGTGGGCCGTTGGTGGTTGAGCAGTCGGCAGCTGGTAGTTAAGCAAGTTGACCGTTGGTAGTTGAGAAAGTCGACAGTTGGTCGAGAAAGTTGCCGGATAACGGTTAAGCCCGTTGACAGTTGCCAGATGGCGGTTAAGCCAGTTGACAGTTGGTGGTTAAGCCAGTTGACAGTTGGTAGTTGGGCAAGTTGACAGTTGACAGTTGACGATTGAGCAAGTTGACGGTTGGTGGTTGAGCAAGGTGCCAGAGCGCGGATCAACCATTTGATAGTTGGTGGTTTAGCAAGGTGCCAGATGGTTCAGCAAGTAAGCTAGCAAGCCAGTTGGCAGTTCAGCAAATTGACGGTTGGCCAGATGGCCGGTCAGCCAGGAAGCCCATTGGACAGTTAATAGTGGAACGAGGGAGCCAGTTGACAGTTGGTGGTTAAGCCGTTTGACAGTTGACGGTTGACGATTGAGCAAGTTGACAGTTGGCGGTTGTTGAGCATGTTGCCAGTTGCGAGTTATCAGTTGCCAGTTGAGCAAGTTGACAGTCGCCGGCAGGGTTAGTTGACCGTTGACGATTGAGCAAGTTGAAGAGTTGGTGGTTGAGCCAGTTGGCAGTTGATGGTCGAGAAAGTTGCCAGTTGACAGTTGGTGGTTGAGGAAGTGAGCAGTTGACGGTTGACGGTTGAGCAAGTGGGCCGTTGACGGTTGATCAAGTTGACAGTTAGCGGTGTTAAGCACGTTGCCAGTTGAGCAAGTTGACAGTTGGTGGTTGAGAAAGTTGACAGTTGGTGGTCGAGAAAGTCAATAGTTAGGGGTTTAGTCAGTTGACAGTTGGTGGTTTAACCATTTGACAGTTGGTTGAGCCAGTTGACAGTTGGTTGAGCAGGTTGATAGTTGGTGGTCGAGAAAGTCAATAGTTTGGGGTTTAGTTAGTTGATAGTTGGTGGTTGAGAAAGTCGATAGTTGACCGTTAACCGTTGACCGTTGACCATTGACCGTTGACCGTTGACCGTTGACCGTTGACCGTTGACAGTTGACCATTGACTGTTGACAGTTGACCGTTGACAGTTGACCGTTGACAGTTGACAGTTGACAGTTGACCATTGAGCAAGTTGACAGTTGGCGGTTGAGAAAGTTGACAGTTGGCGGTTGAGAAAGTCGACAGTTGGCGGTTCGTAGTCAAGGAAGTTGACAGTTGGGGGTTGATGTGACAGCCAGCCCTGCGGCTTGACAGCTCTACGGCTTGGCGACGGAGCCTTCCGTACAGTGTCATCCTAGGAGGCTTTTCCCGCTATCTCAAGATAGGGCTTGAGCCCTAAGCAATGCTATATTGGGAGCGGTACTGTATTGGGAAGTTCCGTCCACACAAAGGATCATATGAAGGAGCTGTGCGTAGAGGGGCGCTGTGTTTTTTTTCTTCTTCTTTCCTTCTTCATGCTTGTTATTCTTCGTAGATAGGCTCACCTAGTTAGCAACAAATGCAAGGTATTGGCCAGCGTCACATAATAACAAGCATCACCCTTTTCTTCTTCTTCTCTCGTACATCAGCAAAGCGGACCTCCTCAGCGTTCAACGCTCTGATCGAGAGAGCCCTTCTTTTCCTCTTTTTCCCCTTCCTTTCCTGGCGACTCTGTGAGCTCGCAAAGCGTGTGACCTCGTCATCAAGCTCGAGCAGGGGTCCCCTTTCTTTTCTCTTATTTATTTTTCATATTTTTCCATATCGCCGTGACGCGTTAAGATGCCTCGATCGGTATACGGTCACAACGGCGGTAGAGCACAAGCATCTGACTCCCCCGAACCGGAGGATGCGGAGTTAGTTCTAGATGTTGATGAAAGTGACGGAGCACCGAGCGTGGGTCAGCCAGAAGATGATACGGCTGGGCCATCGGGTGGACGTCAGCACACTAGACGCCTCACTATTGACATAAACGACATGCACGACCTCCTGATGGATGAGGTTGACAGAGCAGGATTCGCTGAAGGATTGAATTTCCCAACGTTCCGAATGCTCTTTG